CCGTCAAAGTCAGAAGCTAGCGTCTTCTCGCCATCTGTGTGAATAACCCGTACTATAAAGCCAAGTTGTACTTTGATCATCTTAACAACATCTTGGACTATTTGAGTACTCTCAGTCTTGCTCTTGTGGCAGACTACGATGTGGAATCCTGAAAGCAAGCAGTGGAAGTGACTCAATTGGTTCATGCCATTGTACGACTTCTCCAAAGGGATCAGGTCGTATGATAGGTGATCAAACGGTCCAATTGGGTTGAACTCGCGTTCTGTACGGCGTGAGATGATTTGCGTAGCCTTGGAAATACTACAAGTCTCGCACTGTATTGTTGTAGGGCAAGGCACGCTTGAGTCAGCCGTAATATCAGCTCCTGCAGCTTGAACCTTAGAGATGGCCTTTGTGCCTGCATGGCCAAGTGTTATATGAAGGTCTCGTTCAGTGATTGTAAGGTGACGAGGTTGAGCTGAGTTTTGGAATCCTTTTGTGGCAAGTGATTTGTGTGCTTCTGGCTGTATGTACTGAGAAGTGGTAGTAAATACCCATTTGCTGTCATGTGAAGTAAGGTAGCAAAAGATGCTTCCATCCTGGTGTTCCATTTGACTTGGAGTTCTTGAGTTTCAGTGGACTTCTTTTAATCGAAGAATGTCAAGTGACACTAGGTTGGTCATAAATCCAGGGGCAAGGGCAACGTTCGTAAGGTTGATGAATTGCTTCCCTACGGGTGTGTCGATCCAGACTTTGGCAGTGCCAAAAGCTTCAATGTTGTAGCGCTCTTTTCCAGCTAACAGCTTGTCGTTTGGACCAGCATCCCGGGTCTTTACCCAAGAGTCGCGTGTAGGTTCGTTGCAAACATGGATATCAGAGCCTCCATCAAGGATCCAGCAATTGTACAGCGAGTTATCCCTATTCTGGTCTGCTGACGTGCTAAAACTGGACTTATATGAAGTGGCGAAGTCGCCGTGAGCTTTTGTATTAACAGCTCCTTTTGGAATAGGTGCGTCAGAGTCGTACTCAAAGTTCCTTTTCAGGTGCTCTTTTGTCCTCGTTCGTTGTGGATTATTGAGAGACTCGTTGATCTTGACAAAGATGTCGTATTTTCCAGTCCAGGTTTGTGTCCTAATCTTCTTGTTGATGTAAAAACAGTCTCTGAACCAGTGCTTTCCTTCTCCACAGTAGCATTCGTACGGACAGGCTTGTGATGGTGTTGTAAGTGCTCTTCCTTTAAAGGATTGCTGTCGTGGCTCTTGCTGTTCTGTGGTTGAAAAAGAAGCGTGTGTAGACTTGAGTCCCTTGAGAGAGTCTTGCTTACGAACGTGGTTGCGGAATCGCTCAATTAGGTCGTATAATTCTGGTATTTTACCGCCGTCTAATTCTTTTTGTTCAATGTTGACTTCAAGTGCTGTAGCATATGAATCGTCGATAGCGCGGATTGCTTGAATAAAGTCCTTTTGAGCTCTGTCGCCACTCACTTCTGGAAGGTCAAGAGCCCTGGCTTCAGCATATACAGCTTCCCACTGGGACAGTATATCTTCAGGTTTCTGGCTTTTGTTCCACTGTTTGAGCTTGGCGTAGTCTCTAATAACTTCATTCTGTCTTGCTTCGTCGGTTGGTGCTAGCCTCTTTTTCAAAGCCCTCAAGATGTCGTAGGTAGACGTGAGGTTTTTGATAAGAACGATGTGTTTGATGTGTATAGTGCCTTCGATATGCTTGCGGACTTCGTGAATCAGGGCATCTCTTTTGTCGAGCTCCTTGATTTTGCTGTCATATCGTAAGATGTCGAAGCGTAGGTCTGCTCTTTCATCTGCTGTTAGATCAGCTCGATGAGTAGCGTTTGGGTTAATACTCTGTATCGTCGGCTCTTCCGGACGAACAGGCATGATTGGTTGGGTTGCAAGTGAAGGATCTAAAAGATTCCAAACACTGATTCCATTGCTGGTAGCAACGGATTTGACGCCAAATATCCACGGATCCCAGTCTTTAGGGTTTAAGAGGGTGATGGTTTTGGACGTCGACATGATGATGACCTCAAGACGGGAGTTCGAGAGGGTTCTTTGTTTATCGTGACTACTCCTTGAGCTGAGGCAAGTCGAATACAAACAAAGGTTGCAGAGAAGTGTAAGATGAATCAATTAATTGAAGGTAAAAAGTCAAATTTTGCAGTCAAAAAGTGGCTACCGGGCTCATAATTATTGGGTTGAAAGGGTATTGGGTACTGAAGGTCATGGAGAATTGATTGCATTGTAAAAGGTAGCTATCTAAGGTGTTTATATAAAGAGTGTAAGGTTTAGGCAGACATGAAGCATTTAGGCAGCAGAACTATAAGTGGATCAAATAAGGAAGTGGAGCAAAAGAGAAAGTAGACCCAGCACAACACTTATATATTAACTCTCTAGAGTATAGAGACCAAGTGTATATACGAAAGTTTTGTTTATAACCTAATACTTAAAAAGATATTCTAGTAGAGAGTTTTCTCTTAGTAAAACCTCTAGTAAATCTACTATATTTATAGTATAATAGACGTAGCTTATTTATTAAAATTCTAAATAGTACAAGTTACAGAAACTATCTTTCGTATCTCAAATATTTAGTTATAGGCTATATAGATTATTCTTTAATTTATTGTAATTTAGTAAAGTAGGGCGTTTTTAGTGTGTTTTCGGCGAAAACCTGGGACTGCGTCTTGAATTCTGACACCCCCTGGTGTTATGGAAATCGAGATAGGGGGTTAGCCGGTAAAGATAGGAATCTCGGCTAAGAATGGGAGCGTGCTATAACATTGATTTAAACTATCCCGAGAACAACTTTGGCTTAATAAGCAGTCCAGCTACGCCTTTCATTAGTGGTACTGTAGAAAGACTGAATTTACTAGCATAGTAATTGTCGGTATATAATTCTGGTGAATAGCACCTTGTACGAGAGCCTGGTAGACCTATATACTTTAGGTCATGTGAGTGGCTTGTTACTCACATACTTAAGTCTGTAGAGTACCACCTCTCTTTACCTTTACTCTTCATACACGAATGAATACAAAGAGAGATTATGTTTGTGTATCACCCTTTACGACAACCAGGTCGTACCGACAGTAATGTAGCAAGACTATTTACCAAATTAACATCTCCATTCTCCCCTCTCACGGCTATGACAACCTGCATTGGCGTAGGCAAAGTTAAGATCATCGCGTTAATCTCCTCTCGATCAACAGAGGCCTACTACTCAAGTGAGATCCAGTTCCACCCCTCGATCCTTAATGTGCTCCACAACCGCTCGCCAGAAGTCCCTAAAGACCGAGAAAACGCGATTGCAATAACGTGTAAGTAAAAGTGAGAGTACACATTGCACTTGATGCTTCCTCAGTCGCTCATTCATGAACCAGGAGCTCTGATTGCAGTCTAAATACAATGATACCCTCCCCATAGTACCTCTACCCCGGCGAATATGCGACGGAGACATCATATTCTGGCACAATCTCGTCGCCCGCCTTGCGTGTGATATGAAATGGCACTTCGACACTAAATTCCTAACACCCATTTCAAACCTCCTCAAGCTAGGTGTGTACATTCATCATACCTTCCACCACCCTCTCCACCAATATCTCTAAATCTCCGACTCAGCAGCCAAGCTCTCCCTTTCCGGTCGAGTTCTCGATCCTCATTGTGGAGATATCAAGCAGATCTCACAATAGATAATAATATAATCTTCCCCTCAACAGTTAGATACAGGCAGCACATTGGGGGAAAATACTATACGACTCGCCATGCAAGGGGGCATATTTCACAGCTTCTACTACAGCTGTAAGATTTCCTTCTTATCGCCTCATTCTCTAGGATAATATAGTACGTTATGCCACTTCATTTTTGCTTTCCTTGCCTACGTTCAGAGCTGATTCGTCCGCACTACCAGGATCTTTCCTTTTCCATTTAAGGAAAAGCTCGGTGTACGGTAATTGCTGCTATGTGACAGGATAGCACCTCTGGTAATTGAGTTCTTTGCAGGAAAGAAAAAAAAACTTGATTTGGCTATGCTGAGTAGGGTTGTTAAATTATTTCTGATTTATATAAATTATTTATAATTAGTAAATTAGGCAATTATCTGAAAACAAATTATTTTATAATTATATGCGTCACGTGACGTTTTACGTAATCTAGGAGCGGAACATCCTAATAGCCTGAAGTCCCTGAAGAAAGACTTATTAAACTCGAAAGAGTGCTTATATAAATAGAAGCAGAAGAAGACGACGACAAAGAGGATAGTAATATTAAACTTAACGACTCGAGCAAGGATAATATAGACGACAAAGATTAGCTTTATAGATAATTCTTTAGATTAAGTACTATTGTATTTACGTTTTCATAGTTTTTTTTAGTGAAATTAGCCTACTTATATACCCTCATTTGCCCTTGATTCACCCCCCCCTATATACTATATCTTCATTGCTAAGATCTAATATTAGAACTAAAATCATAAATTATTATAAATTACAGGAAAATAAATTATTTATAAATTATCTAAAATTAGATTTAACAACCCTAATGCTGAGTTGTTTTACGCTGTCCCACAGTGGAAAGGATTCGCCATTCGGACCGCTCGACTGAAATTAATGATGTCTGAATAAAGTGGTTTCCGGTATATCATGCTACTGTAGCAGATAAAATATGACCTGGGCTCATAACCGTCGTGTATAGAGTAGTAGTACTCGTACCTAGGAAGTATTCAGGTTGAGGGGAAATGTTCGGCCATGATTGGTTCATATGATTAAGACGTGACCCTATGTATTTCCAATAAGATAGTATTTAAATCTACCTTATCCCAGATCCACCACTCACATCACCTACCCCATACCACCACTAAAAAACACCCAACCACCCAGCTTCCGCAAACAAGCAATCCATCCATCTCCACAAAAAAGACCAGACAACAAGACCATCCATCAGCGAACCACCTTCCGTCCCCCCCATCTGATTCTAGCCTGGGAAAAAAACCCATACCACAAATACCTAAAACACTCCCATCCCATGACCAGACGTGTAAACATCAGAGTATTATAAACCACTGAAGTTTTCCCGTGGTAAGTCATATTGAGCCGGACTCGACCCTCTCCGCTCCTTTGCTAGGCTTTCGCCTTCTGAAGTAATGGAAAGACTATTTGATAGAGCGCACTGAACTATGGATCCACTTGAGATCACTTCAAAAAGAGGCTGTATTGCGGTGACGTTAGATCTAGGTTTACTCGAGTCGTCATCTACTAAAGAGGAGAGCTTACCATCGAGAAACCCTGTACTCAAGTAAGTATTGGTTAATGGAAGATGTGCAAAAATCCTCGCTTACATTAGGACTTTAGGCGAGACCGACCTGTGGATCAGTCTTCAGTCTCATTCAAGATTCACAACACCCTCATAGCAATTTGAGAAATTATACCTATTTTCAAGCACAATATTTCGACCCTAGAAGATGTCAGATTTATAAGTTTGCAAGTGTTTTTTGTATTGATTTCGTGATTCCTAGTCTAAATCCTCAAATTCCCACCCTTCAGCATTAGCAAAAGATCGCATGCCACAGAATACAAGCCAGTCCAATCCAAGGATGAGACCTTCCCATAACCTCTGAAATGGTATTCGCCCAGCATTGGGAGCCAAATATGAAAATGAAAGACATCCGAAACATTCATGTGCCAGCCCACCGAACATAGAGCCGTTTGCAGAAAGCTGATGGAGCTTCGCATGTGCACAAAAAAGGCGGTAGTCTATGAGTACATATTGAGAAACGTCCACTCCATCGTCCAAATAAAAAAGAGATGATGCATAGAGAGCCAACTAGCAAGTCGCAGCGCTGGAGCAAAAAACAGGATCGAGAACCGAAAGGAGGAACCAATAAAGTGCTACCAGGTACTGTAATCGGCGAAAAACAGACTTTTCCGAACCAAGCGCCGCAGCCAAATTGACAATACACGAAATGTGTAACAGAGAGGTCATAAATGGGTATTTTGGGGTATAGGTAAACCGAGAAGAGTGGGCAATTAAGCCTTCTCCTCGTATTTCTCGCCTTCCTTCGCCTCTCCACCCTCGGCCTCGTCACCCTTGTTGTTCTTTACGTACTCATCATAAACGTTAAGAGCCTCATCAACCTTTGCACGAAGAGCAGAGTCATCTTCGATACTAGACGGAAGTTAGCACGTCATATGTCAACAAGAGGAGAGTTTCATAGACTTACAGGTTGACCAACTCCTGGTTCTCCATTTCCAACAACATACCGGTGATCTTGCCAGCCAATTCCGGTTGTATGACGGAGATCTTTGGGAAAAGCGCCTCTCCAAGGATTTGCTTCTGTTGAGCTGGGCTGACAGTTGCGAGTTGTTGGGCCAGGGCGGATACACCAGCACCCTCAACACCAGGTTGAACCATACCTGGAACTTGAGGAGGCATGCCACGACCGGCTGGAGGGAAACCACCTGGATATTGTCCTGGACGAGCACCACCTTGTGGGCCACGTCCGGCCATAGCACCTTGTCTACCTTGAGGGAAACCTGTCATGCCTTGTTGACCAGCGCCTGGAATACCGACCATGTTTGGTGGCATACCTGGAATTTGCATTGGTCGAGCACCTGGTCCACCCCGACCACCAGCCTGGAGTGCAGCAGCAGCTTGAGCTTGTTGCATGGCAGCAGCAAATTGCGGGCTACCTTGTTGACCGTATTGTGCAGCACCTGGGAATTGGCCTGGCATGCCGTACATGTTGGGTGGCATCTGTGGAAGACCTGGGCCACCACGACCAGCCTGAGGCGGGAATCCACCAGCAAATTGACCTGGGCGTCCAGCTTGGGCACCAGGAATTTGCATACCGGCCTGAGGAGGGAATGGCATACCACGACCACCAGCCTGGGGGATAAATCCGGGTTGTTGGCCAGGTGGGTAGAACATAGGAGCCTGCATGTATTGCTGAGGCATACCTGCAGCGGCAGCGGCTTGTTGCATTCGAATTTGGTTACGAGCTTGAATGCTTGCCTCGAGTTGGCCCTTTCGGACGTCCTTTCGTTGAGCAAGTGCAACATACAAAGGCTTGCCGTTGACCATGGTTTGGTTCATATCAGCAATGGCCTTGGTAGCCTCATCAGGGTTGCTAAAGCAAACAAATCCGAAACCCTTGCTCTTGCCCAAAGTGCGCTTCTCAGGCTTGGCAGCCTCCTTCTTTTCCTCGCCCTTCTCCTCGGAGGACTCGGCATCAGTAGCTTCCTTCTTGTTCTCCTTGTTCTTTTCTTCCTCCTTCTTTTCGGCCTCGGCAGTCTCAGCAGCAGAGTCACGCATGACCTTAGCAGAGGTGATAGCACCGAAAGGAGTGAAGAGATCACGGAGCTTGTCATCATCAACGTCATCGTCAAGATTCTTGACATAGAGGTTGACACCTTGGTATTTGGATGCCTTCTCAATGCGTGCGGCTTCGTAGGACTTTCTCAGCTCCTCCTCACGCTCGTGCTTCTTTTGTGCGCGGCCAACATAGAGATCCTGACCCTTGAAATCCTTGCCGTTCAAGTCTTCAACTGCGGTTGCAGCATGCTCATGATTGATGAAGTTGACAAAACCGAAACCACGGCTCTTGCCAGACTCTTGCTCACGGGCAAGGGAGGCAGAAGTGACATCTCCAAATTTCTCAAAGAGGGCACGGAACTCCTCGTCGGTGACCTCGACGGGGATGTTCTTGACGTAGATGTTGGTGAAATTGGCCTTCATCTCCTCAAACTTGCTTTGTCGGTCCTTCTTTGGGATGTGATGACCAACGAAAACCTTCTTCTCATTCAACAACATACCATTGACGTGCTTGATAGCTTGGCTAGCCGCCTCGTCGGTCTCATAGTGGACGAATCCATAACCCTTGGAAGCACCAGACTCATCTTGAGCAACCTTGCAACTCAATATGTTTCCAAAAGCAGCAAATGTGTCGTGAAGAGCCTTGTTGTCAATGGCAGTGTCCAAGTTCTTAATGAAAACGTTGCCTTGGCCAGTCTTTCGGAGAGCAGGATCACGCTGAGACCACATGATACGGCAAGGACGTCCCTTGATCAAGGTGTAATTGAGTTCCTCCAACGCCTTCTCACCATCAGAGGTAGTGTTGTAGTTGACATAAGCATATCCAAGGGAACGACGAGTAACGGCGTCACGGCAGACACGGATGGAGGCCACGGAGCCAATTTGGGAGAAAAGCTCGAAGAGCATGGCCTCGGTGACGGAAGGGTCGAGCTCTCCAACGTAAAGAGAAGCAGAAGCTTGTGGGTGAGGGGCAGCAGAGCTTGGGGTAGGGCCAGCCGTATCAGCATCCTCAGCGGCAGTGTTGGCGACATCGGTGTTGAGGGCAGGAGCGCCGTTGGCATCACCTCCATTCAAGGACGTGTTGTTCAAATCGGCAGCGAGCTGATCGACAGCTGGGGTAGCAGTAGCGGCAGACATTTTGCGAGCAAATGCGATGATGCTAACGATATGTCAGTAGTTGCTTCGTGGAAGTGATCCTGGATTGTGGTGTGGTGTTGTGTGGTATGGTGTAGTAGGCCACCTCTGGGAAATTGGTCTCGCGACCGCCCAGACAAAGAAGTGAGAGCGACGTACCTATTACGTGGAGATGTGGAAGAAAGAAGGTCGACGTCCGACAGATGTTGCTGTGGAGGACGGAAGGGGATGAGATGCGAGTATCGAGATACTGCGGGGTATGGAGGGAGGGTCGTAAGGGTCGTAAGGTAGAGGCGAGGTGGTGGGATAGGCGTAGGATGATCTCGAGGTCAATCGAGAACGTTGAGGTTTTTATTGGGTTTTCAAGTTTTTTTGGTTCTCTGGGAGAGGCTTTTCTGAAAGAAAGGGGGGGCGAGAAGAACGAAAAAAGCACGAAGAATCGTACTTGGTCCGCAGTCAGTGGTTGTGATGGGGTGGTGTTGGATGGGGAAAGGAAAGTTCGAAAGGCTTGCGACAAAGCAATCCGCCTTTTAGAAATTTTGTGGCTCGTCCTAAAGAGGGAAGGCGCGGGTCAGAGCAAGGCTGGGGCTACGCTACGGGTACAGCTACGTGTGCCTTAGGGCTCAAGGCAAGGTGTCCACGCTTACTCCCACCATGAATTCACTCGCTCGCACTCACAACAGCTGCAGGCCAGTACTCAGATAACTACCCATACCTACCTACCTACCTACCTACCTACCTAGGTATTAGCACAAGACTACATGTAGATTAGCATAGGTAATGATGTGAATAATAGATGAATTTTTGAGGTCATTCAAAGAGTTTTAATTCACGTCAGAAAATAGCAAGTAACTAAGACAGGTAGGCAGGCACCTAGGTAGGTAGGTAGGTAGGTAACCACCAGTAGTCTAGTAGGCAGAAAAATATCATCAGAGTACACTTGAGAGTACACCAAGTGCCGTCCTCATTGGTATTGGTATCGGTACCTACGAATACCCTGCTGTGCCCAGCACCCCTAGGTAAATTTACGAGCAGAGTCGGATTAGATAAGCAGGCAGTTGCTCAAGTACCTCCACTAGCAGACTACCTACCTAGGGCTAGGCTCGCTAGGTACTCAAAGTAGCATGGCGGGGCAAATGACGCCGCTTTACCCGCTTTGCCCACCCAGAAGGCTCCGATAACCTCCCGAGCCTCTCCCGCCTCTAGATACAACATGTGTAATCCACCAGGCTGCGCATCCGTACGTATCCTACACCACAAACCCCTTTGACGCCCAAACCTGTACGGTACATCAAACCGATCTTGCTCTTCACTTTTACACTCTACCTTCTTTCAAACCGACAGATCGGTCTCAACATCCCCAGCATGTTTCTAAAAATCTAAGCACCAACTGCGATAACTGGTTGCGATAGGAGGTGGAAGTTCAAAGTTGGCGGGGAAGGCTCCCATCCGATATCCCATATTAAAGACATTTGCATTGAGAACCCTTTCTCAAGATGTTTTCAACCTTCAATGGCACCTCTCGCCGGCCCCGCCAGGTCAATCTTTCCGGCCAAAATACAAATCCATTTGCAGCAATGTCGGGTACTCAAAGTACCGTGGCGAACGCTCAACAGGAGAGGCTGCTGCGTCAACAAGAACGCGATCGATTAAACGCCTCGAAGCGGATACAGAGAACATGGCGAGGCCATCGGGTACGGACTCAGTTGGCAGATTCGAGAAGGAGAATATGGGATCAGAGAAAGCAGAATCTACAAAGCCCCTCAGACTCTGGCGCTCTCTTAGTGGAACAAGCGAAGCTTGTGGTCGCATTTTTCAATCCTCGGAGGCCGGACGACATCGAAAGAATGGTAATTTTGGGCCAAATGATATACTCTACTGGTTATGAGGCTTTCTTGAATTTCCAAGGAGTGAACCCCATACTCAAGAAATTGGCATGTGTTACTCTCCACGCTCTTCAAAGGTAGGTGACATCTCGAACGACCAAAGAGAGTATACTAACAGTTTGAATAGCTTACTACCACAATACCACACCACTTTATTAAAATTTCTAGTCACCATAATTGACCGAGCTCCCCAGTGTTTCCCGCCTATAAGCAAGTCCTACTACACCTATCTTTCCGAGCTTTGCCTCAAATCGACGGCAATTAGGAAGGACAAGGAACTGATGCTGGCCTCCATAAGAGCCCCATTAGTACAGCATGTAGATTCAGATCGAGGTAAGATTCCACCCTTCTCTGTGATCTTATTCACATCTGCTTGTTGCTATGCCGTACTAACTTTGATTTCAGCCGAGGAAGTGCTTGCCGCGCATTCAGCCTTTGCTTTGAATTTTTTGACTACCCCAAATCTCGCAACAATACTGGGCGATTTAGGCAGACTCACGTCTGTGACAGACGTTGGTGTGGTGTCTGAAGCTCTAGTGCGAGAGTTTGCCAATTCCTCATTTGAAATTCAGCCCGAGGCTAGACTCTGGCTTCTCGCTCATCTCATATGTCTGCATAGGTTGCAACAGCGAGATGGCCAAGAACCAAACTTCCTAAGGTCTTTGTCAATTCAATTATCATCTTCAGCAAGCGATATTATAGGTCGGCTTGATGGTGCGGACACAGAGATAATGCAGGAATCCAGCTCCGAGGATGCTGACCGGGAAGTGATTCCACCTCTACCGGACTTCATAAGAGATGAACTTTTATCATTGGTCAATCAAACCAGTATCACTGGATTGCTAGCTAAATTCAATGTCGACTATGTGAAGGCTTCTGCAGCGAGTGAGGAAGATGCAAGTGTCCTTGCCAGTTTTGCACTCACTCTTCTGAGGATATTCCCACGTCGCGGTGATGAAATACGAATGTGGTTATATCTCGGCTCTATCTCAACCTCGTCAGGTAATGAATTGCCTGCTTTGAAGTTCTTTTGGCAGGCTATGAGCAAAACAAATACTTTTGCTACAATAAAAGCGGACTCACAGGCTGCTTTATCGATCCTTCGCCCTCAGATGAAGCCATCTTCGAATTCTTCGACGCCCCTTGATGCGATCGCCGATCGAGAATGGCGCACGATCCTATTATTTCTTGAGCTCTACACATTTGTCCTTAGATTTACCGATGACGAAGAATTCTTGACCGGAAGCGAATCGGACCTTCGGCAGGCAGATTCCCATACCTCTCGGATGCGTGCCAGTGCTCTCCCCCTTGAGGATGTCATGCGTCTCACCATTTTCCTGAAAAATTTGGCATTTACAACATGTTATAACGCAGGAGAGTTATCCAACGCTGTCCAGCAGGGGTTTGAAGGTGGGATTGGAGCATACTTTGGTACTTCAAGTACAAGTTATTTTCATGATAAGGGAACAGAAGAAGTCACCAAACGTATTGAAAATCGGCCATTCGCTGGCATCGCTGGTATGACTTTTGATTATGTGAGAACAATTGTGACTGGCGTGATGCGCATGCTTTACGAACGAGACTCGAGACGGCGCTTTCTACCAAAAGGGCACTGGCTCATGACATCGCGGTTTGACATGCAAGGCTTTATTACGTCTGTTGTTTTGGAAGAAGAAAGACAACATGAGGTCGGCGAAGATGGTGAAGAAGATGATGATGATAGTGGATTCAGACCGTCGCAGGAGGGTAGGAGTGAAATGGGTCTTGTTAGCATGGGAAGACCACGTCAAGTGATGGCAATCGAAATTCGGAAAGACCAACAACGAAAGGCTCTCCAAAAGAAGGCACTTGCAGCTATCGGTCCTAGACTAATGGTCCTAAAGAATATGCCTTTCGTCATTCCTTTCGAAACCCGTGTTCAGATATTCCGCGAGTTTGTTCTCCTCGATAAGACACGGAGAAGAAATGGTACCGTTGATCCCGATATATGGCGTATGTCTATGCTTCAGCAATCCCATATGGCCTCCAGACCTGCGAGAGCTTTTCCAAACGAGTTGGGAAGACACCATGCCAAGATCCGCAGAGACGATGTATTTGAGGATGCATACGCGCAATTTTATGAGCTTGGCGAGGGTCTGAAGGAGCCTATACAAATTACCTTTGTGGACCAATTTGATACCGTTGAGGCGGGAATCGACGGAGGTGGAGTGACCAAAGAGTTCTTGACCAGCGTCACAAACGAGGCTTTTCGAGGAGAGGGAGGGCCAAAGTGGTTTATCTCGAATGACCAAAATCTCCTATACCCGAACCCTTCGGCGGTTGATGAACGTCGTGAATGGCTGAGAAAAATAGGGCTCACTGAAGGCTCACTTGAATGGCGGGAAAATATAACAGAGGTGCTGAGACGTTACGAATTTCTCGGCCGAGTCGTTGGGAAATGCCTTTATGAAGGTATCCTCATCGACATTGGATTTGCCGGATTTTTTCTGCTGAAATGGGCTGCCGCTGGTTCAGAGTCAAATTATCGCGCCAACATTAATGACCTGCGCGATCTTGATGAAAGCTTGTATCAAGGCCTCCTAAAGCTGAAGAACTATCCAGGCAATGTTGAAGATTTTTCTCTCGATTTCACAATTACAGACACCATATCTCCACCAGGAGAGCCCACAGAAACCATTACAAGAGATTTAATGCGTGATGGTTCCAACGCTCCTGTCACCAATGAAAACAAGACACTTTATATTTCATGCGTTGCTCGTCATCGTCTTCAAAACCAACCCTACCAACAAACGCAAGCTTTTCTGAAAGGTCTCGGTGAAATTATCAAACCATATTGGCTTTCCATGTTCAACCAATCCGAACTACAAACCCTTGTCGGTGGTGACTCGTCCGAAATCGATGTCGAAGACTTGCGCGCGAATACACATTATGGAGGGGTTTACCAGATTGGAGATGATGGCCTTGAGCACACTACCGTTGCAATGTTCTGGCAGGTTATGAAGAATTTCGACGACGGGGACCGACGTAAGGTGCTAAAGTACGTTACTTCGACGCCGAGAGCTCCCCTATTGGGATTCTCCCAAATGAATCCGAAATTTAGTATACGGGATGCTGGGACCGACGAGACGAGGTTGCCTAGTACCAGTACGTGCGTAAACTTGCTAAAGCTGCCGATGTATACCACGATTGGCGTTCTGAAGCAGAAGTTGCTCTATGCCGTTAATTCTGGGGCTGGCTTCGATCTTAGTTAGGACTGATGATACATTATGGGCGACAAGTTGGATTGAGTGCAGCGGTCAGAAATCATGGAGGGTAATTGCGGTGCATTTGGTTTCTATTATGAAGAGGATCAACAGGAGTTTTGAAGTGCGTACTTGAGGCGGATCTTGTCAAATGGCATGATAACACTTCCACAATCACATCATAGAGGAGAGATATGGGTCCGTGTAGATTAATATGATGCATGATGAATAATGACCTGGAGTTGAGTTGCGTTGCTAAAAGAATACTAGAACTTTAAATGACTTAAATACCACCTAGTTAATTGGTGACGAAAGAACTACGGTACCACTCCGCTGGTTTTCTATTATGACTACTTGGAAAGTCATGTCAGCTTTCAGCATTCATCGGTAAGTAAGTCTCCCTAAGCTCCTATAGCGCGCCTAGGCATTGTTCTGGCTAATTTGACTATGAGAGAGTAGGTAAAGAGAGGTGAACGGTTAAGGTCGCTACGTCCTTGTTAATTACAATTATAACTCTATCTGTATCAGATAATCTAACTAGGTAGCTTGGAATGCTAAATTATAGGTTTACACTTTTTCTATAACAATTTACTATTGGTTTCACTTACTTATTCAAGTGGGTAATATAAAAGACCTATATTACTAAGGTCATTACTAAGGTAATAACTAAGTCTCGAGGTTATATACTAAAGCAAGTATAGCTAGCTAAGTCCCTACGTACTTATAGAGATGCTATAGTACGCTAGTGGGGCACGCTAGTCCCGAAAGAGTAGCTACTCTCGTAGCTAGCTAATAATTATTCACTATTATAAACCGATATTTACTTATATAGTAGTAGTTACATAGGCTATATATCTCTTTAGTTACTAGCTACGCTATTTAAGCCTATATACCCTAGTATAGCTAGAATAACTACCCAAGTAGTTATCAAGTAGTTAAAATAGCTATTCTACTCTACTTAAAGGAACTACCTACTCTTACTCCTACCTTACTTACTTTAAGTAGCTTTAGTATCAATTGAGTAGTAGAGTATTTTGTTGGAACGCTATATGTGGTGGTAGAATGTGGCGGTGGAATATCGTAGTAGTATGGCTTGTTTTACTTTCATCAGATTTATATGGATAACACAAAGAAAAAAAGTCTGAGTGGTGTATAAGTGGTAGTTTTGTCATTATTAATTAGTTAGGTGGTATCCTAGCTTTCTTCAATGAAAAGAATAAAGAAATTACAAGCTGTATTCGTTTCTGACGCTCTATATAGATTCTAAACGGTCATGGTGACATCTTGATCACCAGTAGGTTGAGCCATTTCGGCCTCTCTTCTTGTTTGAAACTTCGAAGACTTAGGCCCATATTTCGTATCATGGTCAATGGATTTCCACATGATATATGTGCTTGGAATTTTTTAGTATTTGCTTTACATAGTGATCAATCAGAGTTTGACGTACCTGGCGAAAGTACCTACCACGCCTACCCATCCGATGACCGCCGAGGCAACACAATACGCGTTTCTGCGATAAATTGGATTGGGGGGTCCATTTGCGATGAAAAACAAAAGTGCTTGTACTCCTGGAACTCCGGTGATGTACGCACGTCTTGTTGCTACTATGACCTAATAGGGGAAGGTCAGCACTAGACCTCAAGCTGAGGGCCATGACGAGACAAACCGTTACGGCAATGAGGTCAGCGAGGGCCATGAATGACACCACCACAGAGGAAATCTTCCAAGCGAGTCGAACACGTGGAGTTTCTTTTCGTTCGGGCCAGAAAAGATCGAAGAAGAAACCGGATCCGAAGATGGTTGCTACTGCGATGCCGACGAAGATGTTATAGGAGAACACGCCCACGATGTCGTTGTTGTGTACCATTGCTCTTCCTCGGCTTCGTTCTGAGATGCCGTCTTGCTGATCGACATAATCTGGAGAAGAGATGTCAGATATCTGAAATGAGAATGATATGGTTTGTGGGATTCTATTTACCGGATAATGCTGCGGTACCCACTGACTCAGAAACGACCATGAAAATCATGGCGATTTGGTAAACTATCATCTTCGTCCTTCGAAGGTGATATGCAGGCGTAAACATATTAGAGCTCTTGAATTTCGACCATTGGATCTCCTTGAGGTCCAGACCCCAGATTACCGCCATTGTAAAGATGGGATGATTAGAGATGATTTACTATTGCTATCGCGGATCGGAGACCGAAAGGAAAGGCGAGTAGAACTTGTTATATGTAATTCAAAAAAGGCGCAGCGATACACGGTACCTGATTAAACAGTGCTGAAGGATAGACTGTTTTGGGTAGCCGAACTTTAAATACGCCTGAGATGTGGTTGGGTATGCGAACATGTCGCCACATACCTAACCTCTAGCACGTGGCTTGCGGCATGGCTTGTGACTGTGCAAATTTCTGGGTCAAAAACGCCGATTCAACCGGAGATGTCGGACCATCGTGCTCTGGTGCAACAATTGCCGATTTGTGTGCATTGGCGTTTCGCGTCAGATGGAGGATTATAAATACAGTCCCCTTACGGAGACATGCCAATTTTCTCGCTTAGCGGGGTCATGCCATTGATTGAGGGGAACGAGGGGAATAAGGTTCACAATGTTCGCCTCGTCTACAAGGGGATTCTTAGCAATCCAGTACGGTAAACAAACGCCGAAAACGATACTCGACTCATCTGGCTAGATATTTCTATACCGGCTGATTAGAGTATTCCGACATTACTCATTCGTTACAACGTTTTATTGCCTATCTCAAGTTCAATTTTGAGATGACCTTACGAGTACCGAGAGGTCGACCACTGCGATGTGGAACAAGCTGATACTGTATATAAAAAGTTAGTTCGATATATATCCTGGTGTCTGATTGGGGTTTCCTTTAAATTGAGAAGCGCCTCGAAGGGCCGTGTGCCTGACTAAAACACCCTACTACGAGTACTTTATCTGAAAAGTACACCTTTCCCGGAACAAGCTTGAAGGTACAGTACTGTACTACGCAGAATAATGAAGTTCACGATTGACCTCTAACTAGGGGGGAAAAGGGGGGGAGTGATATCATGGAGATTATCGTTCTTTAGCTCTATTTATGGAAGACTAACTTATAAGACATCTCAATTTGACTTCGTAACCCTTCAGAAAAGAGTTGACTAGCTGAGCCAGAATCTGGACAAGTAGCTTAAGTCGACAACGGCGGACTTGTAGAGCAACACAAATGCAGCAAAAACTTGCTCTGATCCTCGGATAGAAATGTTCCTCTCTTGCGAATTTCTAACAATAGTGAATTGATCACGGCTTAACTTATGCCCAGGTGACCAGGTCTAATTATTAGGTCACAGGATGACCTTTAGAGAGAGAAACTAGACTGAAAATTTCTCGATCTTCATGGCGGACTGAGGATTGACCCAGGTTTGTCGACTTACCAGATGTCGATAATTCTTTGTGGATTTCATAACTTCATAAGCAGATTTGGGATCTGAATTCTGGAGTGGTTTGATATGGAGATGCGGGTTTTTGGAGTTTGGATTGCATGTGACTGAAGCGAGTTGTATTCCTGCAAGTTCAGCAACTTTACACATTTCAACATAGCAAAAACTTCCCAACTTTGTGATCAAATACTATCAGCTCCCAAGCTTTCAAGAGAGCAACAGCTTGAATCCTCGTGGGCATCGGATCATGTATAATCCGTGTTGTTGCCTGAGGCCACGAGTGCCTTCCTCTACTTGAAAATCTGCCTCGTCCGAATTCCTCTTCCATGACCTTCTCAATATTTCTTCGAGCCTCACCACCTCGGCCAACTAGCACCCACCACACTTTCTCAAAGTCTTTGAGACCTTCAACGCCTTCATGACCACACGATAGTCTCTGCAGAGAAGACGGTACGTACAACAATCCCTTCTCTCCCGCGCTTAATTGTTCCTGCGCTCCATTCTTCACCATTCGTGGCTTGCCATTCCAAGCTGGAAATGCCCAATTACACGCGCGGTGAAGAGAATGGCCGCCCTCCTTTGATATGATGATAGATAAAGCTGGCACCAGTCATATGGACAGACTTTGTACTCAAGTCCTTGCTGAAATTGCTATACCTTCGGGTTTCTTCTGATCTTCAAATCTACCCCTCACCGAGTTTTCAGCTTTTCATTTGGTCTTTGCTGACGACCTTTTCCAGTTGAGTCCCACTTCTTCTTCGACGCCAACTTCGACTTCAGTTACTCAATTACTTTTCGCCCATCATGGTTCTCCACAATCCAAACAATTGGCACTGGGTCAATAAGGACGCGTCAGGCTGGACCAAGTCATGGCTGGAAGAGAATGTCAAAGAGATCAAGGCTGAGGAGAATGGTGTCACCGCTCAATTGGACAAGTTGGTTAGCATGGATGGAGACGTCGATGTCAACCAGCGTAAGGGCAAGGTGATCACTATCTTCGATGTCAAGCTGGTTCTCGAGTACTCTGGTAAGCCACTCTGCCTTGTCCATCTGTCAAGAATCTTTCTGACCTCTCTGCGTAGGCAAAACCAAAGACGACGAGGATGTCAGTGGCACCATCACCGTTCCCGAGGTAGCTCATGACACAGAAGAAAACGAGTATGTTGTATGTCTTGTCGTCCCCAATGGGCGCTTACCATGGCCCGACTAACCATCATCAGTTTGACATAGATATCTACTCAGATGCCAACTCGAAGGCTCCAGTCAAAGACCTCGTTCGCGCAAAGATTCTCCCGCAATTGCGAAAGCAATTTGCAAAGCTTGGCCCAGCGTTGATTGCTGAACACGGCAAGGATATCCAACACGCACCTGGCTCCGGCCCTACCAGTGGTGTCTCAACTCCCAAGTTGCACACCCCTTCCGCTCCTACCACCTCTACGCAGTCGACAATTCAAACTGCAAGTAACAAAGTTACATCGGTAAACACCACAACGGTTACTGATACTGAGGAATTCCGTGCTCCGGCAACAGAATTATATCAAACCTTCACTGATCCCCAGCGTATTGCTGCCTTCACTCGTGCTGCTCCAAAACTTTTTGAGGGTGCTAAGAAAGGTGGCAAGTATGAACTCTTCGGTGGCAATGTTTCAGGGGAATATCTCGACCTCATTGAGCCAACCAAGATTGTTCAGAGCTGGCGGTTGGACCAGTGGCCAAAGGGACACTTCTCCAGACTTGAGATCAATTTTGATCAGAATGATGTAGATAACGTCACCGTCATGAGAGTCAGCTGGAGTGGAGTTCCAATTGGACAAGAGGAAGTGACCAAGAGAAACTGGAAGGAGTATTACGTTAGGAGCATCAAGCAGACTTTTGGGTAAGTTTTCCTCTGAAAATTATCTTTTGATGACCAAAACTAATAAAAGCTTCAGCTTCGGTACAATCCTGTGATGAATTATACGAAGCTATTTACAGACGACATACATGAAACAAACACGAATTGAAATGCAATGCAATGGTAGTTAAAAGATGCTCTGCTTGATATTGGTGTTACTTAAGTTTAGGTGCGCCTTAGAAATCTTCAATGAAAACTTGATGCCACGATATCTCTACTAAATGAATGATGTCTTTTGTGGTCATCTTGTGTAATCGCGGTTTAAGCACTCTCTTGACACTAGTCACCAGTCCTATATCACAATTGTTTGGGAGGCTGGTACACAAGATACCAAGTCAGCCACGTATTCTTTACGCAAATTTACAAGACCATAACTTTCTCTCACTTACAAAAGAGGAACCGCATGCCCTATATGAGTTCTTCTAGGCATCCGAATGAGATTAACGCCTCATAGCGCCTTCCAAAGCCAAATCCATGCAGCCATGGGCCTTCCAGAGATCTATGGGCTCCTCAAAGTCCCAATGAAAATGTGATCACAGGCACTAATTCAGTCTTCATTTCCGCTGCCAAGGACAACTTTGTGTTTCTGTGCCTAGGCGACCTTCCGTTCTTTGTCATTGCTGGTACTCTAGTTGTAATAATAACTAACGGTCCTCCGATACTGTAACTTGTACCATTGTATTTTCATTTGGGACAGATGCTACGAATTTGCCAGCTGAACGCTGTTACGCTTTAGCTTTTGGTGAGTAGTGCTTCCGTGGGTGATGGTTACGTTCAGGATTAGTTTGAGATCAGGAGTTGAGTGTACTGTGATATATGGGTTTCTTTGGTATCTACCTGCGAGGACTAGGAAGGAAGCCCTCTTACAAAGATATCAGCCTTTAATCAAGTGAATCCTTTACTTCTTATGCGTCTCTGCCATATACCTCTCCGTAGCTCGTAGGTACCTATAGACATCAAAGTGGGCCCACCACGTGATCACCAGCCAATCAGACCCGAAGTTCCCTCTCGTTGCAGTATCTGACCCCAGATTACAGAAAACCGAGCACCTATTAGGAGAAGTGTAGTCGAAGCTCCGGTGGCGCGATGGTAACATCAGTGACTAAGGAGCCTAGTAGGAACCCCAAATAAGTTATCCCAGATTGCCTCAAGCCCTCGAACCTCCTTAGTCTCAATGGGGGAGAGATGTGTAAGGGTGCGATAGCGACAAGGTCAACTGTATGCGTAAGAACTAAATTGTCTACAAAGAGTGGAAGTGATCGTAAGATCTGAGGCTATTTACAGTTCCAAGGGCACGGGCCACATCGCTTCCTCCACGTCTGTACCCTCACAAGATGCAAGTGGCCACGGGGGGACAGCGCGATTGCTACCTATCTTCTGATAGGCGATTTTCTTGTGACAGCGCCTGAGTCTGTCCGGCACGAAAAGACGAGTTCTTTTTTGGACTTTTTTGACCGCTGCATTGTACTTTTATATATAAGTCCTCACTTCTTTGATTAGCTTGCCCTAGACGAATGTAGGTAAGTGGTAGAGAGGAGATGAGTGAGATGGGTCTTCTAGGATTGAGTGGATGTTAAATAAGCCTTTTACACCATGTAATATGTGTCTAGAGAAAACTATAGGAGGAAAACTAAGTTTTTCCTATTTTGTGTACCTATGAAACATAAGAGTGAAGAGAGGCGCAAGACTCCAAATAAGTTCATGGAGTGAGTTTAATCTACGTAGTACTTATACAACTTCGTGCGAAATGAATGAAATTATGGGTTATGTTAGTTCCTTAACTCTTTGCTAGTTTGAGTGCTTCTAGGGGGTTAGTTTCTTTAAGCGAGATCCGTTCTTGTGGCAATGGCAAAGGCAGAATTGCGGGTAACAAAAATAGCGACAGTAGGTATAGTACTCTGGATTTTTTTTGACCAGCGTGAGAACAAATTAATCACTTAATCAATTAGTAATCAACTAAATCATGAATGAATTGATTTGAATTAGATTAGGACTTTCGGGTGATTAAATAGGTTAAGAGGCGTTTACTTAATTAAACTAATTAAAATAATAGTATATATTTTAAAGTACTACTAATATACTTAGAGAACGTGTAGAGACGCTAGTAAAGAAGAAAAACATAAATGCTTTCTTTTACTTTTCTTATCTAAGAATGTTCCTATAAGTTAGACTAGAAATGTAAACAAATTATAACATAGTACATTCTTTAGTATAGAGCTGGCTGAAACTCATTCCTACTCTATAGGAACGTTCCTAGTTAAGACAAGTGCAAGAATTATATCGTATATGCGATGTAGGGGCTCTCGCTTAGGTCGCACGTGGTACGCCGAGCACCCTCCGAGCTCTCGGTCCGCCGGTCCGAGGCTTCGGCCCGTACAAAGCGATTTAATTAGATTATATAGTTAATCGAGTGATTAAATAAGATTAGGAGGTCCAGTTGATTAGATTAACTTAGATTAAGACCTCTTTAGTTAATCTATTCTAATCATTTTTTACGCTGTTTTTGACTGGTGTGATTTTCATTATATTTTGAAGATTTTATTAAAAGTTTCTTTTAAGAAGTTGAGTTGTTTGAACAGAAAATCCTAAAACCATCGAAGTGGAGGTACCACTCGAAAAATGTATTCATAAGGAATTTGGTACAGTCCGCTGCAAGGTAGGTGAAGACCACCCCTTGTGTTGCCAATAAAAACATGTACGGATTCTGACAGTGGATACACCTCACCAACAGGGTCAGAAAATTTGAGGACAGCCCAGCGTTGGTGGCGCTGATGAATTTCTGGGAAAATGGCAAAGGGGGTCGGCTGCTGAGCCCATGAGAAGTGCAAATTTGGTGCAATAAGCCGATCTCTTACTACCTTAGCGCTTCGACATCAAATACAATAACGAAGTCGAGGCGAAAAGTCGTATGATTCCCAAGGGGGTGCCATTTTTTGCCCCTCTTCCAACGAGGATCTTAGGTATCTGCTGCGGCTTTGTTTGGAACTTTGGAAGCGCAGCTAGATATATCGAAGCATAGAAACTATAGTCTTGCGGATAGAATGCGCGGTTTTGGACGCTTGAATCATTCGTATGCCGCTTTCATCTCATGACTTGTACACCTTTAGGTGCACTTATATACAACAGATTTTCACCGAAGCAGGCACACCCCAACTCGATTCTCAACTGCTGCTTCTCCGAGTTTACTCAGTTGACTTATTCGCATTTTTAATGATAAAACAATCAGGCATTTGGTGGGGTTTTGGTTGGTGTTTATATCAAGGACAGAGAAGGCACTGTCAGAATAAGCTCTAAATAACCGAATAAAGAGAGAAGCCAGCTAACAGGGGAGTATGGAGGCTCTGAAGCACGGTTCTCCTGGACAGCTGGAAATGTTCGGGATAGGACTAGCGCCTTCCATGGAATATGCTAGCGCAAGGCAGGGGAGTTTCATACCCATATAGGTTTAGTATTGATCGCAGAAAGTAGTTATCAAACCCAAATTTAACAGGTCACCTCGCTGATAATACTCTCATAGTGAGAAATATACGTGTGTAGTAAACCAATTCCTTGTTAAATTTCCTTTTCAGATAATCACAGGCAATATTACAGTAGTCCAAGTCTTTTAACACATTCTAAAACTTTCGATTAATTATAGAAAATCATAGAAGTATTTATCAAAAACAAGTTAAGAATTTACAAAAAAGCTACGCGAATACTAGTAAATGTTCACTCCTGCTTTTCGACCCACTGTGAGACTTCCTGTAATGCATGATACTGCGGCACGGATAAATGGATAAATACAAAAGTGCCATTCTCGCGGTATGACCTGCATACCTGCCCTGAATCACAAGTTCATACGTCGAGCAACTAGAGGATATGGCAGATTTTTGTTTCGGGGTTGGAGAAAGTACATATTTGTTATTTCTATGATGAGCAGAACGCCAGTTGAGACGAGTTAAGGCGTCTACATCTCCTGGAGATCGACGATAGCCTTTTGAGGCGCTTTTCACGAGCTAGAAAAATGGTCTAAGAGGACTGGCAATCACAAGTAGTTGGTAGTTGGGAAACGGCAGTTGGAAATTGGAAGTTGGAAAAGACGGGAGGGGTAGGGTTGGTGTTGGATGTTGAGGGTGGGGGTTGTTGGTTCGAAGTTGGTTGACGTTTTATCCCCAATGGTTTAGATTGGGAGGCAGGAAATATCGAGCTTCTCATTTAGGAGAGTCGTGGGCCACGGATGGCTTCAGGGCCAATCAATTTTTCAGTCCACAGGGTCAACTGGCTTAGCCAACAGGCGGTCTCTAGTTTTCCTGAATTTGCTTAGGAGTTTTCAAGTGGCTGATAACGATTCGTGGAATCTGGCGTGTGTGTTGGCATTCGAAGAGTCTAACAAACAATCATACCATGAGGCTACTCCTTATAATAATAGCACGATCTCGCCAGTATTTTGTATTTTGGCTGTTTTTCTGAAAGTGAAAGTGACAGACACCCACCACGTGCTTTTGGTCGGATTTTCCTCATTATGGTTTCCCTACCCACCTCGACCGGCCCAGCAGGGACTTATTTCGTTTCGATATTTATGTCATTTATTGCTACTCTAGCAGTGGGCTTGCGATTCAAGTTCAGACGTGTTCGGAAAATGAAACTTAGTGGAGACGATTGGACCATTCTTTGCGCCCTGGTAAGGAAATTCGGCGCTGAGTAGTCAATACAGGTGTGCTCACCAATGATTGGATTTTAACGTTGGCAAAAGCGATAATGGTGATAGTTGGTAAGGTTATTGATTTCTCCAGATGCTGGATTTCGTTTTAATACAATTCAGGCACAGCGCAACATTATTTTGGCTACCACACTTCAATCGATCACGCGACTGGCAAGATTATTCGAACTGGAAAAGAGATCAGCCAGGTCAAGGTATGTGAACACTCTGTGGCTCTCTTCAAGGTTCTTTTTGCTGATCAAACACACGAACAGTCCAACCTCTGGGGGCGTTTACTCCTCGCTATCGCCCTAGGATTCATCAAAGTGAGCGTTTTACTATTCTATCGACGAGTATTCCAAGTCAAGCCATGGTTCAACACAGTATCCAAAATCATCGCAGTGGTTGTAATACTGTGGTCGGTCACTTTCTCGATTTCGGGACTGGCCCATTGCGGCACGCACTTCTCGGCTTGGTGGAACGGCAATCTAGTCAAATACTGCAATAATACCGCAGTGGAGAATGTCTGGTTTGGGGTTACAGATGTAGTGCTCGATTTGATTATTCTAGCTATGCCAATCCCCATGATCTGGAAACTTCAGCACATAACAAACAGACAAAAGATTGGACAGTCGGTTGTGTTTGCACTTGGGCTACTGTAAGACACCTTATCCTTGGGAAAGGAAATACGAGCAAAAATACTGATGAGAACAGATCAACTGCTGCTGCCATGGTAAGGCTTGTAATTACTGGATTAATAGCCCTTAGTCAGTCTCCCACCCTCCGAAATGCAGCAGGTATCATGCCAACTCAAGCTAACTGTCTTAGATACAATACCTGGTGCTCGCGATCTCTTGGGTGTTTAATCTTTATTTTCAATAAGAAAGCTTATATGCTAATGAGAAGTATAGCTCTTAATACAACCAATGCAATTTGGCAAATAGTGGAATTGGGAGCCGCGGTCACAGGAGCTTGTCTCCCTACTCTCCGTCCACTTCTTCATGGTTACTCACCAGAGAGTGTAGTTGGAAGTATACGATCTACCCTTTCAATTAACTCCGAGGCACGATCTATCAGACGAAAGGGCTCAGACGATGAAATAGGAGACCTTCATCCGCTTGACAAGACACGGACTGCAGGTGCCCCTACCGATAACGAGCGAGTATAGGTATACTCTTCAGGTGTTTATTATTGCATAGCTGAAAGTACGGGAACTTTCAAAATTCCAATTGCCAAAAAGATACTAGTGTTCGTAGGGGATAATAAGGATATAAAGGCATGGCTTGTAAATAAGCCTTTTCTTGCAGGATACGGTTTCTTTTCTCTTCTCAGATTCGGTGTCTGGAGCTCCACGCGAAAAGCATCATTCTTGCTGTCTCTAGATTTCAAATCACTTGGGCGATAGTTTCACCACATCAGTCCAACTTTGCCGTGGAAAAAAGTCTTTTTAAGTTTTAACCGAGCGAGGGTTACGACGTCTCTCTGAAGGATTCCAGAACCCCGGAAATTTAAAAAAGGAGCTCGCCACATATTATAGATGCCTAATACCCTAGCTGAAAAAATAACAATGAGTTTTAGTCCAGTGAATTACGACTCTGATGTGCAATGAGCTCGGCGTGCAAGCGAGCGGATAAGCTCCGCGGTAAATCCTTAAAGCATACCGCAATCTTTCGATCTGACCATCTGACCAAATACACTTCTATAAAAACCTCTCAATCATGCAAAATTCCGATCCTACAAAGGATGTAATTATGATATAAGGAACGGAATAGACTGGACATAATTAAGACGAAAGGGAATGGAACTAAGTGAGAACCCGTTTTCTGTCGCTGGGCTCAGGCTTAGGGTTGTGGATATGGGAACATGCTTATATAAGGGGTTTCTGGGCTTGGTCCTGGATCTGGATTTTGAAATAGTCTTTTGAAGGAAACTTGTGTGAAGTTAACATGGATTGGCCAGGGATCTCGCTAGTAGAGGGCTGAAGTGGTTCATAGATAGTAGTTCTATTATAAAGGAATTTGTTGTATAGTGGTTTAGACTGATTTGCCAACTTGAGCGCTTGTTGGTGTTGAATTTCAGCATCCCAATACTGACTCATTTGCAAGAAATATTCCTCAGCATTGAAGAATAGTCTATATAGTAATTAGCATCAACAATTTCCGGGAACTCTTTGTTCAATATGCATTAAGAACGTTGGAGGAAAGGACTAAACACTTAAGTGGTTAACAGGTTACTCCGAAACCTCAAATACGTGCTAGACCGGAGTCGAAATTTCGAGGTGTTTGACCAATCGCTAGAATTTAAAACTCACGTGTACCATGGTTGCAAACGAAAACCTAGCAAGTTACATTCTGAATTTCTCCCGAGCGATTGTGTTAGTTTATGCTCTTTTGATATCGTCAGACCCTCTTGTTCATCAAACTTTGTTGAACTTGTGAGCCGGAAATACTTGACTTGTAATTGGATTTATTATCTAGAATTGAATTCAAACCCGGCATCGCCATTTAATCAAGGCCAAAGCAACCGTAGGCAGCCCAACATTATCTAAATTTCGGCGGTAAGACCAGAATCTGGACAGACCGATGTAAAAATATCTCCTAGTTCCTTTTTCATTGGAGTCGTTTATATTTCCATTCAAGCTTTGCTCAATGTGCATCATCCCAATTGCTCCGTCCATCCTGGCTTGATTGTCTCCTGTGGGTCATATGTGTATATGTAGTAAAGTATCGCAGAAGCCAGGTGCAAGAAGAGAAAATACGAAGAAAGTGCCACCTCGATACGCCTCAAGAACATGCGCTGGGGCTCACCACTTTCTATATAATCGAAGGTAGTGGATGCCCAACGGAGACCACACAAAGCCCATGCTCCAGTCATAAGAGATGTGAACACGGTCAAATATATATCCTTCAGATTGGTCAATTCGCCGAAGAGCATGGACAAGAGATAGGAGGCTGGGATGACGACGATGCTCAAGAGCCACCAATAGTAAGACCGATGCACCTCTGTCTTATTCGTGATATTGAACACGTAGAACGATGTCAGAGCAAATGGTAAGGAGCCAAATAAAAGGATGATCAGCCCAGTCCACTGAAGAGCGCCCATACGCAGGCCATGAGCGTTGGAAATAGAGGTCGACGCTTGGATGGTAAACCATAGGAGGAATACCGTGCCCATTACTACCGAGATGTAGGGCATGCTCCACACTCCAGATCCCTTTACTCTGTGGAGCTGAGATTCCGATCCCTTCTTGGGGATGTCGATCCATTGGCTTGGAATGACAACAAGCATCTCTATGATCAGAAAGGATCCAATGTACATTGAAGCCCAGACCTTGGTCCATATGATCCCTTCAAAGGCGAATATTTTGATAGCCTGAGCTACCGTTAATACAAAAAAGAACCATCTGAAAATGGCATTCTTCCGAAAGTCCGAAAATGTTCCCGAATTTTCATCGTCAAGAGCGAAGCGTTGTATTACTACCACCTGAATTGCTTTGCGGGCTGATTTGAGTGAGATGCTGTAATATGCCATTCGTACCACTAGTATGAGGACATCGAGCGTGCATATTATAGGTGAGCTGCCCAACATGAATCCCACTACAGCTGGGCTTTCGCAGACCCTCCCGGATGGTTGCGACATGGAATTGACAGCAATAGCCAGAATTCCCCAAAAGAGTGAGTACCATAATACTGGAGCTGGGGCTGGTTGTGCTGCTGTCGAGACACCTTGATCAGTATTTCATAGCACGATTCATTTCTGGAGCAACATACACATATTTTTGATGTATCAAGCACAAGCAGATTCCAATACGATCGTGATAGTAACAAGAGAAGTAGAAATGAGAAAGCTTCGAAAAATGTTTGCAAGTACAGTAACAACCGATTAAACGAGCTTGAATGCAGCATTAAGGTATTCCAGAAAGGATGGATAATTATAGCCCTTTTACATCTTCTTCTCAGCCTCCACGATATCTTTGGTTTTAAAATACCCCCGAGTATATCGCCAGAAAACGATAAAGCATGACGAAAGTGGAATGCGAGCCTCCGGTGTTTGCTTTTTTCGCTTATTCTGTCGCGATCTAGATACGCCAAGCTGAAACGGAATCGATTATTTTCCCAATAAATCTCCCGAAATAGAATGCAGAGTGCAGCACACAAGCATTCTGGTCTTGTAAAGCGCCTTAGATTGATCGAAGCCGCAAATTCTCAATTCTGGTGTTGTATAATCCAGACCTTCCCAAGCAGGGTACTCGATCTGCCCACACCCTCAACATCGACTCAAAGAACCCAGTCCATTATGAGATTTTTTTTAATAATTACTGTTAAGGAGAAATCCTGTGGTGCGATTCCGGCCCACACACGTGATACTCGGAGTCGGAGTACCTAATAGATACTGTATAAGGTACTAAGTCGTAATTTACAAACGTAATTTATATGTTACGCGCTTCTAAATTATATAACTATAGTGATGAGAATCGTATAAATAATCCAAGAAAGTAGAGTCATAGAGAATTGTTGTCAGGTTTATACTGACAGGTGTTTCCACCATGTGCACCCAGGTGGAACAGGTCTTATTCAGGTCTCATTCTCTCGTACAACCTTCAACGGAAACACTATATAGTTCTCGTTCGCTCTCTTAAGTTATTTGCTCCTTAGTTCATTCAATACAATTCTTCTTCTACTATTCTGGATTCTCCGGCATTCCACATATCCTGTTCAACAGGTTATGAGCCCCGGTCGCACGCCAGGTACTGATGCCAGAAGTTCATTTGACTCCTAGAGAGGAGGCTGGTTTGTTTATCCACTTGAAGATCCTCTACCAGTTCGCCCTTTACCTGATACACCAGAGCCAGAGTGTGTGCCAGCCAGAGCGGGAAGTAGCCAGAGCAAAAGGATGCCAGAGCGGTATACAGGATTGGACACATTACAAGCCCTCTTTGTATATAGAGGCACAGATATATTTAGGAAGCCATATTCACGCGTTACACGGTTTTAGTGAAATCAGTCTACGTATCTCTCGGTTTCGGTGGAACCGCTTACCTGGCATCAAGTTAATAAGGCGCTTCGTAGTTGTTACAAGTCACGCCAAATTCAACCCCCAAAGTCAAGTCTCGCCAAAGTTAAGCCTCGCCAAAAACACAGTCAGCTCCTCAACCAACAACACCCAGCTACCCTACGAACCACGAATCTCGAATCCTTCTCACAGTACAAGAGCGGGATTGACGGAACGGAAAAGGGGTGCACGGAATAGGTGGAAGAGCGGTATGTGACAAAAAAGGGTAAGAAGGTCTTAGATTTATTTCAAAGCAGTCTTTATTCCTATAGCGATGGAAAAGGGGTGTGTTGTCAGGATTATACTGTACTGACCAGTGGTTTCCACCACACGGAACCTGCATGGAACGCAACACAAAGGAAGGGCATATGCCAGGGCTATATAAAGCCAGGCTCCTACCCATACGTACTCAGCTCCCTAGTCATCTGAATACAGCTCTTCTGGCACCCTGGCCTTCCATATTCCTCGCAATAAGAATTAACTTAGATTATATATACGATCTATATAACTTTCAAAATCATTTTAACCTCGATACGGCCTTATATAATAAATTATCCTTTTACTATTCCTTCCTATATAACTTATCTATACAAGGTCGGCGAGTTCTAGCTAATTCGATAAAAAGCCGAGACTTGTACTATACTTGTATTATTTTCCTTTTATATAAAGCGACTAAAATATACACCTTTTTCTCGCTTAGGAATCTATAATTATATCCCCTCTCTCCCTTCCCCTTCTCCCTTCCCTACCTATAAACGCATCAACGCATAAACGCGTACTTATAAACAAGTAAACAAAGAACAACTAAACTTAATATCTATAGTACCCTTCAAAATTTCACAATCACAGCTACCTAGGAGCGAACAATGTCTATCTAGTTTTAGGAAGGTTCTACAGTATACGAGCACCCCACAGGTCTACTCCCACTACCTACAATAGGAGGGGAATATTATCCGTTACTACTTTTAATTCTGGAGGATCTACTCTACTCCCCTCCCCACCACTACCTAACCCCTCCTACCACAATCACCACAATCACCACAATCCAACTTACCACCCCTATACATACCCCCAAATTCCAAACCCCAACCACACAACCACACCCCCTCCTATAACACAAGAACTTTACCACTCACCCAAGTCCCCCCCAAGAACCCCACTCAACCCCCCCTCAAACGATCAACCTCCCGCCCACAAGAAGAAAGGGAAGAAAAAAGAGATAAAAGAGAAAGAACCCCCCCGCCATCCTCTCCCCTATCTAGAAAAAAGCCCAAAAAAAGCAGCAAACAAAAAAACACCCAGGTCAAAATCACATCATATCATATCATATCATGTTAATCTTATGTACCTCTAAATACGTATATCGCGCCCAACCCCAACCCCAACCCCAATCCCAATCCCAAGCCCAGTCTTAGCCCCCAAGCTCCGTCCTGTTGTGCCCATGTATCTGTATCTAGGGGTATCGTATCGTATTGTATCGTACTGTATCGTATCATCCAATCCTATCCCAACCTTTTCCAATCCCATGTACTCGAGTAGTCATGCACATCCTTTCTCATCGCCTCCTCCTTTTTCGCACCAACCGGTTCCAGGATCTCTCATACTATATACAACAATTGCGCCCCCCCCCCTCCCTTTCCCCCCAACTTCCCATGTTCGAGAAAGTCAGTCCCCTTCCCTCCTCTTATTTTCAGCTACAGTACATCACGGAGTCCCAGATTTCCGACCAAGCACCTCAGCAATATCCACCGACCGTCTGGCGGTCGGAAATCGACTCGCAAGTTCAATATCATCACCCGCGACCCCGACAAGCATAGCATTTTCAGTGCTCTGCTTCCGCCTCGTCAGATTCGCACTCATGGTCCTCTTCATGCCGCCTTCGGATTCGATTGGACTCTTGACTAAAGCACCACTCGCGTCCAACTCAGCATCAGTGATGCCGGTACTGATCCTACTGGGACGACGTCCATCAAGTAACGCTTGAATCTCCCTCTCCTCTCTTAGATCGGCACTTGTTTGTTCGTGGCTCGTTTCCATACCACCATAGCCATCTTCCTCCGCCCTGATGGTATCCTCGAAGCGTTTTTGAATTTCAGGATCCTTTTGCAATTCCTGGAAGATATCTGTGTCTGTAGGCCAGAAACTCTTCCGTATCGAGGAGACTCCAAGCTCGAGAAGGACTACGGCAGCTAGTGAAAGTAGTACGACGAGCCACCAGAGGATATTCCGGCCGAAACGTGTCAGGAAGCCATCGGCGACTGGATAGAGGGGATAAACCTTTGTTGTGGGCTTGAATGCAAAAGAGAGGAGAATGTTCCACATGAACCAACCGCCAACAGAGATAATCCATCCAAAAGCAGGAACCCAGGTTTTATTATGCATTTCAAGAATTCTATCCTCTGTTAGGTTGGTAATTTCCCGCACACACAACTGGTAAACTTACAGCATCTTTGTATTGATGAATACCACTGCCGAAGTAAAGCAGAGTTGACCCATCGAAAACAAATTATTATCACTTGTAAACGTCGACTCGCCGAATAGCCCAAACATCACAAACCATATAATCATGCATTCGCAGGCAGCCATGAACATCCAACCAAGGTATTTCTTTATGTTGAATCCCTCGTTCCTTTGTCCCATGGTGTAGAGTTCCGGCACAGCGAGGAGGGTCGAAGCATTAAGATCTTGTTCGAAGATTCCGAGAAAGATGACAGCAAGTGATGTGAAAAGGGTATTGAAGACGGTTAAACTAGTCGATTCGAACAAAGAAGTTCCCGTATAACCTGTCCATTTCTGGTACATGGCTTGTAGCATATAGAAGACCAACTCTTTCCAGAAGGTCGCCAGTATGTACTTGGCGGTCCGGATATAGTTCCAGCGTCCATGAACGAATAGTAGTCTCTGTAAGAACCGAAATTGGGCGATGGAATAGTCGGAGATTCTGGCGGCTTGTAGACCTTCTTTTCCACTGACACCGATACCAACATGTGCTTCTTGTATCATTGCGATATCGTTCGCACCATCACCAATTGCCAAAGTGATAGATTTATTGATCTTGGTTCTGACCTTCTTGACCAGTGAAGCTTTCTGGCTTGGACTTGCTCGGCAACATATCACTGAATCAGCAAGAACCGCGAGATCAAAGAAAAGAAGTTTCAAAGTCTCGTTGGCATCAATTTCACTGAGTGTCTGACCATCCACAACGACAACTGAATGAGCGATGGCACCCTTGCCAATGTCCAGGGTAGCAGTGGCCATTCTTTGCTCAAATTCACCAGTGGTATGATCTAGAATGATTACCTAAAAACAAGTTAGCTTCTTTCCTTCAGAGCCGATTTGGACAAACAAAATCAGGGTGTCCTTACGTCAGAATAGTTCTTTGCCAACCTAGCAGAGTGAGCGATATTGATAGCAGTCTCTCTCTTGTCTCCAGTCAACATCCAAATCTTGATATTAGCTCTTCTCAGTTTATCAATAGTCTCAGGAACCCCCTTCTGAAGTTTATCCTCAATAGCCGTAGCACCAGAAAGATCAAAATTCTGCTCAATCATCTCACCGGCCTTCTCAATTAACTCTTGTCGGTCCACGAGACTTGTTGTAGCATCAAGATATATCTTTTTCCAACCGTCATATTCTTGTTCATCCAGAAATCGATAACCAAATAGAAGTGTGCGTAGGCCCTCGGATGCAAAATCATTCATATGTTGAAAGCAACGCTCAAAAACTGCGGCATCATCCAACACAAGTGCCTCATCAACAAGTTCGTCGAACTGCATATCCTGGAATGAATTTCTATGATCCATCGAGGCTAAGGAGAGTCTTCCCATAGAAGCTCGTGGTGTTGTAGGTGTTTGATGAGCACTAATATCTTCTCCTACCATCTCAACGTCAATATTCTCGCGATCTCTCAGCCACGTATCGAGTTCGTCCCGGATTGGCTGAAGCCTCGTACTAGCTATGCTTGGTCGACCATGACCAATACTTTTTCTGTTCTTGCTCATGCTAGGTCTTCCAAGATTCATGCTGGGTCGACTAAAGCTGTTCCTAGGACTGTGATCACTCTGGTGGCTCATTCTACGAAGTGCTTGTTCAGCTTCCATACTTTTCCTTATGCTAGACTTCCGAATGACTTCTGCTGCCTTCTCAATAGCCAGTGAAGCCAATTTCAGTCGAGGCAGGATTGCTGAATCGGCACCCTTGCAGAATATACAGATCTTGCCGTTCGGGAACCGCACAACGATCGACATGCGTTTCCTCTTGCTAGAGAACTCAATCACGTCCGAAACCTCGTATGATTCCGTGACCGTTTCTTCAGGTTCGGAAGCATTAGGGTATTTGAGTGTGATTGATCTTGCCGGACGATCAATGACGAGAAATCCAAGCTCTTGAGCGGCTTTGACTAAGGCTAATTCATCTGGTGAGGCAGCTTGAAACTCTATCTCTCCATTGTCCTGAACCTCTGGCAAGCAAGTGTGACACAATGCCAGCGAGAGCAGAAAAAACTTGGCCTTTTTGGTGAAAACGGAGTGAGGCTTAGATTGCATGAATCGCAGCATTTCCTCAGTCCTAAGTTCGACTTGTGCTTTCGTTGGCCTGGCTGATGACCTCCATATTGAGCCGGATCTACGCAGGGAACCCGCTCCTGGAGATGCAAGCTCTGGTTGCGTAGATTCGTTGGACTCATTTCGTTCAATATGGGGTCTGGACGACTGTTTCTTCGCAAACCGTCTTATCACACCTTTCCCTTTATGTTTCTGTCCCGGAGACCCTCTGGCCTCTTGCTCTTCCTGCTTCTGAGCTGCTTCTTTCTGCAAATCAAAGTCATGAAGCCACGCATAGCCAGCAACACTAAGTTTTCTAAAGCGCATGATGTTGTCTGTCAACGTTCCGGTTTTGTCCGAGAATATATAATCGACCTGGCCCAAATTCTCAAGGATGGTAGTAGTATTGCAAACCATTGGTGTATTGGTAACTTCATCGTACATTGCAACATCAGCCATAAGCAGGAGTTGGCCTATCTTGATAATCTCAAGACTGACATAGAGTGACAATGGAATCAGAGTATTGTAAAGAATTATGAAGCCAATGATGATCTGCCAGAATGGAACTTGTGCTCTATGCAAATACCATGAGCGTTTTTCAACATTCTGTGACCATATTTGGTATGCAATGGAGCAGAACAGGGCCAGAACAATAACGAAGAATACCAACATGATTACGATTTTGTTGGTAATGTACTGCATGGCGGGTGCTTTGATCCGAGGATTCTTGTTGGCATTCATCCGGATTTTACAGTCTTCTCCACTGTTTATAACCATTCCAATGGCCTCTGTCGTGTTTCGAAGAGTGCTTCCACGCAAGATGATCTCATTGGTAGTGAGGGGCGTTGTCTCCCCACCCACAGTAACTCGTCCGTCAAAATTGTATAGATCAAGGTTTGGATCTTCAACCACAATAGTAGCACGGCATGCTCCAATCTCGTCCACTGTTTTACAATGTTTTACCAGAGAAGGCGGGCCCTGCTTACTTTTCAGGTTGGTTTCGCCATCGAGAGCCATGGTTTCGATGTAGGCAATACCGTTTGGACCATCTGAATGAAGGAGAACCATATCAGCGGGTACATTGTCGTCTCGCCGTAACTTGATAATGTCTCCCACTCTAACATCTTTCCACTTCAAGCTTGCCCAGTGCTTCATTTCATCGTGATTGAGTTCATAAGAAGTCATTGAGGTATCACCACTCTTTCGAGAGGACTTGCGTTCGTAAAACGGAACTCCGTTGTATATCTTTTCCTTGTAACTTTTCGGCGATGCTGAGGTAACTCCACGAGATGGCCTGTAAGCATGGAGAACCAATGTTTCTTGGTTATTCTCCTTCTTGTCCAATTTGTATCTACGAACATCATCCCAACCTTCTTTTCCCATACTGATCATTACGAAAACCAAAAGTGGAGCAATCGTAGTATAATTCCCTGTGGTACTCAGACCGGGCACCATTTGAAGAACTGAGATCAAGAGAAAATAGGCGTTTGCTAATTTGGAAAACTGGAAGAAAAGTTGTCGAGGTAAAAAGTTCCAGACTGTATAGCGACTGGATCGGATGGAGTTTCCTATGTACTCCTTGCTGGTTCTTTCATCGATCAAATTGTAGTTTCTAGAGGCATCTAATTCGATGTGTCGCCCATCCTTAGAAGGTGGGATTGGTTTTGGCTCGAAAAGTGGTTTTATCTTCTCCTTGTAGGTACTCTTTATTCTGTGAACCAGCGGGCTTTCCTGACTTCTCTTTGCCAAAGATCCATAATTTGGTAGACTGATCGTCCCGAAAGTTTTCTGGTCCTTCTTCCTATATGTAGATGCAGCATGGTTCGCTGGATTCGTTGTTGAAGATGTCACTGGCGTGATTTCGACGCTTTCAATGACTGGAGAAATTGACACCATAGACGACTTTCTTTTCCCCGCTTCTGTTCCAGCCGAGTTGAGTCCATGGTCCCTCGAAGACCCTGATTCTACCACCTCCTCCAACGGACTGCTTTCTGATTGCGTGCCTATGGTTCTATTGAACAGTGATCTTCTCAGCGAGTATCCTCGGTCTCGTGTCCGGGGTGATGTTGGGGATTGAGCCGGAAGAGCGCTGACCCTCGCCACCTGTGGTGAGAGGGGTTGCCTGCCATCATTCGATCGTCCCACCGCCCCAACGGTATATACATCGGTATCCAGCGAGAAATTTGGTGTAGGAGGTCTCGCAGACGCTGCGACTCTCTCAATATCCTCCGAGAAGCGAACCCGGGGGTGTTCTCGATCGGCCGACGCTCGTTCGTGCCCTTCCATGGTGAGGGGACGTTGTATGGGATCCGTCGATGCCCTTCTCTGCCCTGGTGATGTGCCAGAACCCTTTCTTGATTTCTCCGTCATTTTGTTGTGCTGGGACTCGTGGCCATTTGAGGGAATTCGATGGCTGGGTGTCTGGCGCACTAATGAGTAGGTTCGTGGTTCAGTACTGCTACTGTCACTGCCACAATTCGGTAAAATCCAGCGAATGGAGACAGCTGAAGTTAAGCCCAAATGCGCCTTGTCTCAGCCATTGGGGGAGGTGCCTTAGAGCATTTCTGTGAATGTTGCACCAAAATCCTGAAGGCCAGAAAATCTCGAGTTGGGTTGCTACGACTCCTTCAGCTACTGTAGGTACGAGTATTGCATTGCTATGGTTTTAAGTTTTCATCCCTTTGGATAGGTTCGTGAGAGATCCGTCCCTCCCTGGTCTATTTTGGGTGCTTGGCACAATACGTCACAGTCACAGGCCGCGGAGGATTTCTCAACGGTCACTCAGGTACTAACTAGCCCAACATTTTTACGTGTACAATCACAATCTTATATGTTGGATGTAGGTGCTGATGACGGGAAGCTTTGGAGCCTCCAATCCATTCATGCCCTTTTGATCACTCCTAACAATTCACGTCAGATTCTCTGCTTCTAACAATGCCCTGGGAATTATAACCGAAAAACTCCCAGCTTCCCCGCATTTCGTATTCAAGTTCTAGAAGGCTGGGCTGGGTTGGTAAATTACAGAGCGTGGGGCATCTCACAATCGCAACTCCCCATGTCTACCTACCCCATTGAGTAAGACCCAAATATCGAAGCTTAACCTCCCTAGCAAATTTACATAACTCCTCGATTATTTCCGGGCGATGCCTCCTTCAACTATTCCATTGGTCAATACATGTGGGACGCTAATGGCAGCCACTCGTGACGAGATAACCAGAAAGTTTAAAAATGATCTCCTGCCCATCCAACAGATCTTGATCGACGTTCACTCCTGCTCGAAATATACCCGAAAAACAACAATTGTTATCTATCACCACTCTCATTATCTATTTATATCCTCCCATTTGAAACCTGTTCAAGGTGGGAATACTTGGGTGACTTTCGGAATAGGTAATTTTGAGGTAAACATGAGCTTGGATTTTCTTTTCGCATCTTCATAATTCTCAAGATGGTCTTATGAGGAAAACTCTTCTTAATGGCTGTGTAGTTGTTCGCACATCGAATTAGAGAGGAGTTACTCCGTAGACAATGCCAGAAGAGTACGAGATAAGGACCTGAGAGACGAAACAAAAACAGGAATAGATCATTCAACGACCCGTCAATTCAAGGGGACAGGTGAGGTGAGGTTAGACGAGACAACTTTGAAGGCGCCGCGGTGGCCTATCCTTCCGAAGGAAATATCGCGAAACACCGGCTACAAGCTTAATCCAACAACCTGTTCCTATTACTCACGTTACAAAGAGCATATTCAAGTTGCCCATGGACGTAATGGGAAACAAACAAACGATGCTTTTAGGATAGAAAGGATATGTGAACCTGCAAAGCTGTGCTTTCTAACAATGGGCAAGTCTTGGGAGACATTGATGTATATATGAATACTTCAAGTATTATACGTCTTGCTTGATCAGATGAACACCAACTTTGATGCTAGATCCATGTCTTCTCTTTCCCAGTCAAAATCCCCACGGGGACTCCCACGGATGAGGCGATCCCAATGGTACGAAGTAGTATATCTGAAGTAGGCCACAGCAGACTTCTGTCGTATTCGGACCATCAACTTAAAAAACGGCACTGAACAGAAAGGCTCGAACAAAAGAGATATGCATAAATGACGAGGTAAGAAGCTGGGGCCATCCTTTTTGCAACTTGTTCTACAGTACTTCGTAGCTCTAGCTCACCGCCATCTACTTCTAACAAGGGAAAAAAAAGGGGAGTTGGAAAACGCATGAAAAGATCTACTTCCTCGCTAAAAAGCACTGTTCAAAGTGGAAACTCTCAATCCACATCTGACAACCCCACGAATGCAATTCCCTGCTTCGGAAAGAAAAGGAAAGAATACTTGTACAATCCGATCAAGATTTCGAGAAGTCGCGCATCAACAAACTCAGGAGAGACTGGTGCATTAATCTTCAAGAACCCGCTCGACCACAATCAGACGTCCACCTTTTTTTCTTTCCAACGCACTGGCGTTATAAACCTCTCGTCTGTGACCGCGGACGGCGGAACTGACATGCTCGACTCTTTCCAGCATATGGTCCCTAATGACGGAATGGGTGTCATTATTGGGTGCAGAGAATGTTCTTATTTTGGGGCCCACAATTGAGAGGGTAAGGTTTTAGAAAAGTCAGATCAAACGTCTCCGAACCGATCAATGCGATCTCCGCCAGAAAACCTCTTGGCGTTCTGGAGATGATTCTGAGGATCGGATCACTTGTCGGCGCCTGTCCATTGCGGTTGTCGGGTCGGGTAAAACTGCGCGTCTTATCGTCAACTGTTGGACCCCTCTGGAGCTCGCGGATATCTGTGATATAGAAAGAACTCCTGATGGCAATCTGGAGAAACAAGTACGGTATGGAGGATGGCGTGTTAGATGCTGGTTACTCGTAATGAACGATAGGCGATGAGGTTTGTGTTGTGTCATCCATGGTAGGGAAAAGGTCGCCATGCATGCATGAATTTTACGAGTAACGCTAGCCTTGAAGCAGGGTGTGCAAAGCTGCTCCATGAACCGTTCGTCGCTACTTATTGCACGCACCAAGGCGCGCCCCGCGGCGAGGTTCTCCTTCTCTTGTCCTCGTTGGCGGCTCCACAGTTAGTTTACATCGGAGGATTCCATCCCATCACGTCGCCGAGTCGTCGATGATGGCTGTGGTGACACCTGAACGTCTTCCTGATTCACCCCCTGGCCTTTGTGAACTGGTCAGTCTGATCAGTCTGGTCAGTCTGATCTCTCCATGGCTTCCTGGCTCTCTGGAATACGGAGTCCACTGCCACGATGCACGGTGTTGAAGGTTTTGTTCTAGGTGTTTCCATCGTCCCAAGGTCCAAAGCCAAACTCCAAACGTCAACATGTTCTGATTCTTCTGAAGCAGGACAGGACATCGGATGTGCTTCTGCGTTTGCTGTCATTGGTGTTTCGTCCATTGGGTTCTCCACTCCGAGCGTGTCCGACTCGTCCGACTCTGGTTCCACGACCTCTATCCCTGTCTGCCCCTTTTTCATGCGATAAGCGTTCCTGGGCTAAGACCGCGTAGCGCGTATCGCAGGCTGCCGTTCATACAATTCCGCTTGCCTGCTGGAGGCTTCAAGCTGACAAGCGCTGGATCGAAGCAATGGCTGCTGCAGGTACCGCCCGCGCCTCGACGCCCTCGGAAGGTGACCTGAGATGAGATTTACGGAGTGCTTGGTGACTCCAAAGAGCGCTCCTATCCAAAGATTGCTTGCGACGATGGACTTGGATGTACTCGTACGGTGTGGTTGTGGCACTGACACGGGACTAAACACGTCCAGGCCTATTTTCGTCAATCTGGTAGAGAATCCTGCGGCCCGACGTGGAAATGCTTTAAGGGCGGCCATCATCATGCTTTGGATCTGTGGTCAGGCATGTTGGAGGGGAGGATCCTTCAGGCTTCAGGGGCCTTCATTCTTATCGATTGAGCAGCGACGCAGCGTGGAGGCGAGCCGTCAAGCTTCTGTCATTTTCGAGCAATCGGATTGCCGTTACGGAGTATTATCTTACATGGCCCAACGTGCTGAGCATCGAGGTAAATCGACGAGGTACCAATGATACCGTTTAGAGAGACATCTCCAGGCCTCGACGGAGCTTGTGCTTGTACTCTTGTATTCTCATACGCTCGAGAAGAGGAAGCTCTTGGTGTAAGCGAAGGTATTCGAGTAAGTCTTACAGCACGTAGCGTACTCGAGTACCACGTTGGCCTGACTGTCATGACATGACTGCGACGACTGAGCCGGATGAGTGCATGCCCACGGCACAAGGCACAAGGAGTTGCAGAATAGACTCAATAGAGTACATGTGCGTCCGCATTCGGGAGCCCCTAGGCTAGTGGACAGTGGACTCGTTGGACATGCTGAAGTATGCAGAGAGCAATGCACTCGCAATGCCATTGGGCCAATGATGATACGCGGGTGGTGAGCTTGTGAGAGTCGTCCGAGAAGAAAGTGGCCGATTTAGGAAAAGGGGAAGGCCATTCCAAGATGCCAATACCGAGTATACAGCAAATCCCACCGTACTGATACTTCGAAGTATATGATTTCCTCAACAACCACGAGAAAGTGCTGTTCTTCTTCACGCTCTCTAAGAATCTCTCCAATTACTCAAGCCGTCATCCACATCCACATTCACACTCACATCCACATCCACCAGTGGCTGCAGGATAACTCTGAGTACAGTTTGTACATACTTCGGGGTAGAAGTATACGGAGGTTCGAGGCAAGTCTATGGCATACTGCTGGCTTAGACGTGGACCACCAATGACACCGACTGAATCCTTTCCCCTTGGAGTGACCCATGCCCCATGCTGGGAGTTGCCACATCCCCAAAGGAAGTCAGCAGGCTCGTGGGTCGAACCGACCAGAGCGAGCGACGATAGGGATGGTGCTGGAGCTTGCCCTGCACGGTGGGGCCCTGGAAAAAGATGGGACGAAAAGACGACCCACTGGTGACTGGTGACTGGTTGACTGGGCCAGGCATGCGAAGACCCAGAAGAGCAGCAGCCGGGAAGCTCACGTCGAGGAAACGCGGCATTGTCGCGCTTGTTGCAAAGCGGAAGGAGAACAGGGAAGGCCGACACGATGCGCTCTCTAGACACTGGGGGTGCTGGTGCTGGTTAGGGTTGCTGGTGCTGGGAAGTGATGGGGGATTCACTTGGTACTGAGCAGTACGGTACGAGTGGTAGAGTACCCTCCGTAGCCGGAAGTAAGACTTGCGACGCGGAACACTCGACTGTGTGGCCTGTACGGAGTACGGAGAGTACTTGTAGGCTCTCTATCTACTAGAGATTGATACTGTAGCTACGCGACACGGTGCGGTAGGTCAAGCGATGGTACTCGAGTACAGCAAGTGCGAGTACTGGCAGGTCTACTAAGGATACCTAGGTATTCTCCTACTGTCAGTCTGTCACAAAGCCTAAACGAACCTAAAGGTAGGAGCCGAGGTCTATTCAGTGTTCGTGATGCCATCGCCAATGTCGCCATGGAGAACTATCGAGAGGTTGAGGTTGCCTGGTCCAGAGGTATGCCATCAATGGAAGTGCATCAAGTGCCGTAATATATACGTTCATGTATCTCTATAGAAGTATAAATAGGAAGCATTCGTGTGAATCATTGCCGCTATTTTCTGGTCCTCGTACCGCTGCGACGGAAGACCTGGCGAGGTGGTGTGGCAGTGGCAGTGGCACAACGGCGGCCTTCTAAGTTCTGGCACCTGCCTGCCAAAAGACAAAAGGCTTCTCAGAGAGAGCCCCTGCACAACTTCGCCTTCTGACTGGCTGGAGGTCGTGGCTAGCTTCTTGGCATCGCTGAATCGTTCCCGCGCAGTGCCTCGTCCCCTGAACCATCCAGGGTCTTCTCCCCCCTGGCTCTCCCCAAAGCCGCTTTCACTGGCCCTTCACTGCTTCAGTGCCTTCACGGCCTTCACACCTCCCGGACCCTGGTACCTCGCACGCTGCCAGCCTGACCCTCTTCCACCCACACACCCCCCCAGGGAAAGGGTCCCCCAACTGGAAACCTGGAAGGCGCCACTCCCACCCACAACGGCACTAACTCCTTTAGGAGGCTCCTCCCCCCATCAGCCTTTTCTCCTGTCTCGACTCTCGCCCATCGCGCCTTCTTCCTCCTCCTCCCCAACAACACCTCCCCCGACAACCACCTCGTGTGCCAAATATCCCCATCTCCTTTTCCTCAACGTCTCTCCGTTTCTTTTCGTAGCCACTTCACGGATCTCCGCCACTCCTTTCGGGATCCATTACACTCCTTCGGCTTGCCCAACTTGCTTTCAAAAAAACATATTCACAATTCACAAATTCACCCGCACTCGACTCACTCCTTTGATCGAGCCCATTACCATTTTCGCCAAAATCCAAATACCCCCCTTCAACACGACCAACATTCTTCTACAACCTTCAATTCGCCCTTTGCTGCCAGCTCCAGTAAACCCATATTTACATCCCTTCAACCACCCCTTTACTTCTACTGCCGCCGTTCTAATCTCGACGTGATCTGGTCCGTCGACACTTTCGCAAACCTAAACTAAACCTACTCACCACCCCCCTCGTACTCGATACGACAACCCACCGAATACTGTTCGGTAAGAACCAAAAGCAGACCTCGGTCGGCGAAGTGCACCTAAATATGATCAACGATCACTTTGACAGTATGTCGGAAATCTCCCAGGAAGACGCGGCCATCAAGATGTCGTCGACCCCCAGCCCAACCGCGTCGCACTCAGCGAGCGCAACCTCCGCGTCCCGTAGAGCTCCCCGCAAGAGCACCCTCACCCAACAACAGAAGAACCAGAAACGTCAACGGGCGACACAAGATCAATTGGTCACGCTGGAGATGGAATTCAACAAAAACCCCACACCCACCGCCACCGTCCGCGAAAGAATTGCAGAGGATATCAACATGACCGAACGTTCAGTTCAAATTTGGTTCCAAAATCGGTAGGTTTTGAAAAAGGGGGGACGAACCATTGTGAATATGAAACTAACCAATCGCCAGACGCGCTAAGATAAAGTTGCTGGCCAAGAAGAGCATTGAGACAGGTGAGGACTGCGATGCCATCCCAGAATCGATGCGACAGTATTTAGCAATTCAAGCTATGGAATCTGGAAAATCCTTGGGCGGTAACTTTCTTGGTCGCTCAGGATTGATGCCTTATGGTGGTGGCGCCATGATGATGGGAGGCGATCCAAACCAGCAAGGTAAAGTTGGTAGGAGGTATTCACCCATTCTTCCAGTTCGCTTGCTGATACATTTCTAGTCATTCACCATCTTTCATGCCGTTCCCTTAGTGTTGGTTCATGGAGACGAGTGGGTCAAAATGCAATGGACTTGATCATCTTCTACTCCCCAGACAAGGCGACCATGACCTATTACATCAACAATGACCAAGCTGGCTACAAGATCGAATATCCGTTCGCTTACATTAAAAATATCTTCCTGGAAAACGGCGATATGGATTCTGGAAAGCCCGGCGGTCTTGTAGTGGAGCTCAACCGACCACCCAACTTTTTCATGGACTCTTCTGGATCTGGTGGATTCTTCCAATGCGGTGATTTCACGGAGGACCAGCAGGCATCTCAAATCATGGTTCACCACCTCGGAGGCCATCCAAAGGTACTGAGTGGACAATTAGCCAAACTTGTCTCACTCGACACCTTTATGGGTCGTCACAGCTCTTTTGAGCAGCAATTGTCGGTATCAGCACCAGTCTCTCCCAGTGGCCACCGCCCAGCATCCCAGCCAAACTACAATGCGCAAGCTCATGTCGGCATGTTCCAAGAGGGATGGGGTGTTAACACTACTCCAAACCCTCGGGGACCAGGACACAAGCGACAACGAAGTCGATCCGTACCCATGGCCGTCGATTTCTCCATGTTCAACAACCCCATGCCATCGTTCCTCATTCAACACCCCAACGAGCCTCAATCCCAACCTCACACCCCAAATATCTTTGCTCCTATCCCACAACAAGGTACACTAGGACCCAACCTTCGCATTGACACCTCGACTGGATATGGGATGGACTACCGACAGTACCCAATGTCTGCAGCAACCACAGCATCTCCTTCAGAGTTCAACAGTCCGGCGGCCTTCTTCACTCAACCCCCTGATACAGCGGGTCTTCCAGCTTCTACCTATGGTAATGCTCCATACTCTGTCCCTTACCTTTCGCCAAATCCAATGGTCGACAACAATACTGGAGGAATGGTCCAACCTGCTACGTCCCCACTTTCTTTCATGGGCCACGGAGATCCAGCAATCGTTGATCAATCACCACCAATGTCCATGATGCACCGAAGCAATTCGGCGGATGTTTATGGTATGTCTCATGATGGACATACCAGCATCTCCGATGACGGTACTGGTTTAAATGAGATGTATTCCAAGCACACTTTGAACATGCCTATGCACCCTCACTCTCCGGCCTTTCCCGAGCAATCAGCAGCAGATATGGATATGAATCAGCTTGTCTCATTCGACGAGAACCCCGCCAGTCTTTCACCAGAAAACATGAACCAAAAATACGAGTCATGATTCCTCGTCCAAGTCCGCGGCCGTCTAATCGACTCCTGTTCAAGTTCACTATGTGGTGAAGAAGGTTTAAATTCTGAAAGCGGCTTATTTTGAAGGGTGGAAATATTGAAGGCGTTGGGTGGTGTTTTTTTCATTTTGGTTGGTTACCGGTTATATACACACAACATCACGGCCGCGCGTTTCAATTCTTGCGTGAACTTGGATTGTTCTAATATCTGGTTTCACCCCTCGGCACCGGCTTTGGATCTTGTTTTCTCCTTTTATTTTTGCTCTCTACTTTGTTTGTCCATTTTTTATGCCACGAACTTGCATGACGATTTCTCAATTCGATATATCATGCTTGTCTGGCACAGCGATCGTTTTTTTCCTTTTGAATTTTTCTCATCTCCTATTATCTCGGCGCGTTCATTTGTTCTTTTTCGAGTTGCTTTTTTCTCTAACAATGGAGAGATCCCCTTCGTATTGTGTTTATTATGTTCTCTTGAGGAGAATGTTTTGTAGGAAGGGCTGGATGGACATAAATGGAATTCTGGCGGCTGAGGATGGGTGCATCGTATCAAGCTTTGTACTCGGAGGATAGTAGTATTTTGTGATTTTTGGGGTGGGTTGGAGGTGTATGGTTGGGGGAATGGTGCAGAATGTGGGAACAACTTTGTGCTTGCTTCGGGTTCTTCTGCATTGTTGTGCGTGCGTCATGATAATCATGGACGGGCTTAATAATGGAATTTATTACAAAAAATATGAAATGAAGCCTGTATTGCATGATTGTGATTTGAAACTGACCTGAACCGAAAGGGTTGGATGTATGTATGCGTAGGGAGAGTAGGAGTGGTGATGGAGGGTTGAAATAATCAAGCTGATAAATCTCCATACGGTTACGAGTAGTTGGCGTATCATGACATCAGTTTGCTTTTGAGGTCGTCTAAATCCCAGCACATCACTATCGGTTCACGGAATAATACGACATAGATATCATATTTAGGGGGGTCATCTCACCCTAGCGAGATCTTCATAACGAGTGGTGTGGGTCGATTATGACATACTTTAGTGAGATTACATGTCTTTGGTGGTACGAGTACTGTAGGACTGAAGTAGAGGGGTCAAGAATCGGATCCGAGTTCTACGTTCCAATGGAGGTGCTTGTACTTCCTCGGCTACGGTTATGGGATCTTTATCAATGGAGGGGATTCAGAGGTCTGATTTACCGAGGAAGAGATAGCAGGTTTTCAAAGGGTTTTCATTATCTCACTTACTGTCTTGGCGGCAAGACGTTTTCTCTCTGCCTCGGGGAGGTCGGCGCCCATGTCTGTGGGAGGGGAAAGGTTGATGATTAGCTTGTGGTTTTTGGGTGGGGGGTTTTTGTTTTGGGTGAAGGGGTTGGGTTTATGTGAGAGGGGGATGGGATATATACCTCTAACTGCTTGCATTTTTAGCATCATAGCTTGTAACTTCTCCACGTCCTCATCGTCTTTGCCTTCATCCTCCTCATTCCCATTCTCATCTCCCCTCCCATAAATCGCCATCTTCATACCCCTCATCTCCTCATCCATCTCCTGAGGATCAATTCCAAACCCCAACTCACCCATTTCCTCACCCTCATCACCCAACAAGAAATCCTCCACCTCCCCCCCCTCACCCATCCAATCATTATCCAGATCCACAAACTCAAAACCAAGCTCCTGACACAAATCCTCCCACTCTCCCTTCTCCAGCTCCAAAATCGGCGTCTGGCTCTGCTTACAAGCTACCGCTAGCACGACACCATCCCAGTCGTATCCACACCCCTCTTTCACCACTTCGCCGACGTGGGTTAAGAGTTCTTTGATGCCGTCCAGGTCGGCGGTGGAGAGCGGTTTTTTGAAGGTGACGATTATGGCGCCGAGGGCGTGGAGGACTTCTTTTGCGGCTGGGGAGAGGAAGTCCCGGGACCAGGTGGGGGGTGAGGGGGTTTCGTCCACCCAGATGGGGAGGGTGGTGCTGTAGTAGGGGGTTGTGAGGGGGTAGGTGTGCGTGCTTCCTGCTAGGCCTGAAGGGGGGATTGTGGGGGTAGTTTGCGTGAGTTCTGGGTGGGGTGTTAGTTTATGTTAAAGATAGGATGAGATGAGGGAGGGGGTTTGAGATGTGAGAGAATGAACCTTTGAGGAGGTCGAGGAGGGAGGAGTCCGGGCGGCTGACTGCGAGGATGCGACGGGGGTTTTTGATTTCCATTTTTTTGGGGGTTTCTTTTTATTGGGTTTATTTTTTGTTTGTGTTTGAGGAGAGGTGGATGAAATAGATGAGATGGGATGAGATGAGTTGAGAGGTTCTGACACTTTCACGTGATGAGGCTGGATCATCATTAATTCCATATCCATGGATTGGTTAGTACCTGAATGCACTCACATACGCAGGTATCTTCACACCAAACCAAAGCCCAAGAACAAACTTGTAAAGCACATCTATTCAGATCTCACATACATGTATGGAATATGCAAAGATAAAAAGTGCCATAATTTAGCCAGCACTTCTCTCTCATCTCTTGCCATGACTTTTTATGCCTCTCAAAAAAAAAAAAAAGAGAAGAAACGCCCAAATCAAATATATTCCCCACGCCATTATGAAGATTTCCCATTGCATTACATTCAATTTCCTCAATCCCTCCCATGGCTTTAACCCCGAGGGGCTCCTCGCCCACCACTGGCTCGCGCTCGGCTGACTGTTGCTCTTCCTCTTGCCAAACCGACACCTCTTCCTTTGACGCCGCGGGACTTGAACATCGGTGCGTTTCTAAAACAGAGATATATTAGAATGTGTATGACATTGAAAAGAGGAAGGGGGGGGAATCATACCGTAACATATCAGGCACGATGAAAAACCTCACATGGCTTCCCCGAATATAGACTTGGTCCAGATGGCTCACTCTCCCATCGCGTGCCGTGACGGTGATATCCTTCAGTTGCACATTCATGTTATCCTCCGCTATAAATCCTAATCAGTATCTATCCTTTTAGAACCCAAATCCTGCCCTCCTTCGACTGCGACTCGTCTTGGGGGGTGGTGCTCATGGCTGTGGGGGGAAAGAACAAACCCTCGAGTAGTTTTCCACGGTACACTTGGCCGCTGGTAATCTCAAGCGTAACGACATGTCCCTATTCCCGCATCAAGAAGTCAGCAAGAGCGCGTTTTGCAAGGGCTTCTACGCGGGGGGTGGAAAGGCGGGGTGGGCAGGACGAACCTGGGCTTCGTTGAGGAGCTTGATTGGGATACCGATCGTACTCGTCATTATGGCGGTATTAAATCTGGTGGAGCTGCGCAAGGTTCGTGTTGAGCTCGAAGGAAAAGGAGTAGTGTGGGCGTTGGCGCAGAGTCGTGAGGTTTGTTCTGCGCTCTTGAACCTCTAACCTTTCCATGCTGCTGCATCTCAAAATATTGGCGCTAGTGAAGCTTCCCTGTCTGAGCTCTGAACCACCCACTGTAAGTGAAGTCCACCACAACCACGTATCTCACGTTTCTTCCCAAACTTCACACGTAATCCAAAACTTTGAGAAGGAAATCAATGGATATGTCATCCTTCAACATCTCCGCCACACTCTCGCTTTTCCGGCTTGTCACACGTCCGAATTTATGTCTTCCTCAATCTACCTTTGCGACGTTCAACGATCTACCAATCCCTTTGGATAAAGCTTTCGAGGGGAAGTATAAGAATGTGGATATTCGAGCGGTGGTTCTGGATAAAGATAATTGCTTTGCGAGACCGCATGAAAATGGGATTTTTGAGGGGTATGAGGTTTGTTGGTTTCCTATTCTTATTCTTACAAGGCAACTATTCTCACCCCTTCTTTACTCTCTTTATCTTGTGTACTCAAACCAAACTCATTCATATGAAAATTGGGATGGGGGAATAGAGCTAATAAAACCACCCAGAAACACTTCGCCCATCTCGAGAAAACGTACCCCAACCGCAAACTCCTCATCGTCTCCAACACCGCGGGCTCCTCCTCCGATCCCACGCTTTCCCTTTCAGCGGCTGTGGTGGAAAGTACGGGGGTGCATGTCCTTCCCCATTCGAGGAAGAAGCCTGGGTGTGGAGGGGAGATCATGGAGTACTTTCGGAAGTATCCCGAGACGGGGGTTACGAGGCCGGAACATGTTGTTGTGAGTTTTTATATTTTTGATTTACTTGGAGTTTTTGGTGTGGTGCTGTAACTTGAAGTGATATTGTCACTTTTACACTTTTCTCGTGAGAGCTTTCTTTGGTGGTATTTTGCTTTTCGTTTTTGTTTTGAAGCAAGAAGGGCTTTGGGAAAGATGCTAATTTACTATCCCATTAAAAGGTTATAGGTGACCGCCTTACCACCGATGTCATGCTCGCGAATACCATGGGGAGTTACTCGTGTTTCCTGAAAGATGGAGTGTTGGGTGCACAGAAGCTAAGCTTTGTAAGTCCATTCCCACTTCGGGCTCTTCATTCCCTCCAGTTGTTTCCTTTGAATATACTTGATCTAACAAGCCTTTAGCTCGCTAAAATGGAACAGCGCTTCGCGAATTTTATTCTACGGAGAGGGTACGTTGCTCCTGACCCCTCGAGTCCTTTTTGAGGAAGTAGAGGGGTTGGTTGTAGGCTTTTTGTGAGATTATGATGATGATGTAATGTAATTTATGTGGAGTCTTTGATGATTTGCGATGTTTTTGTTGTGGGACTTGTGGATGTAATTATAGTATCTTAAGTGATTGTGTGTGTAGATGCATGTATATACAGATAGAAATATAAATGTTTATGCCAGAAGGCTGAATTGTGCCTCGCTTAATTGGTTGGTCTCTAAGAGTAGAAAGGTTACTAAACATGTTTCGATAGTAATGTAGTGATCATTTACCTAATCTCCAGAAAACTAAAGTTCAGTTTCCATTAAAAAGGGCCACTTTCGTCTCTTTTGTTGGAATGGATTTATGTGTCTAGGGATACTTTGCACGTGAGAAGAGTTATTACATTATAATAAGCAAGTCCCCTATATTATTTACTTCTTAGTAATGATTGTTGTTTTATACTGACAGTGGAAAACCGGGTAAAAAAGTAATACCTAATTAAATTGTAAATAACATATAAAAAGGGAACCACTCTTGAATTTCACCTACATAAGGTATGTTTTGTTATATACTTGTGTTGCATTTCGCTAGAGAATGCCTTCTGATCCTTGCTCTAGGTGAAGTGAAGCTACCAAGTGAGAAAAACGAGTATAAGATAGTCTTATTTTTACTTGTATCGTTTCTGGTAGTTGAAAGAATAAAGACCGTCAAGCTTAAAGTGCAGAAACTAGAATTGGAAAAGGTGGAATATCTAAGTTCCTGTCATTTGTCCTCTGTCGTTCCATGTTGTTGCAGTGGACAGCTGAGACAATAGAGTGGATATACAATTCTACATATACACAATCAGTTTTGAAGCTCTATGGTGTTCTTGGTTTTATTAGGTTTTTTTTTTGATAATCCTTTAAGCTGAAGTAAGGAGCTTGGTTGTAAGTGATCAAGTGACCATTGAGTCTAACAACGTCACTCCCCCCTGGATTTCCTCGCCTAACATACAGAAATTCACCTACTCAACTTCACCACTAAAACCAAAAGTGGTCACATTCTACTTATCGGATATCATCGGCATGTACAATCGGTTATTCCTGCCAATAAATGCTATTGCTAAGCTAGTTGCGCTGATGTCGGCTCAATCTTATACCGACCCACAAATGTGAATATTTCAAAACACCCCCTCCTTCCCCGCTTCCATTTCCTTTCCAACTCCTTCCACCTTCCATCCATCATCCTCTTCGCAACTCATCCTTACAGTGAGTGTCGTGATGGAGCAAACAGAGAGCCCACCGATGGGTCATCCACCTGAACATCCACCTGAGCATCCTACTGAGCATTCATTGGAGCATATAATGGAGCATTCGACCGATCAACTGGTGGACCGTCCAATGGAGCAACCTGCAGATCAGCAAATGGTCCAGCCAGCAGTCCAACAAATGGAGCTCACAGCAGATCAAGTAACGGAGCAACCTGCAGAGCAAGAACTGATCCAACCTGCCGAGGAACATGTGGTTCAGCGAGCAGATCAACCGCCGGAGCATCTAGTAGATCATCCGATGGAGCAACCTGCAGAGCAACAGGTGTTCCAGCAAATTGTTCAGCCTGCAGAGCAACAAGCGGTTCAGCCAGCAATTCAACCAGTGGAGCAGTCAACAGATCAATCAGCGGAACAACCTGCACAGAAAGAACTGGTTCAACCTGCACAGCAACAACTAAAGCGGCCAAGAGGTCAACCACCTAAGAAACATGCGGCGAGACCAGTAGAACAGCCAACTGATACCCCCAAAAAACACAAGAATCCTGGAAAGTCCTGGAGTGACATTGAACTTCGATACATTTGGGATGTTGTTCAAGAGCAGCGAAATGAGGGCATGGCTGTATGTTATTTTACCCCTTTCCCTTCTCGGATCTTCTCTGTAAGCAGCCTTAGGGATGCTCATCAACCTCTTTTACTCTTCGCTCCCACCTTTTGAGAAACAAGTTGACTAATTCATTGCAGTGGAAAGATTGTGCCATCGCTATGCATTTGGAAATGAGAAAGCAAAACCGTAAGAGCATCTCTTCATTTGTAACTTAGACTGTTACTTCGTTGTTCTCATGGTTCACTATCTGCCCTCTACAGAACTTGAGCAAATATTATTTCATCGTCTCATAAATACATAAGCTTACATTCCATATTCTAGATGTCCGTCGCCGTTATGAAGCCCATAGTCTTCTCCAAGCCTGGAAGAAGTACTTCACTGAAGCTGCTAAGAACCGAGGAACTTTCGATTACATCAACAGCGCACCTCTCGCCAAGCGACCTCCTCCCCGACAAGCCCCAAACAACTCGAGATATGTCGTCAAGTCCCACTACCGACCACAACAGGTTCTCATTGCCACCAGTTCTAGATCTGCCGCTTCCTGGGGTTATGGCACAGAGGAGTTTGAACAAGCAGTTGAAGATGGTGGAGCTTCTGCTGCTATGGAGTACGAAGATGAAGACGAGGAGTTCGGTGGCAACGATGAGCTTTCCAATGCGGGAGGCAACATGAGAAGTCTTTCACGTGCATCAAAGGAGGTTTCATCCAATGACCGCTACGAAAATGACGACGATGATGAGTTTCCTGATGTAAATGAGCTCACAAAGCAGCCCGCCAGATCCTTCAAGGCCTCTGAGAGACCAGTCGCACGTTCTCTTCCTCCAAGAGCTTCAAAGTCAAGCAAGCCACTTGTCGATTACAGCAGTGATACTGATGATAGTCTTGCTGATGATGATGATGACTATGACAATCAAGCTGGTAAACGTAAGTCTCCAAGCATCCTTGCCCTCTATGAAACATTACTAATACTTGTCACCCAGAACCTCGCAAGCGTATCAAGGGAGTTATTGTGCACGCAGGTAATGAAATCGAGTTCGATTATGGTAGCGAGTCTGGACGACCAGCTGCATCATCCACCTTTGCACAGTCGCCACACCCAGAGAATCAACTCAGTTTTGTCAGAAGAGGAGAGTCAGAGGCGGAGGACACGAAGTTCCCACCTACCACCGCACCAAGACCACACAACGTCTTTGATGTCCCTATCGGCCTTCCACACCAAGCTGATATTGAATACCCATACAAGACACCAAGCATCAAATCCGATCCCAGCTTCCTCGCTGTCCCTCCTCAACCCACACCACGTAATAAGCCAGGTCCCAAGCCATGGCGCCCCGATCCCTCCAACTTCAAGGCTAAACCCTCCCGTGCTTCTCTCGATGCTCACATGACCCAAGGCACAGGAGTCTACTGGCAAGACCCGGGTCGAATCTTGACATACAAGCAAAAGCAGGCCAAGAAGCGAGAGGAGTTGATGGCAAGCCGTGAGGCGAGAATAAAGGCTGGTATCAAAGTTCCTGCATTGAAGAAGCCACGCGTTAAGGAAGTTCCTCCTCCTTTGATCCCTCAGAATTTCAAGGGTAATGCGTTGACGCAATTACAGGCTCTTCACAATCAGCAGCTTATGGATGATATGATGGGTAATTCTTGAAGAGGCGAGATTGAGGTGCTTTACATGCGAATGATTTTGCGGTGTTTATGAAGGTGACGTTGATGATAGCTATACAAGGAAATCAGATTGAGCGAAATTGAGCCTGTATTGGGAGGCAGTAATTCAGAGATCCTTAGATGGCGAATCAGAGTACCTTTCTTAAGAAATCTTGTGTGTCCGTGTGATACTTTAACACTTAGATTCACCTTTGGTAACTTCAGTCATTTTACGATGATCTGTGAAGTGGGTTTGTGAACAAAGTAGGGTGTAGCAGCTTCAGATGAGGAACATAGGATTTGAATCATTTCTCAAATATCTTTGTTGAAACTCGTCTTAATATTTTCAGTTGTTCCACCTCAACTGAGAAAGATAGCGATGACCAGTAGTTTAAGCGAATTATAAATACAAATCAGAAAAACACGCCACTCCTCTCTTCTACAACCTGGTATTATCTTTATCTTGCACATCCTGAAGCGTAAATCTATGATATTCAGGAAACAATAAATGTAGACACTTTGACAACGTTTCTCTTATGTAACGATCAACAGTATATAATTTATCTTGCTTTTTAGCACAAATAGTTGAATAGACTCAACCACCAGCAATTAAAGTAATAGGAAATTATTGCTACAGTAGCAAGACACCATCCAAACCCCTATAGTTTAATTACATTAGTTCACAGAGCTAACATATAAACCAAAGTACCTAGGTACCTTGATTTGTAAAAGTAAACTAGTCTGTAAATTCCTTCCAAATGAGAGTAGTTCTCTAAGCCTATATCGTAGACTTGAGAAAAATCCTTTGCCTTCGTGCCATGCGCTGGAGTCTCGAAGAGAGATCTACAGGTCATCTCCGTACAGGCCTGTTGTACAAAATAGAATTTTGTAAAATTTCTTAGGCCCTATGACATCTATAATTAGTTGATTGTTTGTACTAAATTTGTACGATTTTGTTTCGCAAGCTAAATAGGCTCTTACTTTGTGATTTCACGAACATTTATATTCCTCCTCCTTTGTTAAGCAATAGATGATTTCTGTCAGAAATTATGGCATGTAAATTAGTTAATAAGTACGTTCTAGGGCCTTAATTAGGTACTCTGCCTTCAAAATGCATCGAGACCTAATATATCACTGAAACACCTTTTCCGCTAACCCGCCTGCCTCCACTCAAGACAACTCCAGCTTATTTACCATTATACAGTACTTATATATCTGGATTCCATCCTTAGATGCACATTAATTTATCTTAAGGTACTCCACACACTCGTAGCTTTGTCGTCCCTATTCTAATATATTAACACGTTATCGTTTCAGAGAACTTTCAGAATTCGCATCTCCATTACAAATCGATCAATATATGAATGAGTCTATGTAGTACTCACCCCTTAAGGCCTACATTTAGTCAAACACTGATCGCTGGTGTATAGATACTCGGTCTAGACTTCTTCTACCATGGCAGTGGCAGCGAAGCCAAGCGCGAAGATAAAATTAAGGAGACGTATATTAACGAAGTATTTGGTGGTTGATATAGGTACCGATCGAATCGATGAGAGTAATTGTCCTATAAGAAAGTCATAGTTATTCGTCATATATAAATAATCCAGGCATATAGATATCTCAAGCAAACAACCCGCCTTGCAAGTTCCGAATACCTAGATACATCTGTAAGTACAGCTTGGCAATACCTCGGTAGTGCTATATTTCTCCTCGCGTCGGTGCTTGTAAAACTATCAACTTACAAAAGAGCGATAGAATGAGGTGCCTCAAAGGAGAGCCTAGGGTTTCTTGGAATCGGCTAGATATCCATGTTTTTTATAGGCATTCGACTCTCGACAATAATAATAGCGAGAGAACTCCGCTCTTAGAAAAATCAATCAATTTGATCTCTCTTGTAGAACTATATTATAAGTATACTCAAATCAAAATCACGCTACGCGATAGTTAAAGCCCAGGTCACTTTCCTACGTAATAGACCCCCGAAAAGGTCCTATAACCATGTCAACGAAGAGCCACCATTTCCCTAGTCCTTGTCGCCCTATAAGAACTCCCCAAAAGTCTCAAGCTCTCTTCCTCTTATTTTTAGAATCGTAAATTTCTTTCTTGTCCTCTTTTATTTTGTTGTTCCCCGCTTCCTATGACTAGTCGCTTAATCCCTCCTCGGAAACATATTCGGGTTCAAGATACCATATTCGCGTTCTAGCCAGTGAGAATCAAGAATAGTGGAAAACTCCCTTTCGAGCTAACTGGCCGTAGGATATAGGTTTTCTGTGAATACCGTATTCGCTTTCTCGTTAGTGATACTCTAGGAGAGCGGGAAGTTCCCTTTCTATAATCACCTCTGCATTTTACAATTCTAACACCAATCCTATAAGGAACTATAATAAACCTACATGCCGGACATATAAGTACATCAACACCAAACTCCCTCCGACACCTCTGGATTCTTATATCAATCCCCGCAGAAACTAACAAGTTCCCCTATTTCAACTCATCTCTCTCCACCAACTTCCCAAGCTCCCCTTCAAAAGTCTCGTATATAAATCCAATCTCACAAGCCCTTACCAACCACCTCCCCTCATCAACATCCCACAAAACCAATAAACGCAAAAGTCTAGAAAATTTACAAATAACCCATTATCCTCTTACAAGAATAAAAAACCAACTTGCTTTACTTCCTTAAACCCACAGATCTCCAATATGGCGGATGACAGTAGCCAAGAGAACTTGAAGGTACGTAGGTAGGTAGGTAAGTTCTTCCACCTCTGTATACGCCAAATCTTGTATATGAATTTGTAATCTAAATGGCGAGCGCAAATAGAAAAGGTATGTTTAATACTCTATGGAATATGAGAACTCTCTGCCGTGAAGATTGTGAAGTAGGACATACATTAAGTTTATAGGTTATCTGTTAGTTAGTTAGTCAGTCTCTACTTACTGGGTTTTGTTAGAAGCAAATTACACAACTTTTCAAGGCGTCTTGTCATCTGAGGAGTCTCGAGGCTTCGATCTCGCAAAGCTTTCTCGGAACTCGTAGAGTAAGTAGCTGATTTCATTTTGGAAGAAGAGGAGAGAGTATGGCAGTAGCTTTCTATGTTCTCAACGCTGTTGATACAGAAAATAGGGGTAAGAAGTTGGTACAGTATCACAATGTGCAAACAGTCGAGAATTTCAGAAATTGCTTTTCTTTTCTCTTCCTTTTTAGGAAGGATGAGTTTGCGTTCCTGTGTGGGCAGTCATTGGAAGCTATTGCTCACAATAGCCATGCTATAACTTCAGAAAAGAGCCACAAACCAAACAATATACCAGTCCATTATTATATACAGAAGAATCATTTAGATTCCCGAAACGCCACCCTATGCAACACACCCCTTTCAACGGGTATCCCACCACCTCAGAAATCCACAATCTACCCATCCATCCCACACCACAACGTTAAACTGCCTCCCATCCATCCATTGAACCTAACCAACTCAACTCCCACACCCCACCAACCCAACACCAACCACCACTCCCCCTCCCCAAAAAATCAAGCATCCCCAACCTCACAAACCGCCTCCAAACACTCCCTCGTAACCTTCACCCCCTCATCCAGCACGCTTTTCGGCAGCGCCAAATTCGCACCTCCCTCCCCCCTCCCCTTCACCTCCCCCTTCCCCGTCGTCGACAGCCCATTACTCCCCTCCGCGCTCCGTGCCGCCACGCTATCCTTCCGAATATCATCCAGCACCCGCTTCATCAGTACGGGGAACGTGACGATGTCGCCGGCGCGCAGGAGGTGGAGCGCGTGGTTGTGGATGAGGGTTGGCCAGTTGGTGGATGAGGAGTTGAGGCTGTGGAGGAGGGATTCTTGGATTCTGATAAGGGAGGGTTAGTTGATTGGGTGTGAGGAGGTGTAGAGTGGAGAAGGCTGGGGGAGGGGAGGGAGGGTAAGTACTTGTTTATATGGCCGTCTCGGAGGAGGACGGTGTTAATTTGTGAGCGTAGATCGGGATCTTGTGTTGTTGGCGCGTATGCTGCCACGGCTTTGGGTACACGCACTGGGGTCGTGGGTTCCGTAGGCATCTTACGAGCTTGCGAACTTGAACTCGAGGTTTGCAAGTCAATACTCGTATCTGTAGCGCAAGGTTTGGTGGTAGCTTGTAGTTGGTAATTGCTTGCGAAGAAGCTATATTCTTCTCTCTTTTGTGCAAGTCTGGGTTCTGGATCTGGATGGCGCAACTTATAACGGGTACAAAGTGCAATTGTCGGGTGAAATGAGCGAGGTTTCTTGGGATTGGATTGGATTGTCTTTATTATTATTGTTTGTTATTCGAGGCTTTTTGGGGGGTTGTGGAGGACGAGGCTGAGAGAAAAGAGGAAGGCTGACGTCTGGACCCTCTTATTTCCACACCCAGCCAATCAGAAATCTGGGGAAGTCAAGCCGCAAACCAAAATAGAATTCAGAGCATGTATTCTTTTGAACTTTTTTTATTCTTTATGTCTAAGGTGGTTTCTTTGAGTTTTTATTTATTGTGTTCATAACTATACATTTTTTCAAAGTTTTTCAACTCTTTTGTAAAAATCATGGAGTTGGACTTTGTAAAAGTGAGTTCGCTTCTTTGCACCAAGTGCAGGGATTCGGAATTGATAGAGTACAAGAACACTTCTACTTGATGACTCTACTTCTTGTTCAAATAAGCCTTTAAGAATTGGCTCAACTACTCGAAATGGCTCTAATACTTGAGTTAATATAATCTTAACTAATCTAAAAGCGCTTGGGAAATTGCGACTAGTCGGTACCTCGAGAATACGGGTAGTGAGTTACCGAGTCCTACATCCCTTGGTTCCATTGTTTCCAAGTATTCGAATGATTGAATTCTGGGTGCGGATGTAACCATGACTTGCTATGAGGCCACGGCACAGAGCATATAAACAACATCTAATCATAGCATAACGAAAAAGGCGGAAGAACAATCGGTTGACCCCAATCTTCGAAATCCGGGGCAAAGATCAATGGTCCATGAAAGCAAGCCATGAAGAGCTACGGACGATCCGCTTAAGCTTATGCACAGCTATGTAAATTTACATTCAAGCCCTATGAATGAATGGACCCGACAAAGTGATTTACCTACGATGTTGGATCCGGCACGGAATATCTTCAGACGGAAATCGCGTGCATAATGGCGAGGAAGATCTTCGGGGGAAGGATATTGTGGGGGGTTTCTGTTTGAGGTGCCATTTTTGGGCACGGGCAGTGCCTTTCGAACCACAAGGTGGCAAGGCAGGTGCTAAACAAAAGCTTGACTAAAAGCTAAATGGTCGTGAGGATGAATATCAGATGTTTGGTTGTACATTTGATTCCTGAGAGGATGGAGATGGGACCTCAGGAAGGGAGTTGTTGGTGTTGAGGTTGTGATAACATTTATGGCTAGCGCAGGCATTGTGGATGCACACCGTTTATATTGATATATAGAGTCAACAGATGCCAGACTGGGGATGGTGATGGGCGAAAGATTGGATTGTAGTGGCGATTGGGGTATGGATAGCCAACCGAGTCGAGCTCTCCATCCCCCTGATTTCCCCGCTGACAGTCAATTTGAAACGCACGTCCAAGCGGACCCTGTTTCAAGCAACCACATCCCAACACGACATCATCACAAATGAGCTTTTTGATTGGCAATCCTCGCTCGTCGTAGCACAAATTGAAGCAGACGTCGGCCATCATACCCCCAAGAGAACTTGAACATGCCGGGTTTGACTGGTCGACTCCGAGTTGTTGGTTGGCAACGGGGATGCGCAATCTCAGGGGGTTGAGCTCGAGGTTCGAGTGTGGTGAGGGTGAGTGCAAGACAAACGGAGACAGCGAGAGAAGCGAAGCGCCCCTGCAAGAGCTTCAATCTGGAAGTGCCCACTGCCCACTGAGTAGTGGATGACAGGCCACAGCTGGAGATGAGGTGGGACCTGTATCCAAATTGAGGGCCAGATGCAAAAAGAGGCTCTGCTCTTGGCTGCTCTTGTTTCTGCCCTACTATTCTTTCGTCTCCTGCCTTCTTTGCTCTCTCCTTCAACCACTGCATCGCCTATCAAAAGCCTCATATCCTCTCCTTTGCGCCCCCTCTTTTCTCCTCCTCTAGCCAACCAAGCGCTGGTGTTTTTTCTTTCTATTCTTCACTTCTTGAATCAATCAATCCTTTCCATTTTTTTCTGTTTCTTTTCATGCAATCCTTCCTCCATTATTCAACAACAAGAACCCACCGTTCTAGCTTTCCAGGTCTCCCATTGTAACCCTACTCTATTTGCAACAACCGCAACCTGCGCAGGAACCAGATTCTCTATTTTCATCTTACACACCAACAGTTGCCAGGCGACCCATCCCATTTTTTTCTTGAGACGAACTATCATTTGACATTGGCATTGGCCATCGTCATCGTTAACAACGGAAAACTTGATCCGCGCTCGGCCATCAACAACTAGCGGTTCCAGTCGCAAACGCGAAGGCGCGGAACATTGTTCTTCAATTATCATCGAGCGAGTCGATATCAGCGCGTTTAAAACCACAAACGTTTGAACCACCTCAACATTATCGCGAGTCCGAATTGTGGGGATTTGGGGACAGTTTGAAGAAGCTCTGGGTAGCCATCCTGGTAGCATTCTGATATCGATTTTTATCGACAACTTTCCAGGCGAATTTATTTTCTTTTTCCCGGAGAACCCTCATAAACACCAAAATGCGCCGGAGTAATTTATTGATGGGGATGGTGGTGCTTCCATCAGCCAACGCACTTTCACTCGCCAACTTTCAGCAAATAACGTCAAGTGTAATACCTGTGACCTGTATGGTAGCGTACAATGGGTATGCTATGAGACTTGTATTTTCTAACCTACGTAGCTAACTGAGATCTAGTCAAATACCAGTATGCACAACCAACGATTTTAATGTAGCATGTACAGCAGCTTGTCAAACATCTCTGCTTTTAACGGGAACCACCGTGAGAACCGCTTGTTCGCAAGGCTCAGCGGGTTCAACCACGTTGCTGGGAATAGTGATGAACGGGGGGATAATTCAAGCGTTGTGTCCCAAAGTTACAGGAAATACACCAGTAGCACCGTCTAAACCACCTCCGGCTCCCACATCCATACCTTTACTATCTACACGGCCGGCACCTCTTGCGAGTAGCTCAACAAGCACGAGCGTTATACCAACCCTTCCAATTGCAAATCCACTTTTAGATCCCACCACTAAACAAATTATCCCCCAAAGAACATCTACCGCGAATCCACCACCACCGCCAGCAACACCAACAGCAGCGCCACCACCACCACCACCTCCTGTATTCGTACCCCCAGTTAATACCCAACCATCGGCGGTACCAACTCCATCCCGTAATCCAACCCCTCCGCAAATCCCAGCTTCAAATACATTACGTCCATCCGTCTCTTCTCCAACAGGAGGAACGGGAGGAACCGTAGATACATCAACACCACCGCAAGGGACACCAGTTCGACCGCCACAGGGACAAACCACCGGTCCAGGCGCTCGAAGCACCGAACCGCCAGCCGCAAGTGGGCATCGGGGATCGCAAGACACCGGCGGTGGAAGTCCCTTTGATTCGCAGCGAAGTCAAGGAAACAGTCTTGACGGGAGCTCGGCGTTATGTGCGTTGGTGGTTGCGGTATGGACGACTATCGTGTTTGGACGATTATAGGCCAAATTTCTTTTGTGCTGGGATTGGAGAAGACAGACTACTTTTCTTTTCATGAAAGGGTAATTGATATTACACCTGTAATGTTTTTATTGTACTTGTAAGTACTAAAGGATTTGAGGATGAAGAATCGGGAAGATGAGATAGAAAGAAAGAGCAAAAGAAAGAAAGAGAGAAAGGATGATTAGGATCATCGAATGTAGATGGACAATGGGGAAGCAATGGCCTGAACATATATATCCAGTTATTTAGCAATGGCGCAACAGGGCTCGGGAGGAATACCTTTTGATTTTGACTGATTGATACCATGTAGCAAAGCGAAGCGAAGCGAAGCGCAGCGAGGCAAAGCAAAGCAAAGAAGAGAAAATGTAGGGATACTGTATAATATCAAATACAAATAGAGCTTTATATCATCTGGTAGCTGTCTAGGCACTTTGAGATTCTGAAATGGATTGTTTACTTACTAGCGCTCCTCGCGTGCTTTAGGATCGTTATGGACTGTAACGACATGGATTCGCGAGCTCGCTTTTCGAGTTGGTTCTCGCTTCGCTTCGCTTTGTTTCGCGACCACGGGTAAGTAAGAGCACGAGTGGAGAGCTTCACCTATCTATCTTATTTCAATTCAAAATTTGGATATTCATATCAATTAGAGGGTTTCCTAATTTAAGAAAATGGCTATAGAAACATTACATAATCTATACCTCAAATTCCCAGCCCCAAAAAACACATTACCCTACACTCCTTGTATCTTCCCTTCCACTTATATATTCCAGTCCGATTAAATCCCATCCAATCCACTCTACTCCCTACCAACCATCACCTTCCCAAAACAACACATCCACACACAAAAACCCCAACCCCGTATCTCACCAACATAATTTACCATCACACCCCCATTTTCTAGACCTAGACCACCTAATACCTATCCCCCTTCCACAACCCATCGAACCTCTCCCTCGTCCCACCTCTATACACCCCTCTATCAGTATATCGCCCCCTCTCCATCCTCTCCCTCTCCATATCCCTATCCACCCTATCCACCCTTTCTCTCCCCACATCCCTCTCCCTCACCCCCTCACCCTCACGACACCGCCCCCTCGTCCTCGTCCTCTCCCCACGATGCCCACGTTTATGCCGCCGTCTCACCTCCGTCTCCCACTCCTCCTCGTCCCCGTATAAAGTGCCTCTCGGCCAGAAATGGTGGAAGCAGGCGAAGACGCCGAGGATTTCTAGGATGTGGAGGAGGGTTTTTGGTTGGACCATTTTTCCCCCTGTGTTTGTATTTCTGTTTTTGGGGTGGGGAGGGATGGGGATGGTTTTGATGGGAGGTTGAGGTTGGTTTGGTAGCGTTTAGAGTTTTGGATGGACGTTTATTGTGTTTCTCCGAGGGAGGGAAAGGAAAGGTTCCGAGAAGGATAAGCTGGGATCGAAGATTCCCTCTCCCTTCCGTATTGATAATTGTATATATATATAGCGAAAGAGGGGAGGAAAGAACCTCGTACTCTGCAGAAAAACGAGGTTCCAGAAGCCTGCTCGTAAATTAGCAAATCAATCAATCAATCAGACCCAATTCCTCTAATTCCCTCAAACCCGAAAACCAAAACCAAAACCAAAACCTCGATAAAAGGAACTCGCAATACATACTATCCGTCCAACCCAGAACCACCACCGTACCTCAGCGAAACATGCCTTGAGAGAATTCAAGGCGATGGTAGGTAGATGTGGTAATCGAGTACTTTCTAGCAAACAACCCTCTTCTCTTTTCCAGTCCAGTCAAGACTCCAAAAATCACCTCTCCAAGACGGTAGGATAGACACAATAACGTCCGCAGAATGTATACGTAATACTTCGTTATGAATCCAACCTCAAATCCCTCAAATGACGTAAAGAAACCCTCTACAAGTAGAAACGAGATAAGACAAGACGAGTAAAGCCTTACAAGTAAGTCCAGTAAATCCAGCCCGTACTCACGAAAACCAGTTCGCATCCCCCATCTCCCATCCCACCCCTCTCCCCTCCCAATCAAAAACCCCCACCTCCAAAAAATCGGAACGTTACAAAAACCCTAATCCCCCATCGCACGTTCGCATGTCCCAAAACTTTATCACGATTGGCCAAAGCATGAGGCTCAAGTGGCGCAAGCTGGGGGTGTATACCATGTCGCAGGGATGAGATACATAAATAAAGTTTCTTGCAACTGGAAATCCACCAGTTAGACGTCTGTTGGTGGTGTGAGACCCGGAAGGAAGGGAGGAAGGGAAGGTTTCGTACTTGGAGAGTACTATAGTGATATAAGGATTGTTATGTCTGACGGCATGGTGGTGAACGTTTTGTTGGTTTGGGTGCTTGTATATCTTTTGGGGGGAGGGGGTGGAGGGGTTTGGTCTGCTCGCTTACAGTACTTGAGGAGTGGGTAGGGATCGTGTTGTTGACCGTTTTGGGCGGCTGGACTAGCTGTCCGCTATTTGGTTTGTAGGTATTTTGAATAGCTAGTTCTTTACTTGGGACTCTTCTTACTAATAGCCAGTGCGTCTTCCTACGGCGCTGTCGCTATTACGCGGGTTGGGGTTCTGTATGTACCGTGAGTCACTCGTCTTGTATTGAGAAGGTTCAAACGGACTTACCTACTTACTCGTCTGATCCAAAGGCAAACTCTGGAACTTTGGGTATGTCATTTTTACGAGTAGCGAGCGTGTATTCTGGTTCGCGGGGGTGGAGGTGTGTAGTAGAATAGTAGTTCAAAGGAGGGTGTGTTTATCTTTGATCCTTTCTTGGATATTCGAGTAGAATGCGAAGGGGGGAGTACAGAAATAGAGATACACATCTTGAGTTACTAGATCAAAAGCAACCACCATTCATCAAGAACACCTCGCTCCATCTCCAACCCCAACAATTGAGAACCTTGAACCTTGCTCAAGGTCTGCTTTGTACCCATTATGGTTACAGCACGCAGGCTGAATGGGTGATAGAACACGGAGAACTGATGCCCACCTTGGAAATATCCGTCTTATTGCGGGATATCCTCTTGTTCATAGGAGTCTGATTGTCTGGTCTACCAATTGTCCACCCATAAACATTTCAACTCTTCGCTTCTTTCAAGGAAAAAGGGGGCCATCATTTATTCGCCTTTCTCTCTACATAAAACGCTGGAAAGGGATCATGGCTCCCACGTATCGTACATTCATCTTGCCATTGGTAAAAAAGATACAGCCCGAGATAAAATGGTATAGACGTAGTTTCAACGACCACTTGGCCCAGAAAAAGCTTTGCCGGAATACGAAAAACTCCAGTCTGGGGGATGAATTAGTAACTTAAAAACAGAAACAACAGCAAGAAAGCTAATGGGAACCAAATACTTCACCACCAAATCTTCCAGCATTGCAAAAAACTGTATGGCTACAACTCTGTTTTCCACAATTTCACATTACCAACCATAAAAAACTGTATGGCTACAACTCTGTTTTCCACAATTTCACATTACCAACCATAAAAAGCAGGAAAAGCATAGCTCTCCCAGTGCCACCCCACCTATAATACACGTATAACACCACCCCTAAGCCCTCTTCCCCTCCTTCCTCATAATCTTCCTCCTCTGCGCCATCATATGCGAAAACAGGACATAACTCCCCGGCACATAAACCATCAAAATCGCCTGCAAAAGCCACGCAAGGGGTTCTGCAATCGCTCTCGCGGGTTCCACCGCGCTCCAGATCAACCAGCACTCCGAGCTGATCCCCAATGGATAGAGTACGTAGAAAGTATTATATCGGAACCACGTCATGAACGCGGGGCTGAACCCGGACAGCGTGAGGGTAAAGTACGAGTACCGGATGACCTCGGTGATGGACCAGGCGAGGAGCATGCTGGAGTAGGCGGCGGATTTGGCGAGGTGCGGGAAGGTGTTTACGATGGGCCAGACGAGGAGGATGCGTGAGGAGACTTGCATTAGAGTTGTGAAGAGGGGGGCGCGTACGATTCCTGTATTCGAGAATTATATTAGCCTCGTCTCTCCATACTTAATACTCAATATTCTATACACCCCTCCGTTCAAGCCCCCCTCGTCACAGAAAAAAAAGACACAAAAACATACCAACAGCCGAATGCAAAACCTCCAGCAGCGCCACCGTCTGCGTCCATTTCGCAAACCGTCCCACGCCAGGATACACCCTCCCAAATCCCACCAGCGGAACCAGCAAACACACTCGTCCCAAAACCACGAGCCAGGAAAGCGCCGAGACGAAGTTGTAGATGATGAGGTATTGTGTTTTGGGCGAGCTCGACGTCAGGGGACGGGGTCCGGGCTGTGGAATTATGGTCGAGGATTCGCTGCGGGCGCGAGCTTCCGTTCGAGGGGTCGGCGGCTGGTCCATGGTCACTTGGAATGGTCGATATGGTTGTGAGAAGGTGTCGTGGTGTTCTGGAAATGCGGCATGTCTTGGCGAGGAAGCTCGGGGCAGGCGGGAGCTCAGCTCCTGTACAGCCCCTTCTCAAAAGTAGCGAAAAACAAGGGTTATCTACTAGTGTATTGCAGGGTAATTGGCAAGGTATTTTGTATGTGAATAACTTTCTTCTACAGGTTCTGGGGTTGCGAAACATCTTGCTACTTTTGAAAGGGGCTGTAGAAACCACCACTTACTTACTCACTTACATCCTTGCTCAAAACTGTGTGTACTCGTAAGGTGAACTTAGAAACAACTGCTTTAGACTGTCTTGTAGGAGCGAAAAATCAAGGCATATATACAAAATCATCACTGATAATAGCAGGTCATGGAGAAGAAAGTTATGAAAAATATTATCGGCGTTCTATGGAAATAAGGTGCTACCTAGGAACAGATGTAATCTCTGATACAAGAGATATAGATCCGTTCTTCGCCTCTTGCATGCGCGAGCGAACAGAATGAAGATCTGTAACACACCGTCGAAGACTTTGAAGACCCCAGACTCCATGTCCGTCCTGGCACAGCAACCCCCCACCATTCTATGGTTCAATGCATATGCATGCGGGAATAAAGGAAAAAAGTAAAGTACAGTTTTTTAGTCGTAAAGGCCCTCGTCATCACCACCATCACCGTATCCAGCTGAAGCATTCGCAGCAGCTTCTCCAGCCTCGGGGAACTTGAAGAAAGCACCTGGCCCAGAAGACTTCATGCTCTGAGCAAATGCCTCATATCTGCGAATCTCAACATCAGAGACGGATCGTCGAGCTTGTGACATGGCCTCCTCAAAGTGAGCCTTGGTCAATTGAGGAACTGGATCTTCAGCATCCTCATCCTCCATATCAACATCTTCCCCAGCAGCCTCACGTGCCTTGCGTCGGTCAATGTCGAGCGAAATAGCCTCCTTGATGGCAAGCTTAACAGCGCGTTGTGTGATGAAGCCCAAATCTGCACCAGAGAACCCATGAGTGTTCTTGGCAATAAATTCAAGGTCAACATCGTCGGAGACAGGGGTCTTTCTAAGTTGGGCCTTCAAGATACCGGCACGGGAAGATTCATTTGGTAGAGGAACATAGACGAGTGTGTCGAGACGTCCAGGTCTGCAAAGAGCATTGTCGAGTTGTTCCGGTCTATTGGTGGCACCGATAACAAAGACATTCTTCTTTGAAGTCATACCGTCCATTTCTATCATTTATTAGTAAAGAGCTTCTCTGTAAAGGCTTCTGGGACTTACCAGTCAAAAGTTGGTTGACGACACGGTCAGAGGCCCCACCAGCATCTCCGTTAGAACCTCCACGAGACTTGGCGATGGAATCCAACTCATCCAAGAATACAACACAAGGAGCGGCAGCTCTAGCCTTGTCGAAGATATCTCTGATGTTACTCTCAGACTCACCAAACCACATGCTCAACAATTCAGGGCCCTTGACGGAGATGAAATTTGCCGAACACTCGTTCGCAACAGCCTTTGCGAGCAAAGTCTTACCAGTACCGGGAGGACCGTAAAACAAGACACCACGAGATGGGGAAAGACCAAATTTGAGGAACTTCTCGGGGTGATCCACTGGGTACTGGACACTCTCGATGAGTTCGCGCTTGACCTCCTCCAATCCTCCAATATCGTCCCAGCGAACGTTCGGAACTTCGACGACTGCAACCTCGCGAAGAGCAGAAGGGTTGGAAACACCGAGGGCAAAGCGGAAATTCTCCATGGTGACTCCCAATGAATCCAAGACTTCAGCATCAATGGTATCTTCATCAAGATCAATGAGATCCATCTTCTCACGAATCTGTTGCATAGCAGCCTCTGAGCAGAGAGATGCAATATCGGAACCAACATAACCGTGAGTCTCGGATGCAATTTGCTCGAGGTCGACATCATCGCCCAACTTCATATTCTTGGTGTGAATTTGAAGAATCTCCAAACGACCAGTTGGGTCAGGGATACCAATATCTACCTCACGGTCGAAACGTCCGAAACGACGAAGAGCAGGGTCGATAGAGTTAGGTCTGTTGGTTGCAGCCATAACCACAACATTTGATCTAGCCTTCATTCCATCCATGAGGGTAAGGAGTTGGGACACTACACGGCGCTCAACCTCTCCGTTGGTCTTATCTCTCTTGGGTGCAATAGAATCGATTTCGTCAATGAAAATAATTGCGGGAGAGTTCTTCTCGGCCTCCTCGAAAGCCTTTCGCAGATTCGACTCGGACTCACCAGCCATCTTTGACATAATTTCTGGACCATTGATCAGGAAGAAGAATGCTCCAGTTTCGTTGGCAACAGCTCGAGCCATAAGGGTCTTTCCGGTACCTGGGGGACCAAACATAAGAACACCACGAGGAGGCTTAATACCAATAGACTTGAAAAGTTGAGGGTGTCTTAATGGAAGCTCAACCATCTCTCGGATTTGTGCCATCTGCTTTCGGCATCCTCCAATATCATCGTAACCGACCTCATTCAAATTTCCCTCCTCATCCTCGCGCTGAATAGGTTCTCCTTCGCAGTGGATGACTGTGTCTTGGGCAACAATTCCGTACTCTGGAGGGTCAACCTCAACAACCTTAAACTCCACCTGTCTCATGCCACCTCGAACTGTGAAAAGATCTCCTTGTCGGACAGGTCGGTAGGCTTCACGGAAGTATGGGGCGAGGAACACATCGAAAAGGTTTCCGGTAAGACCTTCGACGGTGTCGGCGATCGGGAGGACTGCAATTCGCTTGGCCTATGGAATGGGTGAGCACTGTAGGTTTTGGGGTAGGAGACAGAGAAACTCACGTATTTGATATCTTGACATGGGTGAACAGTGATCATATCACCGTGCTTGACTCGGAGGTTGTGTCGAACCACACGGTTCATTCTGGCACTTCCATCATCCAAATCATCATCTGCGAGAACGATGAGAACTGTATCCTTGCGCTTCTTGCCCTTGACCAAGACGGTATCTCCTCGGAAGAGCGATAAGGTCTCCATGGTGTTGTTAGAAAGGGCAATGACGGAGTTATCATCATTGACGGCATCGGTGACCCTGCAAACAAACCATCAGAGCTGTAATCTGGAGCCGTGAACGGGAGTATCTTACATCAAAGAATTTGGCTTCTTCTTCTTCTTGAGAATGGCGGTCGCCGTGTCATCAGCCTGCAGTGATGTCAGTATTGAAGCTGGCGGATTGCCAGGTGGCGTTGTAGAAACTTACTGCCTTGTGCTCAGCACCAGAAGCATCGCTGGAGAATACTGTCAGTCCTCGATCTGAGACACAAGAAGATGATCCGAACTTACTTCAGGTTTACCTTCTTCTTGTGTTCGACATGATCCGGTTCTGCGGTCATCTTGATTGTCTTGAACCCGAAGGTCACAGGAGCAAGTTAACGGCGGGATGGGATGGGTATATGGATGCCAAACTATGGCGGTGTTTTGCAAAGGAGGAGATCGCGAAGAGGGGGTAGAGTCTGGCTCTGGCGGATGCGGATTCGGATGTATTTATGGGTGGAGTGGGAGTGGAAGATGGAGGGAAAGTTGGAAGATTGATAACCACAAAGTATCCAAGCTTAAGGATAGCTTGCGGTGCGGGTGCCGCTAGATTTAGGCTAGCGTGTGAGGCGGCGTTGCGTTCGACTTGGTTCGGTGAATTTCTGGGGGAAGGCAGCAGAGGCGACGTAGCGGAGTGTACCTAGTCTAGCGTAAGTACTGTAGGTACCACCACTGCCTACTTGAGCACCTACTTTTGCTGCTATGGAGTGTACTACGGCTACGGATACCTACTAGCCTTGCCTGACTAATCTGTCACTGTCCACTAAGAATAGCCTCAAACTGCTAGGAAATAGCCAGGAGCTACTAGAACCAACCGCCATAATCACTTGGTGAGGGCAACTCTGCGAGCTGGCCTCAATTCAATTTGGTGTGGCGTCAGAAACACCATCAGCTGACCACTTTTTATGATGGAGTCGGGTATTTCTATGAAGGTTCTGACGACGGGAAGTCCACAAGTGGATTAACTAATCAGAAAAGTGGCACCATAAAACAACTTTTATAAACATAATCATAATCATTGATTATACTATCTCATATTTTGCTACCGTATTAATTGGATTATAAGATATTATTTACGAATAAGATACTACTACGTTAGTAGATATAGTTCTATATATTCCGAAAAACTAATATCTTATAACTTTAACTAATTAGGAGGCTAGAATCTTAAATCTATGATTTTATATTATTTTTTAGATACTTTATTTAATACTACTATATTAGCTAAAACACTTATAATTATAGTACTAGATAGCTAAGAGAGTGTTTTAAAGTTAAGCTATAAAAAAACCGTATATAAATTTTATAAAAACTAAAGCTATTCCTAGATACCCTATATATTTACCCTATATATTTACCCTATATATTTACCCTATATTTTATGAACTTATCTATCTATATCTATATTTATATAGTCCTTCTTATCGAAATTAAAAGAGAACTTATTATTCTTATTACTATCGAATATATCTTTTATATTCTCTCTACTATTAGTTATTATATTTACTTTATTTTCCTTAAAATTGGTATTATCCTTAATACTATAGCTACTACTTTCTACATTATCTATAGTATAGTATATAGCTATCTAAAGATTATAACGCTTCCGAAGTACTATTAGCGTAGATTCTACTACTTTAGGTACCTCTAGTATATTAAGTACTTTAGGTTCGAGTAAAGGAAGAGAAGTAGGTTTATTAAATAGATTACTTTCGTAGATATAATTACTTACTATTATATTAGGTAAATCCTTTATTTTTATTTAATTATCTTTAGAACTATCAGATTGAGAAAAAGGCCTATTTATTAATAGATTAGTAGAAATATAAAGAGATAAGATTCCTAATACTTACGTTTCTAAAAGTCTTAATTAATATATCTTTATACTTATGATAAAGACGTTTAACTATCTTTTTAACCTAATATATTAATAATACTCTTCTATCTCCCTTTATAAATCTCTCTATCTTATATTTATTAGAATTAGCGTTATAATACGCTTCTTCCTCCTCTTAAATATATACTTTAATAAGAGAGTTATAAGAGATATCTACTACTTGTATATATTCTATTATTCCGCCGGGAATAATAGAAGTTATAATGTTTAGTTCCTTAAGCGTCTGATAGAGTTTAAGGGTTTAATTAGCTTAAAAGGTATATAACTTTTATACTAAAGGAGCCTTATTTATAGGAACCTTAGTACCACTAAATTTATATACTAAAAAGGCGTCTAAAGAGAGAAAGTAAGACTCCTTCTCTCCTAGCGATTCGATAGTAGTATATTAATATTATCTCTTAAACTACTAAATTATCTCTTTTATATTATAATACGCCTTCTTATTGTGACGACACGTACGATATGTTGCTCAAGGAGCGTCCAAGGTGTAGGTTATGGAATCGTAGAACTGTCTATTCGAAGATTCTAAGCTAAGGAGAGAAGAGAAGGAAGGACAGAAGCTCAAGAGCCAGAGGCTCTTAAATACAGGAGGTGGCGCCAAGGGCCATGCCTTAGCCGAGTCTCAGCCAGGGGCTCGTTTGACGCATGGTGGCCGCCGGGTTCCAGCCAGGGCTGGTCTGTAGCGTGGTGGCGGTGAGAACCGTCACATTTATTCTAGACTACGTTAACCCCGAAGTAGTACTTAAGTACCTCTTTCTATTAACTTAAATTAACCTTTCCTAGCTTTTTAGTAAATATTAAAAGTAGCTTATAATATTAAAGCCTATCTACGAATATATATAGTTAAAGCGTTACTTATCTTTTATTCTATTCTAATTAACTTATAGTTTTAAGGAATACTATCTTATTTCTATAATAATTATATATTAGTTATAATTTCTATAATAATTATATATATAACTAAAGGAGAGAAAGTCGAATATAAAAAGGGTTTAATTTATATTTCCGATATTCGATAAGAGATATCGTTTAACTCGAGGGGCGTTCTAATCTATAGGTATATAACTAGGTTTTATAATAGTATTATAGCGATTAAATTAGAGCTAGTTTTAAATAGTTCCTCGAAGCTCCTTAGACGTCTTTTAAGCTCTCTTAGTTTTATAGTAAAGGGAGATACTAAAGTAATAAAGGAACACTTAAAACTAAGCGTTTAAGAACTTAAATCCTAGATCTATATACTTTTATATTAAAGGATCCTAGAAAGTATAATAAAAATATAAAAGTCGGTATTACTCCCTTATATAATATACGATCTATCTATAAGTTATCCTTCTACCCTCTCTCCTAGCTTATATAAATATAGTATAAACTAACTTCTCTATAGTAGGCTCTCTTCCTTATTCCTTTAATCGAACTCTCTTCGCTTCTTTTCTCGCTCCTCGAATATCTTACTTATAAGAGATCTAATTATTTAGTATAATAGTAGTTATCTTTGAGGTTTTAGTAGTAGTATATCGAGATATCGGAATGGGTTTACCCTTTAGGCTTCTCTTCTAGGTATATAAGGTATAATATACTACTTAAAGCTTATACTTCCTAGGATAGCTTACTTTTATTATAATACTCCTAGTTATATTAGACGATATAAATATAGGGTAAAAAGGTAGGGTTTATTTACCTTTCTCTATTAGTATCGAAGGATTTAATAAGCTTACTATACTCTAATTAAAAGGTATTAAAAGCCTTAATAATAGACGTTTTATTTATTTTTCTAATCTATAACCTTCTTTTCTTATTATTAAGATAAGGAATATATAGGCGTTCCTTAGTATAAGGACTGGGTCTAGGGCCTTAGTAATAGGTATTTATTACTATAGCTATAAAGGCTTTATGATTATTAGTTAACGTAGATTAGAAATAACCTTAGGAGAGAGAGTAGGAGTTTAGGATATATTAGCGAGTATAGTTTAAAAGCCTTTCTTCGAATATTTAAGGATCCTATTATTATCGATTCTATAACGTCTCTCTTAAAGAGGTATTTCGACTAGAGTTATAGCTAAAAGAAATATAGCGATTATATAAATTAATATAGGAAATTATATTAAAGTAGTTACTTTATAATAATTATACTGTGACAGACGTGCTTCAGGTAGAACTCAGAACAATTAACACTCTATTCTTAGGACAAAAGACGAGGAAAGAAGGAGAGCTCGAGAGAGCTGGGAACTAAATACAGGTCATGCGCGCTAGCGCCTCGCTAAGCGAGCATGTGACATCCAGCCCTCGTGACCATAACCGTCACATATACTATAGGATTTAGTAGCTAGGAAACTCGAGTTTATATAAAAGATTATTATAATTAGTATTACTCGCTCAATCTATAACTAATCTCTATTAACTCTTCGTAGAATAATCCTAGGACCTATTCTACGTCCTATTCTTACTTTAAGAATATACTTAAATCGTAGGAATAGAAGAGGTTTAAAGAATAAATAGATTAGATAAGGTTAGGGGTAAAACATAGAGGTTAGGAGAGGAGTGTAACGAATACTCAAACTGGCTAACTAAACTTGGCTGGGTGTTCGCTGGTTGGTATGCTATGATAAGAAGAAGACTATCGGGTTGTTCACTTGGAAGTGAACTCGTTACTTGTATCAAAGATGTCAAACAAATATGATAAGATTGATAACTAAGTTGAGCACGAAGCTCCTATCTAATGGCAGACGTGCCAGTCTTATATAGATCCTTCATACCCCGCGTATGGTCCGAGTATAGAGTAGTATAAGCCTTCCTTATACTTCCTTATACTCCGGTAGTATAGAGTAGTATAAGCCTCCCTTATACTTCCTCATACTCCCTAGTCACATGATCTTCTGTAAGGAAGAAATCCTTGGATCGCCTAGCTACCCTAAGCGATCCCCATTTGCTATAAGAAATCTGAATGTGCCTGTCGAGGGTTGCGCCTCTTATTATGACAAGTATCACGTGAACACGTGATTCGTGACAAGGAGGTTAGTAAACTACACTAAAAAGTAGGGCAAAATTATTATATAAGATGTTAGTTTTTATATAAGATATGGTTTAAATAGGCCTTAGGACGGATTTTTTATTTAAATAATAGTATCTTATAATTCAATTAATACGGTAGTTTGCATCATCAGAACTAAAGGAGACTAACATCAACTTTCTGAGCGGAAACATTCACCGGAACCATGAGAAGGGGAGAAAATGAAGATGAGTTGGCCTACAATCTATTGTATTGTAGTACTAGGCAAATATCAAGCATCAGGAAGGACCGGATAACCAGATTACCGATCAAAAACACCAAGCACATCCCAATAACCCAAGCCCCCTCAGAAGAAGCAAATTCTAATATCTGATCATAGTTGAATGCAACAATCCTTCCGTCAAACGTAATGTCAAAACTAGTCTCGAGCCCGTCCCATCCTCGAACTAGAAATCCAGCTCCCGCTGCTACTCCCAAGCGTATACTCGTAGCAGTCAGTCGTCATAATCCTCGACTCATATTTTCATCTCTCCTTTTTTCGCAAGTATCGCTCCAGTCAGTCTCTAAGCAGCGAATTCTCTGGCAACAAGCGCTTCATGCTTATAAAGCGGCCAGGTTCCAAGCTTCTTTCTCCATCCCACGAGCTGGGGAGCCTGTCGATGAGCAACCGGCAAGCAATCGATCATTCCACGGACGTCGGGTGCTTGCACAATGTGCATTTCCATCATGGATCTTGTCAAGACGGCCATTCCCATCGTTGCGCTCCCGGTAGCGAATCGTTCGTAGCGAGTATTGATGGGTGACCAGGATTCTTCAAGCCAAGATTTGATATCTAAGATGGAATGGCTTTGTGAAAGCACATGGCTATGCGATGAAGTATCAAGTGAGCTAATAGATGCGTTAAATGGGGTTCTGAAAGCGAAATGATGGTTTAAGGGAGTCAAACATTGAAGAGGTTGACGAGTGAGATCCATTTCTTACGAGTCTGGAGATCGAAGACATCTTGACAGCGGCTTGATCTTCCGGAGAATTACCCCGAGTTGCAGTGAGAGGCTATCTGATGTATCGGAAGAGAAGCCGGAGGGGTTCTCAGAATATCAACGACAAAGATCTGGCGAGGCTGGATGGTAGAACGAACAACTGTAATCTTACCCAGCGAGTGGTATTGGATGGAGTACGAGTGATGGCCGAGTGGCAAGCCAGTCCTTATACATCTCTGGCCGTGGGGATGATGTATCATACAACAGTTCCTAACCTGTTTCTTGACCGAACTGCTGAGCCAGAAGCTCTGTGAAGGCCATTGTTGGGGACTTCTCGCTACACAGCCCCGCCGCACAACACCCGTTCTGAAATCGCAGCAGAAGTTGATATCGTGCCAATCTTGGCTCTAATCTCCCGCCGCAAATCGAATCTCCAATTATGATTGAGAGAATTAGTGCTTACACGTGGGTAAGGGGAAGCAGCAGTGAAGAAGACTGTCAAGAAGCTTCTCGCGGAAGCATTTGCTCATTCCGGGTTCCTGTAATCGTACAGAAGCTGAAGGTGGCGGAGTTGAAGCGGGGACCCCGTAACACAACACCACATTAATTTGTTTCATCACATCCTCTTTCAACTTCCCGATGGCCGTTTAGGTCATTGCTTCTGTTTTTCCTTCTGTTCGCGAACCATTTGGAAGAAACTGTTTCCTGCGTCTCAATTTCTGATCGCCCGGAAGTCCTCTTCCTGGTTGGTTGCCTTAATCATGTTGGCCTGTTAGCCTGCGTGTAACTCTCATTTATCATTATATGGGTTGCAAATAAGTTCAGCTCATCATCCCTCGTAAACTTGATACTAACTTCCTGATTTGGGTAAGGAGTATACCAAAGCACATAAACAGGTCAAGAAAGCTTGCCAGCGGTTGTTAAATGAAATCCCTCATGAAAAGTCAACCTCCAGGAGGCGATCCCTTCTTGTTCTTGACTCACAGGTAGAGGATGGTGCTAGAATTGGGCGTGGTAATGAGTATCTCTTGTTTTTACAATTGGTCTGTTATTTCTGATAACCAGAATAGTCAATCCCACATCTTGGGACAAGTAGCAAGGCGAGCCAAATTTCTTCGTTACCCGCATCTGCTACCTCGGCAAAGATTTGGAGAAAAATCTAGCGGTCTGAGAGGACTTGATCTTTTGTGAATGGACTTCATAGAAGACAAATCTCTAAATCTAAATTTTTATGGCAAATGTGGATTATATACAACATGCAGGTCTATCAAAATCAGTTTCTAGTGTACATTCAAAGTCTGCTCCGTGGCACAATGAGCGCCGAAGCCGCATTAAGGGTATCTTCAGCTTCCTTCTCGATTCTCTTGACAAGATCATCGCATGTTGGGATATCATGGATAAGACCAATGACTTGACCGGCAGTCCACACCTATTGCGATGTTAGTAAAATGAATTATATATTTGAAGATGGTTTACTTACGCCAAAATCAACATCTCCATTGATGAAGACCTCTCTTCCTCTTTTCCCGCTCACATAAGGAGCCACCTCCTCAAACTTTCCAGTGGAACTCTCTCTTTCTATCTTCGAGGCTGCTTTGGAAACCTTGTTCTTATACAACCGACTTGTGTTTTTCCATCTTCTCAACACAAGTTCGGTATCAGTTTCCTGTGCCCGAACAATCTCTTTTTTGATATTGAGATGAATAGGTGCCTCAACTGTACACATGAATCGAGTACCCATATTGATACCCTCAGCTCCCAAGCTCAATGCGGCAGCAAGTCCTTGCCCGTCTGCAAAGCCTCCAGAAGCGATAAAGGGAACCTTGAGTGCTTGTCTTGCCCTGCTGAGTAGAATAAAGTTTGTAATGTCCGACTCTCCAACATGGCCTGCACACTCAAACCCATCTATGCTCAAAAAGTCCACGCCCAAATTGATGGCACTCTGGGCATGTCTGATGGTAGTACATTTGTGAAGAATGATAATTCCCTCCGCTTTCAATTGCTTAATCACCGGCCCTGGACTGTTGCCAGCGGTTTCCACAACCTTGATTCCCTCATCAATGGCCACTTGTGCGTAGGCGCCGTAGTCTGGAGGGGTCATGGCAGGGAGGAGAGTAATGTTTACTCCGAAGGGCTTGTTGGTCATGGTTTTGCATTTTCGAATCTCTTTTCGTAAGTCTTCGGGTGTTGGTTGGGTGAGGGCTGTCAAAATACCCAGACCACCTGCGTTGGAAACGGCAGAGGCCAGTTCTGCGTAGCCTACCCATTGCATGCCACCTTGGACCACGGGGACTGTGATTGGATTTGTTAGCAGAAGGTAATGGTGCAGGCTGGAAGAGTGATTTGCTTGCCTTGAATCCCCAAAGCCCGGGTCAACTTGGTGTTAAATGGCATTTTGGGCGGTTTTAGTTGTTTAGTTGAAAATGGTTGGAAACGCAGCAGAGAAAGGAAGGCGGAAAAGCTCAATGTCTACTCTATGAGGCTATTCCTGAGGCTCTAGCAATTGTCTGTTGGGTTGTATGGAGGGTGAGTGAATGAAAGACGAGTTTCTGCAGTCTGTCCGCCAGTTCCCCACGTCCCATTTGCCTCGGCTCGGCATCCCTTGTTTTGGTCCGATCACCTCGGTCTGAGGAGGACCCGGCAGCTTGTGAAAGTCAGTCCTCACCTAACCCATCGATACCAGTACGGAGTATTTATCTGCTTCCAAACCGCCATCTGGACCTTGCTGCATTCTTCTTGCATTATTCCACTCTCAAAACTTTGCCTGCTCTTTGCTTTGCCATGTTTTTTGACTTGCGAATTGTATGTTTTCGCGTATGTTTTTTGGTCGTCTTCAGGACAGTGGTCGAGGAAAGTTCCAAGATGCTGGTCCAGCCCTCCATCAGGCGCGGCAGCATCTGAATCGACACCGAAAGCAAATCAATTTCTGGAACCACCATCCACTTCTACTCCAGACTCCTGCATGGACATACATTATCTCGGGCGTCTTAAGGTTGTACCTTCGTACCATCGTCGAGCATGAGATCTCGATCATCACGTGGGAAATTCTCCCTCTGGCATGAAATAAGGTCTTAATGCCTTGATGACAGCAACAGCCCAACTTCATCAAGGTGCAACTCGTGCTGCCAACCGACGCACCCTCTTCTCCCCCGGATATGCTGATCCAGATTCCGAATAGCTACCTGCCCCTCAAAAAACGGCTTTGGTCACTTGCATATCCGTCTGCTGTCCAACGACCGGCTCATCTGTCCTCCCTCCGCCTGGAGATTTGGTACGACTTCATTTTTTGGGCAGCAATGCTCTATCGATGCGCTGGACGGGCAAGGCTAGTTACTTAGGGACAACCACGAGTCTGAAAATACGACTTGGCTTGCTCTCCAGCTGCCACGCACTCCAGTATATCGCATCCTTTGGGGTATGTTGCCGCTTGTATTATTAGATCTGTGTATCATAAGTACCTCTTTACACTTACTGACACGGGATGCTTCCTTGGATTCCTTTTGGGCTTTGGTCTTCGGGCCACCTGAAGCTCTCGTGAGTATCCGAGTCGGGCATCATGGGAATCCGAGAGACTCGGAAGAAGCCACCTGTTTGCCAATTACCAGGCTTTCTTTTCCTTGACGTTGGCTGGATATCAGAAGCTGGAACATCAGTCCACCTTAGCAAACACTTGTTTGTATGTCAAAATAACTGTCATTTCTGCGTCGGGGCCGGATTTACGGTTCCGAACAGAGCCCTGCTCAAATTATTACCGTCTTCCTCTCTGCAAAATTTGTTCCGTTCTGTCGGGTCCATCGATATGTTTGCTTCCATTGCCAAGACGGTGAGGCATCCTGGGGATCACGATGTTGTTCCAGCGTCCAGCTTCAGGAGAAAGACGCAGGTCGCAGGGCTGGGAAGTGACCTCATACGGTGGATTTTACGCCCACCAAGGATTTCTCTGCGTTTCCAGGAAGCAGTCGCTCGAATCAAGGAGCTTCTAGGCAAGTTGCTCATGGTTCGTCGAATAAAAGTAGCCTCCCGCTACTGCGGTGTAGCTTCATCGGACGTCGAGGACCAGATGGTCGCAGTTTGCCAGATTCGGGTTCAACCTATCATGTTGCGCAATGTGAGATTTGATCAGCGGTCAGGATTTCGTCGTTGGATCCAGATGCTGGCTAGCGCTACAGTTGAGTTTTGGAGACGCCAGGGATCTACAATCGATTTTTTTGATTCTTCCAGAAAAGCAACGACACAGGAACCGTGGGCGGGAGAAATCTGGTCTTAAAGGACCTACTCTCGGGAGGGCAATACCATTATCCATTCCATAAAATCTCACCATCAGGATCCCCCCAATTTTCTAACTAACCCTAGCAAGAAAGCACCGTGCTGTGCAGAATTGAGCGTAGTCTAGGTAGTCTTGGACCAGGTATTGGTATCTCTTCCTCTTCCCCGTGCTACTTGCATCTACCTGCAGCCGACTGGACCAAGAATCTTATTGGTCTTATTGGGCTCGTTATTGCAAACGTCTACATCCACTTTCCCTATCGATTCTTCCCCAGATGCCCCTCCATGATACCTTGCTCCCTATCCCCACCTGCCCAACTTACTTCAACCCTCCTTTTTCCCATTTTCCCAATACCCCCATGCCTTATGACGACGGCTAACTGTAACAGGCTGGTTGAGTCTGCAGCGTTGGCGTGTCTCAAGCCCCTATATTGCTTTTTGTTACTGTTGCCGGAGTTAGTTGGTATTGTAGTACATGGGTTGTGGTCTCCCCTCGCTGGAGACAGCACACACGCCCCCCGACATTATTTTTTCGGGTGATCGACGTTACTTCTTTGAAATGCATATCTCCATCTGCTTAGACGCATCATGCCGAAACAGTCTTAAGTCTAGCTGCCTGCCGTGTTGCATGGAAAGATGCAAGTTTTGCTCTTCCCCTCCTGATAGCCTGCCTGCCACCTCACTCTCCTTCCTTTCCCAAACTATTTTCTCCAAAGACCCCGATATCTATCTATAAGAACTCCATCAAGGAACCACTTTCTGCAAAGCATAACACTCTTCTCGGTACTCAGTTCCCCACAATCCCTCCTCCACAAACACTTGGTATACATCAGTCCACTTGGAATTGCAGCTTTGACCACTCAGCAAAAATGGGATACCCAAACAACAGTTATAAGACTCAGACATGGCAAGAAAAGCTTATAGGTAAATTCAAATGGCCCGGGTTAATTGCATCGCTAACTAAAAGCTAGAACGATGCCGCGAGACTCAATGCCCCCTTCCGGTTTTCCAAATTGTCTCGGATAGACGAGGTGTGTATGAACTTTTGCTGTGAACTTCAGCATACTGATCGTAGCACAGGCGGACGAACTGCTTGGTCTAGCACGGTCACGGTTCAAGGACAGGAGATTTCAGCACGGTACTGGTATGATGGAGAATATGTGAACAACGCCAAAGAAGATGCGGCCGAGGTGGCCTTGCAAAAGATGCAAAAGTCATCGCCCACTTCGCCATCCGGTAGTGGTTCGAGATGGTAGAAAACTAGCATCAGAAATACACGGGAGCATTCTTTCACGGCCAGAAGAAATGCACAGATCAAGCTGGCCTGTAGGATATTTTGGCAATGGATAGAAGGGAATCACCAAGGCAAGGGCTGCATCAGTTGGCGCAAATTGACCTTGATTTTCAGACGGCGTCAGGTTTTGCTATCAAATGGTTATCACAGGACAACGAAGGGTGTTGGAGTTGAAATAACTACAGATACAGGATTTTTCTTTGGGACTGGGATTCACGGGAAAAATCGCAATTTATTGTTGGAAAAAGAAACGAAGTGCAGTATTTTCTTTTTAGAAGGCCGTCCCTATTGGCTAGGTATGGGTTAGCTTAGAGATAAATATTTACTGTCGTTGATCCGATTCCTGTTGGATTCCCGCGTTTCTTATCTTAAGACATGAGGTTAAAACATTGCTCAGATGATCAGGATGATTAAATACCGGTAGAAAACAGAGATATGCTCAAGCTCAAGTTGGGAGGGTCATACAAAGATCCAAGCTCCCGGGTAGATCAGCGGCACCCCTGTGAGATTTTGCCCTTTTGGACGAGCCACCCTAAGAGCCTTAAGAGCCTCAATTCCAAGGCGCCAATATTACAAGCATGTGGATTTTTATATCCCGGTGGGAGAGTTTGAGCAAGGCTGTCGTCAACACCACATACCATACAACATGCCTCCTAGACTGAATTTCCATACGGCCGCGAGGTCGCTGACCATCCGATCACGACCTATAGCAGCGACTTACCAACCACGAATCGCACATGTTGTCTCACGGAGGGGATTTGCGGAGGAGAAACAACCAGCGACGGGTCCCAACCAAGATATCCTTCCGGGTGTGAGCGAAGAAGCTAGAGATATGGGAGACATAACCGGAGAGACGAAGCCAGAAATTGAACAAGGAACTCCTATTCAAGATGTTTGTCCACCAATTCCCTCGCAATTGCACATTTCCCCGGATTCAATACCCATGACATCACCTACCCCCTCCACCATTTCCTTATCCAGGACCTAACGTAGACACCAGATTCTCAAACGCGACCCAGAAGCCCTTAAGAAAGCCCCCGCAGTCATCAAAGAAGAATTGGATGCCGAGAAGAAAGCTGCAGATGTGGAAAACACCACGTTTGGAAACCTACTGGCGCTGGGACAGTTGGAGAAGGCTTCGGAAGGGGAGTATGTAGGACATAAATTTGGACTGCCGGATTTGCCGCTGCCGAAGGATGGGAATTTACATTATCGGTATGATCCAGTGGTGGATCAGGTTACGAATTTGTTGATGGCGCATGGGAAGTTGAGTGTTGCACAACGGGTATGTTTTCTGTCTGGAGACCCGGGAGGATTATTTGGAGAATCAATGCTAGATTCTGTGCTTGAGAAAGTCTCGGAAATTGAGTATGAGAAGATGAAATGCTAACAAGCACACAAAAGAATATGGCCTACATCCTAAACCACCTCCGCACCTCCCCCCCACCAACACCCAACCCTCTCCGCCCCCTCCTCCCCGGCTCCCCACCCGCTTCCCATCTCCCCCTCAACCCAGTCCTCTACCTCACTCTCGCAATCGATAGCATCGCTCCCCTCCTACGCATCCGTTCGCAAAAAGGCGCCGCAGGAGGAGGAGCCGCGCTTCAAATCCCCGTACCGCTAGGACTCCGCCAACGGCGAAGAACAGCCATCCAATGGATCCTCGACTCAGCGAACAAGAGGCAGAGCCGAGGAAGTGGGAAATTCCAGTTTGCACAGAGGTTCGCGGATGAGATTATTAGTGTGGTGGAGGGACGGAGTACTGTTTGGGAGAAGAGGAGTTTGGTGCATAAGACGGGGACGAGTGCCCGAGCGAACTTGATGTTTGGACAGAGGAGGAGAAGGATTGCGCACTAGGCTGGGACTTTGATTTGGGGATAGGTGGGAAAATTGGGACTGGATGAGGTGTAAGTGTAATGTACAAAAGCATCAAGGGATTTCCAAGCAAGCTGCCGCAGGAGCCATTTATTTGCTGTGTATAATGAGTTGCAATGTTTCTCTCGAGATCATCATCAACTGTTGTTATCCAGCGCAAGTACTTCTCAATATATGATGGACACGATAGAGCAGGTGCATATTGCACGTCACGTCAATCGGAAAATCCATTTTCACCAACGACCAAATCACTACGCGAGATAGCTGAACTAATAACGTCCTATCAACTCCGAGTGATCCCAAATACCCCTCCCAAATCTGCCATTTACAAGTCGCAACGCCTCATTCCGTTTCCCACCCGTCTTTAAGAAGTATAGCAATAAACAAGCAGAAGCCCAGGGTTTTTACTGTACGCTCCTTTATTTACCTTTTTTCTTTATAAGCAAGAGGAGAAGTATAAATGATATCTTGACTTTACGTCTACACTTTCCATGTCTCGATATATTGTACTAGCTATCTCTATATCTTCTCTTCTCTTCTCCCTCGGGGTTTTGCAGTATGTAAACCCCACACCTTGAGCAAACTAATGTTGCAAGGCATTGCTCAAATACGAAGCGAGGATGAGAAAGTGACGGGGTTCCTGGTCCGTCTTCTCATTTTATTGTAGGGGAGTGGTAGAATCGGATGGGAATGATAGAGAAGGGTTCTTGGATATAGAGAGTAGCTGGTAGGGTCGTGGGTTCAAAGAGAAAGGTCTTAATACTAGATAGGTTTTTAGGGAGTGTGAGGTCAGGATATCCATTTTTAGAAATTTGGGATAGATAGAGTTAGGAGTCGTAAAGTTCTAAGGAGGGTGTGTTTTTTATAATCTCGGGATTTACAATGCTACTCGAGGAATAGAGGGAAGACCTTTGGATAGGTAGATCTTTGGAGAAAGTCGTTGGGTATGGTTAGATATTAGTAACTTGAAATTAGCGTTTAAGGTAACCTATTCGTGTTACATGTAGAAGGAAATAATAATATGATATGTATATGAAATAAGCGAGCTAATGAAAGATTAGGTGTCTTATGTCCCGGCTAAAATCGAAGGATTAGAAAAAAGGTTGGATGGGCACTATTTGATATTCTAGATCATGGTACAGGTAGCAAGGTGTATAGATAAACGAAATCGCTTCTGTTCCTACGTAAGAAGAATGATTTAGAAATTAGCGAAGGGTGTGTTCTAAAATTGGTAAAAATAACATGAAAGAAGCAACGGTACAGAGTATCTACGTATCACCCCTACCTATTTTAGTTCCAGGTTTATAGTGGATTATCCGTGCTGTCCACCCTCTTTACCCTCATGGTATTCAATAACGAGAACTCGGGTATGATTGTAACCATTCATTGTACCCCAGATATGACATTTTTCAAAACGTCGTACGAGAAGCACTTTATCGAGCTGATCAAGAGTTGCCAAGCAGCTTGGGATGCAGAACAATTATCCCCCAACTTGCATAGGGACTGGGGAAGGTCTTTGTCAAGCCGGCTTCCCGTCCGAAGGAATCAGAGTGATTTGTTGAAACTTGAAAGGAACCCCGCGACAAGAACATGTCCTTCTTCCTTGGCGGAGTGCTGCGCCGCCTTCTTTTTTTCTTTTTTTCCTTTTGATGCCAAAAATGGTGGTTGTGAGAACCCGAATTCTTCCTTTTCGGGGGGTTTGCTAGAGATGGGTAGCTAGTTTCGTCTCCAAAAACAAAGTATCAATAATGGGCATGTCGCTAGCTGGATTTGGGGAAAGGATTGTCAGATGGTGATGATCTTGTTGAAAAATAGAAGAACCGTAAGCAAGTCTGCGCTGGGTGGTCAGTCAGAGTCGGTTTGTTGCGGTTGGATTTATGCCAAGAGAGGAGGGAGCCTGGTATGGCCGTCTTGGCGAGGTAATTATGTTGTCGGTTGTTGAAGTTGAGTTGGATCTCGTGGCCGAATGCTTCTATTGTTCAATATATCAATATACGATGAGGCTGGGAGATGATTAAATACCCAATCGGCCAGCTTTGCTCAGTGCCACAATCAGCCTTGAAGTCTGAGAAAAAGAGGTGATCGGACGATGGAGGTGTAACATGTATATGCCATGGTACAGGCCTTTATGTAAAGCCGTTGCAACGTGATTAGCTGAGGCCGTGTTAAGCCCGTCTCCCTGGACTGTTCCTGTCTTGTGACAAAGTAGCCGCTTTTTCTGTAACTATCTCCAGCTACTGTGTCTGCAAGAGCACCAGAGAGCAGCATAAGCGAGGCCTCATGATTCGAGAGAGGGACGAGGGCGCTGCCCCGCGTTTTCAAGCCCTCGTTTTGAAGGGTTGTACGGAGGTACAATCTCACCAGAGAGTTGTACGGAGTACTTGGAAGTAGATTGATCATTGTGGGCTGGTGGGATGGAATGGAAAATGGGGCGAGGATGGGATGGCTCGGATGGGTCTTGCCATGTTGCCCATGCCGATAATAATGTCAGCCGGTGGTCACATAAGGTCAACTCCAGACCGCTTCCTGGGGCCCATGATGGCTTCAAGCTGGCCGCTCTCGCCCCTTCAAGCTCAGGGCCTAGCTCCATTATTATTGGCATGAAGCGAATGGCAAAGCGCCATCACTACGAGTATCCATATCACGATGGAGAAGTACGAATAGATTATACTTCGAAGTAGATAGCTGCCTGTGCCTGACTTGATTTGCCCACTGCCACTGCCACTGCCACTGCCACTGCCACTGCCACAGTCCACATCTGCTCGGGTTGGTCCGCTATCCCCCGCCGCAGGGTATGTACGGAGGGGGAGGGACGAGTACTCGAGTAGAGCATGTCCTATGCAGGTCGGAATCAACTGAATGGCGGCCATGTGGAGATACACGCTACACGCTACACCCAAGCCCAAGCATCCGCATCGTATCCATCAACATCGACACTGTGCCCGTCGCGGCGCCGTCTCCTTATATATGCCCAGGACCTGGGGTAGCTGCTGCCATGTTGTCATATCGACTTTTTGTTGCTGCTGCCGCTGCCGCTGCCGTTGCTGCCATTGAAATCGCAGGGCCGCGTAGGTAGCATTGGCAATCAAGCTGTTTTGGCAGCACCAGACGGAGTACTAGTACTCGTACCAACCAGTACTCGTCCGAGTGCAGGATACCTATACGACAGGATAGGTAGGACTTGCCGACACAAGTGACTCAACACCACACTACCGCGACGATCCTCCAAAATATATTGAAATCCAGGGCGGACATTGATATTGACATTGACATTGACATTGCCATTGCGTGGTGGTGGTGTTCGCGGAAGAACTGGAAAGGCTCCTCCACCAAGGCAATTGCACGTGCGGAGCCACGGGAGCGAAGCTGCACCTCCACTGCAAGCTTGCCCTGCGCTGCGGCTTGCCCTTTGCAGACGAGACTCAAAGCTCCAGGTCTCCCAGAATTCCGCCTTCCAATTCACGTCCACACCCACACCCACACCCCCTCAACACCAACCACCACAACCGCTACCACCTCAACTCCTCAAATTCACCATCTCCAGACACGACCCGGCCTTCACGCGATCGTCCTTGGCCCCTAATACCGCCCACGTGTACCTGTCGAGTTATCCAACTGCCGGCACTGTACGCCTTGTACACATTGTACACATTTGCACACCACACACAAGCACCTACGCCTACGCAGAGCGAGTGCCATTCACCTCATTTCCGCTCAGTGCCCCCCGTCCCCCCATTGTCCTACAATCTTCCAAGGCACAGTTACCACCCTGTCACCAAGGTCGAGCGGTTGCAATGACCTAAGTCTCCTCTTCTATCCAGAACCGCTTTCTACCACAATGCAGAATCGCGAACTCGACTGCCACCCAAGAAAGTTCATCAACGGATGAAAGTTTCTCCCGATAATATACCCAGACCACACCACACCACACGCGCTTCTAGACGCCTTTTCGACGCAAACCGATTACTTGAACCCAGACCTACGGATACCCTTCTTGGCAGCATCACTGCCCAGCCTTCAGCCGAAGGTACAACATCCATTGCCAAGAGAGCACACCGGACACACAAAGCTCGTTATTGAGGTGATTTGCTACCATGGTGGGCATGTCTATGGAGTCCATGTTGGACGAAGAGAGAAGAGATGTTTTGGCGTTATTGGAAGGTTCATCGGCCTCGCGTACCAGGGGCTCTGCCAGCTCGGCTGCCTCTGGGCGCGAATCGTCCCCATTTACCCCCAGATCGCCTATAAGGAGCATGCTGGATATCGCGGAAGATGCTCCTCCCAGGCGTGCATCCGCTCCTAGAAAAAATGCAGAAGTTGCGAAGCCAGTCGCAAACCCCCCTCGAATGGGCAAGATTAGGAGTATGTTGGACCTTGATGGCCCGCCATATCCATCACCAGCGTCAGGAGCAACAAAAAGTGCCCAGGCATCTCCAACTCAATCGAATAACAAACCCTACTCTTCCAGTTCTATACCACATCGAAGCCTGTCTGATGCAGGAAGCAGACCAGCTGAATTTGGGCCCAGGTCAAATGTTCTAGAGACGCCGAAAAACCCAAGCACGGCATATCAGTTCGCTGGGATTCTGACTGCCAACCCGGGAGGACCTATGGTACCAAGACGAAACACTCAGGGGGGAAAGAAGTCCTCTCTCCCAAGCGCCATGTCTGAAGTTGTAAGGGGTGGTGACTTGAGTATGTTTGGAGGACCACGCGAGCGTGGTCGAAATCATTCGATTGCTAGTACTGGAATTAGTACAGCAAAGTCAAAATCACCACACAACCGACTTGGATTGCGGTCTAATTCTCCCCACACGAGTTCACTTAGTCAGGATTCTAATAGATTTGTTCTCAACGATGGTAGAGTGATTGATATGAACAGTGCATACCGAAGGTTATCAGATGCCAATTTAGCTTTGTCTGGGGGTAATCTATCAACTTTAGGTAATAGGAGACGGAAGGGGAGTAGCAGGGACGGAAGCGATCCAGACGGCGGCAGACTTGAAAAAGACTATGTTCCGGTAGATGGAGAGGATGCAGTTGATAGTAGCGATGACGATGAGCACTCATCAGATGATGAGGGTACCCGGGGCAGAAAGGCACAGAGTAGAGGAAGGAATCGGGAAAAGGCAGAACATTCTCGAACGGAGAGTCAGACAACGATTGGGATGGGTAGAGGCAAAGGTCCTAGAGGCGCAGCCCAGAGCTTGATGGCCGCCGCTGAAGAAGAGCGTACGTGCAAATAAGAACTTCTCGCTAAAGAATATTTTACTAATGTAACTTAGGTGAGGCAATCGCATCAAGATACAAGGTTCGATCGCTCTTGGATCCCGAGATCACTGTTACAGCACCGTCTGGGACGAAATTGAAATCAAGCAAGCCTGGGGTTCATCCCAATACAAGTTTCGATGACCAAGGAACCACTGGTCTTAATACGCCTGTAGATTCTGATACTGAACAAGATCTTACAGACATAAAGCGAGCACAAAAGCTATCGGTTAATATGACATCTATCACGTCCACTCCGGCAACCGCACGATGTGTCCGTACGCTCTATCGAGGAGACTTTACAAAGACGCAAAAAGAAGCTCAAGACAACCAGCGACGTGTTCGGAAGTATCTGGTGGCTACAGATCTCAGTGACGAGGCAGCTCATGCCCTGGAGTGGACTATTGGGACAGTACTTCGTGATGGGGATACCCTACTTGCAATTTATTGTGTGGACGAAGAACTTGGAATTGAAACCATGGCAGACGAGGCGCATATGAGAGAGCAAGTAGTGGCGGTTGGCGACGCAGCCAAATCTACTGCATCGACTCCTGTACTGGCTCCTGTTACTGGACCTAGTCCATTGGGTCCTGGCTTCAGATTGGAAACCAATAGTGCCAGTGCAAGTCCCATGGGCAGGCACCGGGATAAAGCTGAACAAGACCGATACAGAGCCGTACAGGATATCACTGATCGAGTTTCTAAGCTGTTGAGGAAAACAAAATTGCAGGTGAAGGTAGTCATTGAGGTAATTCACTGCAAGAGCCCAAAGCATCTGATTACAGAGGTCATTGATTACATATCGCCGACACTGGTGATTCTTGGTAGCCGAGGGAGAAGCGCACTTAAGGGGTAAGCCACCAAACTGAAATTGCAACGTACTTCTGCTGATAAAACACAGCGTCATTTTGGGCTCTTTCTCTAACTATCTGGTCACGAAATCTTCCGTACCGGTTATGGTTGCTAGAAAGCGTCTTCGAAAGCATACAAAGTACAAACGTCCTGCCGTTCGGTTGGCCAACAATCTTGCAAGTCCGGTTAAGAGCCTAGAAAAGGCGAGGATCGATTAGAACATCACCACTCCAGCTTGTCCATAGCAACAATGAAACTCCACCCTTCAATTGGCACTCTCCCACTTTCGCAACCACCCAAATATCTTTATCCGGAATGTGTAAGGGGATGCAACCAATTACTACCGGTCTCCCGGACTTTCTCTTTCAAATCATATAAATTTATAAATACTTGCAGCAAATCACATCCTGTGATTGGAAATAATCAGGTCTAATAATGAACACGCGGCAGTGTGTACTCGAAGTGGAATCCTGGCGTTTGTCCCCCTCCTGACATGCGGCCACGTTCGGGTAGGTTAGGCAAATTCTGCAAAAGAATTTGTGTGGATAGGCTCGGAAGGAGGGATAGGGAGGGAAGAAGGGATGTAGGCTGTGGGCTAATGGACTATGGGACCGCCATGTCATGACTCTTCTGGTCCCATTACATACATAAACTTGAACTCGCTGCTCTTGTCCCTTGTGTGTTGGCTGCCTGGCGTTTTTTTAGGAAATATACCAAGAAAATCTTTGCTCATTCGTGTTTGTGTCTGTGTTGAATCTTGATTTCTATCTGTATGTGTATGTGTGCTTGAGGGGTTTGGGAGTTGGGCGCTTTGTGGGCTTGGGGGTTGTGTCGTATGAGTTGTAGTTGTTAACTCAACGTACCTGAGCTAGGTAAGTAGTAATAGTTAACTGATTAAGAATCTAAGGCCCTGTTTGGCAACAGATTATTTAACCAGATTACATGACTTTTAAAAATAATCTATTGAAAAGTACGATTTGCCAAACACTTTCAGATTATTTACTTTTTTTTCAATAAAAAATAAGCTGGCTCCACCAAAATAAGATAATCGACTTTTACGAGGTTATTTGACAGATTAATTTACTTTTGTACAGACAGTATATATCGAGCCCTTTTACGCCCTTTGCTAATATTCAACCCTACTTATAACACAACGCCTATAACCACAAATACTACTTCGCTTACTATTATAATAGATCCTAATTATCTAGATTTCGATTCGGACAACGAATTTAAGGAGGAAAGTAAGCGTATTACTATCGTAGTAGCTATACTTAGAGTATAATATATTAACGGCAAGAAGAGAGAATCGCTATATTCTAACCCCCTTACCGCTATCGTAATAGCTAGCGGTAGTAGCGACGTAATATTATTATAATAAAAAGTAGTATATCCTAATAATAGCTCGTATATCCGCTTAGAATAGAGGGGTGAATATCCGCTTAGAATAGGGGGGTGAATTACGCGCTATCGGAACTCGGGCAAAGTAAATTCTGGTACAAAATCTATACAAATAATCTATAGTTTATTTTTTGTACGAAATCCGCGCTTATTTAAATAATCTGTCAAATAATCTGGCTATGTAATCTGGGTTGCCAAACAGGGTCTAAATAGAAGATTAATAAAAACTAAATAGAAGATTAACATAAGTTGTTAGATCTCTAGAGGAATTTAGATATAACGAAGATAATCTTGATATTCCAATCGTTATTAGAGATAACTTCTTAAGTGGAAGTAAGAATTGTGGAAATAGAGTAGGAATGTAATATAGTAGTACTGTGAGAGGCCAGACCTCGAATAGCTCAAAGGTGTGGTTTCGAATATTCAATTAAGAAGTGCGTGAAGACTACATACATGCAATCTCTTCCTCTATATATAGAGAGAGGAAGAGTTTCTGGAGTCTTCCAAGAAACTGTTTGACAAATACGTGACGTCAAAAGAATAGAGTAGAAAAGTGTAGAAAAGGAGAAACCAATTTAGCAGTGGAGCAATGGCCAATGCTGAGCGGGGACTTTGGTCAGTGCTTAGCGAGGGCATGGCCCGAGCCTCCATCATGGGTTCCAACCCTCACAAGTACTTCACTTTTAAGTATTATATTACTCGTAGAGACTTAAAGTATACCTATTATCTGTAGGTTTTTTGTCGCTTCTAACTTTTAGAGGATACGGTATCCTAAATCTACTACTAAACCACATAACTAAATAGCAAATCGCAAAGGTTACTCTATATAGGCAGAGCTAGATAACAAAGTCGGGTCAGTCTAAATTATTTCGTATAGTATAATTAATAAGTCCTCTAGATTATAAGTCTACGGATATACCTTCTTACGCCTATCTAAGTAAACCCCCCCCCTTACCTTACCCTAAATATATACCCCCGCCTACTATTATAGGGTTTATCGTAACCCCCTAGCCCTGGTAAACAAATACCCCCTATCCCTACTTGTTATACTATTGCTATCGGTATTTTAAAGGGTTATCGAAAGGGTTATCGGAGAGAAAGAGAAGAGAAAGAAGGAGGGGGAGAGGATAGACAAGTATAAGTAGTAAATAATTCTTAGCGCGACACATACTAGACTAACCTCTTTAGGAAGGTAGTATTCGGGGGCTAGGAATAAGTGACACGTATAACTGAAAATATTTCCTCGCTCCGGTCTCCCTCCGCTACCCTCTCTCTCTCTCTCTCTCCCCTTCCTAAATAGCATACTAGGGCACAAACCCTATACGACAGTGGGTATAGGTAATAGCCGGGGGGAAGTGTAACGAATACTCAAACTGGCTAACTAAACTTGGCTGGGTGTTCGCTGGTTGGTATGCTATGATAAGAAGAAGACTATCGGGTTGTTCACTTGGAAGTGAACTCGTTACTTGTATCAAAGATGTCAAACTAATATGATAAGATTGATAACTAAGTTGAGCACGAAGCTCCTATCTAATGGCAGACGTGCCAGTCTTATATAGAACCTTCGTTCTCAGAATACTACTACTAAGGAATGTTGGTCGACAACCAACTCTGTCGACTATCACGTGACCAACATGTTGGTAAAGGTATACATCCATATACATTATGCAACCAATTAACGGCTCCTGCTTACATAAGAAAACTCCCTTTGGTTTCCCAGAACACATAAAGCTCCCAGGCCCATATGTGCTCGGCTTGTCATGACGCCGTCTGGTCTTCACTTGTCACGTGTGCACGTGATTCGTGACAGGAAGGGGGGGAGTAGGGTATAATAGCGAGGGCGCGATAGTAAGGGTAGCGAGTATACACATAAAAATTTCAAGGCTACGAAGTTTAAGCAAGGGTAGGGGTATAGGCACTCTGGTATTGTAGTAGTAAATATATGAATTTTAAGATTTGCGATTTACAATTAAGTCATCTGGTTTAGTAGTAGATTCGGGATACCGTAGAGGATAAAGAATAGTTGTTTTAGTTATTCGGGTAGTTTAAATAGTAGAATTAACTTTATAAGACTCGTTAAGTAATTGAAAATATAGTATTCCTATTCTAAGTAGGCTATATGTTCTTGTACTTCTAGATAAGAACTAAGTATTAGTACCTTACTCTAAGCCTATTAATAGAAAAGAACCTAGTACTCGAGTGGAATAAAGTGATTTATACAGGATATAATATTAAGTACTAGGATATTAGCTAATAGCTAGTTTGTAATCTAGATTATAGCCTAATCCGTAAAACAAGAGATCTATATACTTATCGATCTATAATATGAGTTGAAAATATACGACGTAGATTTAATACTAGAATTTTACAGGATTGGATATTTGTACTTTATTATACTATACTACGGTCCTACAGTACCTTTAAATTCTGATTCTGAGTTTAAGGTCTAGCGTTTAGTCAGTTAATATATGTTCTCTACTAGTATCTGTCGGGAAAGTTGGAGAAGGGAAGGTGCGGTTATTGGATTTTATTCGTTACCTGTAATGATATCGATACTTAGATAGAGCTCTAATTGCAGCCCTCAAGTCCTGAGAGACAAGATTGTAGTTCGTAACCTCTCTTTTGGATTTATTTTGAGAATTCACTCGAGTCATCTAACGACTTGTTACTTGACCTTGTTGCACTACCTATACTAACGCCTTCTGCAAGACCATAGACGTGGAAGGTGCTGAAATCCCCACCCAAAAGTATGATCTCCTTAGCCCTCCCCCTATATACGTCTTTTGGTTTTCGAAACTGAATCGCGGGAGATTGAGGAGAATGTGGCTAAAACTGAAATTATGAAATAGTAACCTTTCTGTTTCGGATCACCTTCGAAGCTATTGAGTTGAGTTGAAACCGTGAAACATCGCTTCGTAGTTAGTATCGACTAGAGTGTCCTTCGGGAAAGAATCTTTGATTGACGACGCGTGAAGGCTTTGGACGACAAATTCTGAGCGCTGCTGGCTATAATACTATATCCAGTCGTGTGTGACTCTCATTGCCATTATTCTGCGCACAAAACCCCTCGGAGAAAACAAGACATCGTACGTAATTGGAAACTGCTAGATTTTGGAAGGCTTAGGTTTAGGGATTTGTATCGTGATATGTGATCCCACCGACGGAACTTATTGGTACTGAATAGATGGAATGTAAAATTCAATATGTGGCGATGGTTGCTCGGTTCCAAAGAAGACATAGCTTGGGTCTCTAGCTAACGAACGTCTCCGCCAATGTTGCCCTTGGGGACGATTGTGAACGAAAGATTGCTCTGCTCTGGTTGGAGTGGGGGGCTGTAGACGTGGAAGACATAGGGTTATAGGAAACGACGTTACGGTGACACCAAATGAGCGCGGGATTGGCTACCACAAACATTCATCGTTGGTGATGACTGATGGAAACGAGGGGGGTTCAATAATAAACCTGTATTATTGTTCAACCATAAACTTTTTTGAATCAGCTTGAGCATAAGGACTCATCTCAAGAAGCTTGCTAATAAAATATGGTAGATGAGAAGCTGGTTAGGTGCTTAATTATATTGATAAGATGTAGCTAGTAGCTAACAAAGAGTCTTTAATAAAGTGAGTCTCATGAAGTTATGGTGCAGATTACGTAATTTCAATACTTACATAGTAGATAAGAGTCTCGTGTCTCTCTGAGGGGATCTAAATGAAATCAAGTGATGCTCTCTTGAAAGGAACATCGAGTACTTTCAAACAGCGGTTCTAATTCCCTTGAATCTCCATATACTATCAAGCTTTATTATCGAAATAGATAATCGATAAAAGTTTCCAATCATCAACGGACTTACTGTAAAATAGCCTTCCAAGACTTGAAAACAATAGTACAACCGACGTACCAAATCCGACGAAGATGAAAAAGATTGCACGTTAATTGAGGCACCGTATATCAACCATTCTTTTTGTATTTTTCAAACCCAGCGACCATTTCTCAATCCGAATCTCCACGGTCGTCGATAAACTGATGTTTTTCAGCCAGACGAGTTTCTTCGATTGCTGTTTTTCATCAACAGATTGGATATTCTGATCGCGTCGAATTTTGAATAAATGTTTCTATATCTAGTATTGCCTGTTAATTTTCTAGTGAACGAATCACAAGAAACAAGAATCCAGCAAACCTCGTGACATGGTATAGCTTGGTTGGCGATAATGTAGCGGTCGCCGGAGAAAGGGCCGAGTAAGATGAAAACACCATCACCGCGATTCTGCACGTTATCCTTGATTCGTCGAGATTTATACCATGCTTGCCTATATTCCAGTACTCTGATTATTTTCCGTGGTAGGCCATTTTGATGGTAACCATGACTTAGATGAGGTTATCTCCGAATCGATGATCCCAATTGCAGCTGTCTTGATCCGCAGGATGACGTTTTTCGATTGATAATGCTCTTCCTCACAATGTAGACCAACAATGTAACCGCACGGAAGCTGACAATTAGCAAAAGTAGGCCAATTGGAAGTACTTCAAGCTTACCGTAATAACGTAGTAATGTAATTTGATAGATGAGTGAGGTCTGAAGGGATTCTTCGCCACTGCTGCGCGAGAGAATGGCGGACGTGGTAACGGCACTTCTGATCTGCTTCCTAGTAACCAAATCGAGCTGGGTGCCCCAAACCTCAACGCAATATGAGCATACCCACTGGAAGAAGATCGCAGTCTTCTAGAAATTCCTTCTGTACAGCCAAGTCTTGGTAGAACAATTGATAAGAAAATAAGCAAACGCAAGCGCCGGCATTTGAACCAAAAGTTTGGGTTCCTTTAAAATGGTACTTCCCCTTATCACGCCGACTTTCTGCGTGTACGGTGTTGGATAACATTCAAGTGGGCTTCTCTGGCTATCCACAATGTGATAATGCGTGTAAGTGGGGTGGTGAGATTGGGGTGCAGTGGCTGTCTCCCTCTGCAAGACTGAGCTGCGGGAGCTGATTCGAGTTTTATATATTGCGATTTTTGGTGTAGATGTGGCTCTGCAGATACCTGTTCACGACGATTCGTACTATTTCTCTGAATTGGCTTATTTCTGGTACAACCTAGGCCTTACAGTTAATAAAAATACATATTTGCGTCACGAGAGCTTCTGTGGGGTGACCCTTCTCAGATATTGTTCGCACTTCAGTTGATCGTGATCTTTGGGTTGGCGCCGATGCATTTCACCAATCGTCACTATCTCACCACCTGCAACACTCATGCAACTTGACGATCGTACGATATGCGATGGACTCACGAGTGTCGGTTGTGTTTTTGGCCACCGGCAGATATAGATGACCATCAAATAACTTCGCGCAAGGTAGACCAAACAGAGTCAGCTCCCATTATTGCTGGAAAGAGAAATTGGTTACATCCATTTTTTAACTAACACATTACAAATAAGCGAGGTAGAAAAACTACTCAACAAAGGTAGACTCAATCAAGAATAACGACTCGTTTAATACAGCGCATAGAATCAAGGTGGACAAAAAATAACATAGAGCTCTATGAAAACAAAGACTATAGAAGACTATAGAATGTCAGAGTGTTGACAATACCGCAGATCCGATGGAAACTCCGCAGACAGTAACCCCCACGAGTGATATATCATTGCGATTTGCGATAGTAGGCCTTGGTTCTCGTCGTGACTAGGCAGTCAATAATCAATAATGTCCATCAGACAGACACCCGGACCAGACTTTCTGCAGTGACGTCTAGCAATTTTACCTCACGTACGGAGGGTATCATGAAAGAGGAAGACCCTTGCTTGAAATTTGTAAACGAGATGGTAGATGCTTGAAAATTTAACGATGCGGAGAATCAAATCACCGAGAAAAGAAGTGGGAAAATTGTGCGAATCGGTACTCGTATCAAAATTTCAATGGCTGGGAGGAAGTTTGAATGCTGCAGCTGGAATTCGAACAATCCGAGGCTAAGATATCAGACCACAGAGGATGGTGTATGTTGTGAAAGGTCGGTAAGACCCCGGAGAATCTCGCTGATGGTAAAAATGAGATGCAACCACCCAAGATCTTATTGAGTTTAGAGAAGCGTCTCATGCTTCTAGGCTGCCGTTATGGGTACTATATTTCTGTCACTAAAACCGTCGGTTGTGCAACACGTGCCATACCTTCTAAGCATTTTTCAAGCGAGGAGAGGGAGGGATGGAGGGAGGTGAAGACCCGAAATGGAAGGATGGTAGCGAATGATTTGCGAGACCGTTGCTCCATGCCATGCTCCTACTGGATCGAGAAGCAGAGACAGGTGTGAGAAAGTGCTCAGATTGGTGGCTTTATTTCGCTTCGAATAGAGTCAGGCCACGTTGTGCGGCGTCCTTGACAGAAAGGCGGGGTGCGGCACCCCAATGATCCCATCTGAAAATCGATTCTCCATACTGGAACTGGACTGGGACTGGGAACAGTACATAATTCGCACATGGATGGGACCGGCAGTGCATGGCCATGAGTCCACGACGTTGGGACTCGTCGTCTCGTACCATGGAAGCTATTTTCAGAAGGGCACTCGGTCGCTGGCGTCTCAAGCCATGATGCCAAATGCCAATGATGGAATGTTTCGGCTCCACAATGTTTCAAGAAGCTGATAGGCAAATTGTGATCATCTTTAGTGGAGACGCAAAAGTGAGGGGAAACTCAAAACACTTCGGACCAAGCGACGCCAAGGGGAGCGCTGCTTCGACGTTGCGGTAGCGGTAGCGGTAGCGGTCGCTCCTGGGATTGACTTTGGAGTTTGAAGGGATTCCTATCCGAGCTTTCGGATGAACTTTGGAACCTTCCCCCTTTTAGAAAACCCAAAAACTTATCGTCGATAACGCTTAGCCGACCGCTGACCAGCCACAAACAAACCCAACCGGTTACCGAGACGAGACGAGAGCCAACCTCAACCTCAACCTCCCAACCCAACGGAGCAAACCTAGCCAGAGTCGCAATGAAAGCAGCGACCAGCCGCACGGCACCTTGCGGCTCAGCTGACATTCGCATTCCCATTTTCATGAAGCTCCCCTTCCGCAAAGACATGTAAAACAGAGCCCAACAAAGTCAATCCTCGCAGCCCAAGTCTCGGGTGGCAGATTTATTTAGGTCCTGGCGCGCGCAGTGACCAGAGACCCAAATGCAACCCGTGGCTGCATTTACCGCACGCTCTCTTCCTGCGGGGAAAGGGTGCTCTCCAACTAAGCTCTCCACCCCTCAGCAACTCCAATTCCTGCCCTTGTACTTCCACGTCTGCATTGCATCTACATGTATGTACTTGCCCACAGCGTCCAATCCGCTACACGAAGATCTCCGAATCTGATGAGATATTAATAATTGTCTACAATGATGATGCAAAATGGCAGCGCGGACGACTCCAGAAGGACCTCGGGTGGGTCTAATGACCCCTTTTTCACCACCGTAATCGAGAAGCGATCTGACAAGGCCACCCCAAGCAGGCAGTTAGGCTTTGCTCGTGCTCACCTCTCCCCCACCCATATCCTTGAGAAACACACTCCTGTTCATCGGCGACAAAAATACCATCAACGTTTATTTCAATCAGCATCAACAACGAGCACAGTAAATCCCCTCACCGCTCTCAAGACACGGGCCAGGTCGAACTTTATTTATATAGACCATCTTACCCCTCAATTCAACGGTCATCCAAACTTCCTTCCATCTTCTTCTTCTGCTTCTAGAGCAAGCCCTCTTATCATCATCGAAGTTTAACTTACCTTCTCAACCACAATCTTCAAAATGGCCCCTTCACGAACCGACGACATTGATTATCAGGACTATGAGATCCCGGAGCCAAAGGTTTCCTACGATATCAATGTTCCTTACATGCCGCCCTCTGGAGATTATGAAGCCAGAATCAAAAACAATACGGAATTTCCGGACTATCTTCCTGTATGGGAGAAAGGTGTCTGGTTTGATAGGGTGCCAGAGTTCGAATACTATGATCCGGCTCTTCGAGCTGACAGAACAATGCCTCATCTTTTCACGGCTGGTGTAAAAGCAATCCCACTTACCCCAAAGATGGGCACAATCTTAACCGGAGTGAAACTGGAAACTCTATGCCAGGCAGCTAAGGACGAACTTGCTCTCCTGATCTCGCTTCGCAAAGTGGTGGTTTGCCGAGAGCAGTCAGACTTTTTGCACGCGGGCCCCGCATTCCAAGTCGACTTCATGGAACATTTTGGAAAGCTCAGCCATCAGCCTGTAACAGGGGCTGTCAAAGGATATCCCCAATTCCACATCATTCACAGAGACGGAAACAAAAAGGAAATCGCCAACTTCTTCAAACAAAAGACATCGAGCTGTATATGGCATCACGACGTTTCTTATGAGAAGCAGCCACCAGGATACATCATGCTCGGTATCTTGGCCTGCCCTGACGTTGGAGGAGATACCGTTATTGCGGACATGTCTGAAGCCTACAGACGCTTGTCTCCAGCATTTCAAGGAATGGTCAACCAAATGACGGCAGTCCATACATCGGAGAAACTGATTGCCCATGCGAGAGCAAACAAAGGCCTTGTTCGAAGCAACCCAGTTGATACCGAACATCCCGTCGTACGAGTCCATCCAGTGACTGGTGAGAGAGCGCTATTCACAAACGCTGAATGGCCCAAAGAGTACATTGGATTGAAGGAGGAAGAGTCTGAGGTTGTCGTTAAATTCTTGCTTGACCACATTCGAATGGGACATGACTTTCAAGCCAGAGTCCATTGGGAAAAACATTCAGTTGTTATGTTCGATGGCCGAACAACTCTTCGTAAGTTTTCAAATTATTCTAACGGAGGATATTGCTCATACCATTCATTAGATACTGCGACGGTAGATTATGATAATGCTGATCAAGCACGTCATCTCTTTCGCCTTGCCGCAATGACCGAAGTTCCGATCTCTGTTGCCGAAGCTGAATCTCAAGGTGTCTATTAAGGGCCTGTAATTGCGAAGCTGGCTTTTAGTTGCATTTTTTTACATTTTTTTGTATTTATTTGCGCACATTTTTGTCACTTCCATTATACCCATCATGTTTTTCTTATTGGAGGATTTATGAGCGACTTTTTGTTTTTCTTGCTTTTTGTTTTTCTTGTTTTCGTTTTTTTGGGGGAGTCTATAGTTTTTCAATCGGTTTTTGTTTTTGCGAATTTAGCCAGCTTGTGTTTTTGGTTTTGTTTGGTCGAGGCGTAAATTATGTTTGGAAAGCAATTTGAAATTTTCTTGCATCTCTTTTTTCCAAAAATCCCTTTATCACTTAGCGCAGGCGTTCAGGATTGCTCAATAAAATTATCATTATCATCTTCTTGCTTTCTTATGATTTTTATCTGGGAAGCTTGGGTTGAATAATCATCTAGAAGAAATATCTTAGAGGTATCTTGTCTTCTGCATTTTAAGTCAAGCGACATTACCAGTGAATTTTGATTTCACATTCCCGCTATGCTATTTTCATAAGCCTTTTCCAATTTCTCCTAACAAGAGAGCTTGACAGGTTGCCATTATTCAATGTACAGTACATACTGAAATAAAAACCACCCCAGAAGACTTGGACAATGAAACCATTTATGCGCATTGTTCGAAATAGTTAGTTGTGACTCTTGAGTTACCCACACATTGAGAGACAATCAACTAACTTTTTCTAGGAGTTTTTGTGAATACCTTCTTAAGGTGTAAGTGGAGTAAAGCGGAGGTTTCGTACCTCCATTACCTCCACCGGTTATTCGCTAATGGTCGTGTGACCAACCACAACATCCACAGACCTGAAACAAAACATTCATTCTCCTTAGCTTAGGGCTCATTATAAAAGGGGCCCCTCCGATCTCCCCAGATTCGTTCAAAAAGATCCTGGCAAAAATCTGTTTCACATAGTCGACGCGTTTTGCCAAACTTAACCGGATATATCCGAAAATAGAAACATCATCATGCCGTTGAAAAAACCTACGCCAGTGCGGATGCCCGCAAGACGACAAAACACACCTGGAAAACGGCCTGTTCCCAAGCGGAATGGATTGAGGAACGGCCACGGAGTCAGGAGATCGCCTTTAAAGGCTACCCCCGGTCAGGCTGGTCTACGTGCTCATGGTCAACACCGAAGACCTGTAGCAAGAAGAGCAGTGGGAAATGGATTGAGGAACGGTCAAGGAGCTAGGAAATCACCTTTGAAAGTAACCCCTGGGTTACGCGCTCATGGTCAGCGCCAAAGGCCTGCAGTAAGAGTAATGGGAAATGGAGCGAGGAACGCTCGCGGAGCTAGAAAATCGCCAGGAAAGGTAAATACTGGTGTACGTACTTATGGCCAGCATCGAAGGCCTGCAGCAAGAGTAATGGGAAATGGAGTGAGGAACGCTCGCGGAGCTAGAAAATCACCAGGAAAGGTAAATACTGGTCTACGCGCTCATGGTCGGCACCAAAAGCCCACAGCAAGAGCAGGAATGGGAAATGGAGCAAGAAAGGCTCACGGAGCTAAGAAATTACCACTAAAGCCAAATGCTGGTCAACGTGCTCATGGTCAGCATCAAAAGCCCACAGCAAGAGCAGGAATGGGAAATGGAGCAAGAAAGGCTCACGGAGCTAAGAAATTACCACTAAAGCCAAACGCTGGTCAACGTGCTCATGGTCAGCATCAAAAGCCTACAGCGAGAAGAGGCATTGGAAATGGTGTGGCGAGAAATGTCATGAAAAGCATTGGTATACATCCCCGCAAGAACCGAGCTGTCCCAAGACATGGCCAACCAAAAAACTATTCCGGTAAATTGAGAAACCAAATTCGTAAGAGCCTGCGACCAGCTGCTCGTAACATGAAGAATGCTGCTCCAGGTTTAGATGCCCGGAAACGACCGCACCAGAACAAGTCCAATAAGCGAGGTGATCCAGGTCCAAAACGACCATTGCCTCGTGGAGGAGCAAGTGGGCTTCGTCATAATATAAACCGGCACATGAAGTCTTTCAGGCATCAAGTTAGGCCTAGGAAGGAGCTCCGACGGCATGGAAAAGCTAAGTTGCCTCAAAATCCACTTCGCCAGAATCGTCAAAGATTGATGAAACCCCTGAGACCAAACCCTCGTCCAGGCATGGGCAGAGTTCCTCTTCCTGTCCGTCAACACCAATCAGCCAGGAGGAATCTTGCTCTCCGCAACCTGATGGCTGGTAGAAAACCCGTGCTTCAATACCCACGTCAACCAGCACCCCGTCTCCCCGTGCCTGATTATCTGGCTGCTCCACGGAGAATTCCTTTTCCTCGGCGCTTGATGAATAGCATCAGACCTCAGGGGAGATATCCCGCTCCACCGCGTGATATTGGCCGGATTCCTGTGGGAGGTGTGGAGAACCGACGGCCTAACAGAGCTCCTGTTATATCCTCAATGATTGCTGGTGTATCTCGCTTCCTGTCCCCAAGGGCTCCTGCTCCTCCGCCACAATATTACCCTGATCAGGATACTGAATATGACTTGCCTAATATTGGCGGCCTTGCAATCAGTGAAGACGGGGTTCCGGATGGATATAGTGACATTCAAGATGATTATTACACAGATGATCAGGCATATGACGATCAAAACTATGACCCTGATGACGATGGAGAGTATGACTCATTCAACGAAGACGACGACTATGGCGTCGAAGACGATGAAGCCGAGGAAGAGTGGAGATGAATAATGAGGGGCACGGGTTTCGACGAGAAAATGATTAAGAACTATGCTAATATGCGTCTTGCGACAAGCAAGACAAGGGGATAGAAGGTAAGGTACGAATAAAAGTGGAAGTTCTCGACGAGAGAGTTTTGGAGAACCGAGTGGGAGAAAGTCTCGTTAGCTATATATACTTATTGATAGAATATGTCGTTGTTTGCTGGAATTGTGGTTCTCTGGGTTTTCAGGAGAAACACCCTTGAAAACCACAGTTGGTTTAAGTGAATGCTTAGGCTATGCAATGCTGTCCTGGAAACGCGCCAATACTCAAAGATTCATAAGGAGTGATATGATCAAAAATTGCTCTTAGCGGTCAACTGGTCCCACTGTTCACTACTCTATACGCTATCTTGGGCTTGTGAGTAGGAATTCCTATAACATAATGTAAGACTTTTTGTAGTTATATATGCACGTGAGAACAGTTTGAGATTCACAAATTCTGAAATGTTGGTGACTTTAGAATCCTAACAGGCCAATAAGAATATCGGTGAATAAGATATTGCAGAGTTAGTAGATCTGCTAAGTGTTAGGTGAGGTAAGTGAATTATTTGGTGATTTAGTCATAGGGGGGTTCTTATTGCGTGACATGATTCCAAGTACCGCTACTTATATATATTGTTCCTGCCTATACAATTAAACACTAACACTAGAGTATGTAAAGTAATTGATTTACAAGACTTGAGTTAATTACGTGTATTTAACGTGGAAGGCGGAACTAAGAAAATCTTTTACTTTCATTCCATTGTTCACTGCGAGCCATGGATTTGTGACCACTACTTGACAATAATGATAAGAAGCAAGTTGTCTGAATCACATTTAAGCATAGCCCCACGTAGCTTTGCTCATCTTCACATTCATTTTCTCGTTCTAGCTCCCATTCTTTATCATTTAATCAAGCATGCCGTACTTTCTACTTCCCAGAAAGGACCTCCACAGTTTCCGAAACCATTATTTTTTGTGACATCTCAACTCAAATAACCATGCCTGGTAATAGTAAAAAGCCAAAACAAGTCAGATTTGGGGTGACAACTACCATCTACCCACCCTCATCTCGTACGCCGTCGCCGAGTATTCCAAGCAGACCCTCTACTCCCAAAAATCCAGAAACAACGGACTCAAGACCGAACAAGTCAGGATATGCACCCGAAGGGTCGCCACCTCAAAGAGAGTCTTTCCACCCTGGCGTCCCAAAAAATCACCCCAAGACTGTACCGAATGAGAGCCCAATCTCGCAAGGCCAACGAGCAGACAGCTCCAACTGGGACGATTCTCATAATACCTCAGGCATGGCTACCACATGCGGCAATACATCTCGACTAAATATTACAGATCCAGCTGCGACATCCATTCAAGGGAATGGGGCTTCAAGCCCCTGGAGCTCTAGCCAAAATGTGATAGTGCTTTGAGGAGTGGCAGCCAACATGGCCACAATAGACACAAGGACTTAGGTGTTAATAATGTTGCTAAAGCAGCTTCTGTCGAGGAATCGCCGGAAGTACATAAGGACTACTTGGCAAAGTTATCAGACCCATTTAATGTAAAGTGGAAGCTCGAAGAGTAGAACTTAGTGCTCACTTAAATTCAAGTTTCTTGAACCTTTGAACTCGATTTTATGTTGGCAGAATACAAGTACAGTTAACACCATTCATTGTTCCATTTATTGCCCAACACCGTGAAACAATATCCGCCATTCTTGACAATTAGAGAACTATATGCTTCATTTGTACACGAACTATGGTTGGAACAGATTATGCCAGATCGAAAACTACGAGGGATACTCTTAATTTTTTAAAGCTCTGATTGATTGAAGTAGCAGACTCTTGAAGTGAAAATGATCGATTCAATCATTCTCATGGCAAGCAACAGCAGAAATCAATCCTCTTTATACAGACCTATCTTCATCTGTACTATTAATTAACTAAAATTATTTCTATTATATCCCCTCGAGGCTTCATATGTACACCTACGGTTTTAGGTTTAAGATTTGCTATTTAAGCGGTCGGACCGGTCGGAATGATGCCTAGGCGCGCTACGGGGCTTGGCCCGACTTGCTCCGCACCACTTAAGTAGTAGTATTGCTGAGTACCAAAACTAAAAGCGGATACCTCAAACCTAAAACCGTAGGTGTACATATGAAGCCTCGAGGGGATAATATGCTTTTCCCAAAAATGATTAAGCTAAAAACTCTGTTTTTATATAGGTTATATAGCATTACCAACGGAGACCCTATAGTAGTATAGAGGTAGTACTACCGTAGCCCACACGAGACTAGCAATAATTCTTACAGAAGTAGGTAGTAGGAGCTATTCACTTTATAAAAAGTGTTTTAATCCACGCGACTGAAAAGTGCTATGAGTCATCCTTACTATACCCCTGAGTTACTTAAAAAGGAGAGAGAAGAAAAGGTATAATAGCTAAGAATACTTGTAATAGGAACTTGAGTATATAAGTAAATTTACGCGCGTGATTAGATTGCCCTAATAGCTACAAAAAAGTCTCACCGGCCTACTTAAGTATTATTGTTATATTAATAAGTGATAAAGCGATGAATCTCAAGTATAGTAATAGGCAGGTGGGTGAGGGGAGGCGGGCCGATTTACTGGCTACCAAGTTAACCTGTATTATCAGTAAACATTCTCAGGCCCAAAAACGATGGTTGGCGAGGACCTTGAGTATTGGTCTTAAAATCAGGGGCATTTAAAATCCTTGAAAGAACTACCACATACTGAGAGCTCTTTGCTACTACCACTCTCTAACTTCCCCTCCTGGTCCGATGAAGCCTGGACTCACCCATGGCCTCGCCCCCTCGGACAACCTTCTCACTTGCTCCTCATCAACCTCAATTCCAAGACCGGGACCCTTCATCAAATCGATGTACCCCCCGGTCACTTTCCAAACTTCTGGATTATGTGTATAGCTGGTCAAATCCTGACCTCCAACATTATAATGGATCCCCAAACTCATCTCTTGAATGGCAAAGTTTGCTGTTGCTGCCATGACTTGTACATTGGCAGCCAGAGCAATCGGACCCAGTGGACAGTGCGGCGCCATTGCAACATCATATGCTTCAGCCATTGCCGTGATTCGTTTCATTTCCGAAATGCCTCCGCAGTGACTGATATCTGCCTGGAGAATGTCGACTGCTCCTGATTCTAAGAATGGTCTGACATCCCAGCGACTGTGCAATCTTTCTCCAAGGGCTATTGGCGTGCTCGTCATCTGTGAGATAGCTTTGATACCCTCGATGTGTTCCGAAAGTAGCGGTTCCTCAATAAATAAAGGTCGGTGAGGCTCGAGTAGTTTAGCTAGCTGCTTTGCCATTGGTTTATGGACACGGCCGTGGAAGTCAACACCAGCATCCATCCCGAGTGCCTTGACTGCCTTGACTCTCTCTACACAGCTGTCAAGTGCAGAAGGGGAATCGAGCCATCCAAGATCTTCTGTTCCATTCATCTTCACGGCCGTGAAACCTTGGTCCTTACGGGCTTGACTGAGTTCTTCCTTAGTGACCAGTGTTTAATTGTTCTTCGTGTGAAAGATAATCTCACGCTTGAGCTGCGATATCAGACGGCCTATCTCCGCCAATCCAAGCGTAAACTTTTAGCTTGTCTCGCACCTTTCCACCAAGAAGTTCGTAAATTGGCACGCCCAATCTCCTTGCTGAAGGCTGATTAGCCAAACGATCAATTATCATTAGCACAACACACCTTTCAAATCCCATAGAGCAATATCGATTCCTGAGAGCGCGCTCATAAACACTGGACCTCCTCGGTAGAAGCCGAGGCGCCAGGTAGTCTGCCAGATATGCTCGATGTCACTTTCAAATTCATCAGTGCTTTAATATGTCACAAGATGGGAGTGCCAAAGACGCACTCAGCATTCAATCCAACATATCTTTCAATATGAGAGTCCAAACAGCCTTCCACTGCTTGAGTATGTCCTTCCAATGAAGCTTCACCCCATCCTACGTTCCCGGCTTCGTCTACAATTTTGACGAACAGCCAACGAGGCGGAACTCGAAAATATTCAATGGACTTGATCTTTGCCATAGTGGAGAGGATACCCAATGTGCAATTGGTGATGAATACTCGACAATAAAGTATGTTGGTACTTGAGTGTTTGCTTTGAAGATAGTTGCATGGGAAGTGAAGGGAAGGGTGCGGGGAAAGAGACACTGAATGCCCCAAGCAAGGTGTGGGGGTTCTCCACAAAAGCTTCAGAGAACCCGCAGAAGCCGCGATCTCTTAGCAGAGGGCTTACGAGTAACCTACCTTTAAAATATATAAGCTATTTTCACCCCTCGACATTTTCACACCTGCTTTTGATCCGATACCGCAGAATACCTTGGACTGCCTAGCCTGCCCATGCGGTTACCTAAGTCACACGTATGTAATTGTTCCATTAGCTTTAATTAACTAAATCAATTCACAGAGAACCCCAAAACAATTATAGTGGTTGTCGAAAAGCGTTTATGCAAATTACTTGGTATTTCCCAAGGAGGAATAATAAGGAAATGACTTACTGCTTTTTGTATCCACCATGGAGTTGCTTGTCTAGCCTCCAAATTCCAAGGAATACACAGTACGTAAACGAATCTGTGAAATGAAATCACTTCGGACAGCCCTGTGATTTGCCTGCTGTTCCCTGAGAAGGAGCTCGTGAAAGGTCAATGATTCACCGCCATTCGACTGGCTTCACTTCGTTTTGGTACTCATTCACGATCAAGGGAACTATCTTCTATAAGTATGAGCGATCAAACCCTACTCCATAGATCTCATTCCGACAAAGACACAGACAAAAGTTCATGAGGTTGAAATTAACGATGAATCCACCAAATAGCAATCCTGGTAGAGGGTTTTCATCATCGTCGGGAGGTTCATCCTGGCCTCAAAGCTCGAGCTGGCGGACTGGATCTTCAATTTCTAGGACTGTGGAGATTCATGTCCCTCAAATCTCACACACTTTGCTTCGGCGGCGGGTACATCATCCTGAACTATTCATGCAAGAAACTGATGAAAATGATCAAGTGTCCAGAGGCTTAAGTCAAGAATACCCAGGTGAATCCGAGACCACAACAAATGAGCAGCTAGAAGAACACCAGTTCCAGCAGGAGCCGATGAACCAAATGGATGAACGACAAATGGAAATGGAAATGCAATATAGCCAGGCCGAAGCCGAAGCCCAAGCGGAAGCCCAAACCAGTTACCATCAAACTCCACACGATCAATACATGGCAAGTCGCCAACTTCACATTGAACAACTCACTCAAAACGAGCGTCAAATCCAAGAACAGTGGGTTCATGCCCAGTTGTACCTATGTGGAGGTTGCGTCGCAGGTTTTGCCTGGTATCAGAATGGGGCCGGGTATCGATGTATGGGCGATAACCATTATGTTACTGATGCACTGCTAGCGGAAGGAATGGGTGGTTGGTATACAAGAGAGATCGACGCTTATACCCCGAGAGAAGTGTGGGCAGGGCCATTCTACGCTCTTGAACAGCAAGATCAAGGGATATACGAGCTGGATAAGCCACAGCTTGTTAAGCAAAATAGACGATCAAAGCGGACCAGTTGGTTCCCAAGGAGGCCTAGGCGTTAATTGCTCTAAAATGCCAGGTAATGGAGGATGTCCGTGAAATCAAGTTGACAGACTTTAGATATAGTAAAGTTCAAAAGACAAAATACTAGTTCGAAGTGAATGCTTACCTTTGCAAGAAGACTTTGAGAATTTAAAGCCTAGTAATTTGAATACTAAATGCTAAGGGAGGCAGAAAACCTATGTTGTCTCAGGCACGGAACTACTAAACTTTTAATTACAAACTTTTAATTATAAGTAAGTCTCTTATACAGATCTTTATATTAGAGGGGGTAGGTAACTATACTCTATAAAAGAAAAGACGTTGGTGTTACTCTCTATATACCTCCCGTAGAATAAAATTGCCTTAAAAGCGTTATGTAACTAAAATAGTTCTATATTTAGTTTAAAATAATTATCTCTACTTACTTTTAATTACCCTAGGTATAATAATATAATAATTTTATTTATACTAGAAGTTTAGTATAATAACTTTTATATAGTATATATTAAGTAATAATTAGATATTTTACTTTCTATTATATTCTTACTAGCTCTTATATACTACTATTTAACTTTTATTTCCGAAAGTAATCTATTATTATCTTCTATAATATAGTATTAAGAATATGATAGTAAGAGTAGTAGTCCTATAAGTACTTAAGTAATTATTTATAATTTAAATTTTGATAATTCTATGCCCGATCCACCCACGTCTGTTCCGTAGTCGTAAAGAAAGATCGGTTTGTTCAGTAATATAGATATGGGCTAAAGTAGAAAATTTGAAGTTGAATTTCAGGATCGAACACATTAATTAGACTATTTATTTTCTCAATCTTTCTTGTAAATTTGAAACCATCGCCGCTTCTACTATTCTGACCCATACTATCCAGTATATCATCTGTAAAGTAATCTCCGCCAATATCTAGAAACTGCCCCATATCTCCAATCGATGGGTCTGAGGATGAGATACTAGAAGTTGTTCCCAGTCTAGAATTGAGCGCGAGGTCGAGGCGCTCCGACAATAACTTTCTTCGTCCATTATATAACAGAAAGTAGTTCTCGTTACCGTCTACATTGGCATCAGCATCTGATGCTAGGACACACAATTGACGATATAACTCGGCCCATGGCATCGAATGAGACATATCTTGACCGACATAAGAAATACTTCGAAGTGCATTCGCAAGCACGATTGCGCTTGGAAGGCTATAGATCCAGAGCTGTACCAAAGTTAATTCTTCGTCGCAGAGACTTTCGAAAATTGCGAGTCCCTTACAATCGAGTCCCAGTCCCTTGAAGCTCCGAACCTTCTATACAATCATTTCGTACAATTCACTGTCGTCCACATCAACAAGATTGGCGACTTGAGGCATCATTGAGGCGTCTATGGAAGATTGCTTTGGAGAATCTGCTGTCTCTGGTTCCTTAGCGGTACTGGGCAGGCGGAAATCATTGGCTTACATGAGGTGTGTTCCATGTGGATTCATTGTCTATACTGTATCTGAGAAGGATCTATCAATTGAGACGATTCCGCGCAAGCAATAATACCAACACTCACGACAACGATGCATTTGTCGCACCTTTCGGCTTGGGTTGCGTCAAAGGGGCTGGGTGGTAGAAGCAGTTCTGAGGTATGTATCTTGAGCGACATCTACCACAAACGGGAATTTTGTGGTCACATTCCGACTTGAGCTTGCGACGTGGTTCGCAAGACTGGGGCTTGCCATTGCGACGGATGAGGGTTCTGGACAGCGTTTAATAATGGGGCCAACTTAATCGCCAACTCTTGGCTTGTTTTGGCTTACATAGTGTGCCTGGTCTGCCAAAGACTGGCACGATCACAAATACCATACCTTTCGAAATCCCTTCGAATCACCTGATGGTATCAGGACCCTTAATGGTGGTATGTAAAGCGGCAATAAGCTGTTTGTGAACTCTTGAAGCATAGATAGAATCTGGTTTGGCTCAAATACGATGACCCAACAAATACAATTCACAATGAGTATTTCCCTGATTCGAATTTGAGCACGTGACAGATGGTGCTAAGCGAGCGTTTAAGGAGGTGTACGTGACAAGTCCAAGCGTTAATTTGATATTGTAAAGTCTCCTGAAAATAAGAAAGAAGCTCGTGCTTCTATTATTTTTGCACAAAATAAATTGAAATACGAGGATTTTAGCAGAACTGTAGGAATTTATGGCGAAATAGTAGAATATTGGTAAAATAGGACTAGATACTACTGCGCTGCCACGAGCAACCATTCGCGTTCTGGGGATTTAGAAGAACCCATGAAACGTTTCTGGAACTTGCAAAGAAGCCCATTGCAGCTTTGAAGTGTTTTACTACATCCACAGAACGAAGTTATGGGCAACTAGTTCTAAGCATACATTCTTGAGGTCATTACAATAGACCATTCTTTAGATCAAAATTCTAAGGGCTTTTATTTCCTGCGCTACGAATAAAGGGCTCAAGGGGAAGGACCGATTTTTCGGGATTTAGATGCTTATATAACTTGTCCCAACGGTGTTGCAGTAAGCTTGGTGTCGGCCAGTCATTTTCAGGGTCGCGAAGCCAGAGCCGCATTAGGTGGCGCCTATGAAATCCTTAGTCAACTTTGTTCCCGGCAGGTCTTCGTGATCAAAAATCAAACTCACTGTTTCTCCTTAGTATCTACAAATGCGTCTCTAGAATGAAATATGGCCAAGTTGTTAATGTACTACACATCCCCCTTTGGGAAATTTGTGTTTAATGAGAACCGTTCACCCAGGAAATGTAGTGTGTCTAGAGCTTCGGCTTAAGCCTCAGTGATTGGGGGGATATTGTCGCTTCGTGGGAGCGCTCCAAAACCGACGAAGTACCGCCGCGAGTACTGCAAACCAACCCGCTCAGGTGTCGACGCCGTAGCGGGGAAATGAAAGAGGATTGGACGTTGCTCAAATTGCCGGTCATTCTTTTCGGACCTGTAAGAAAGCCGACCTCAGGGCCCGTAGAGAAAGAGAGGAGGAGCTGGAGAGAACTTACGCATCCACGTCCCATGGTTGGGATAGTGTATGAATCAGATTAGGCCGCGTCTGGGCTTTACTTGTATACCCTCCAAGTGCTTACAAAATTGCTAGCGCCACCTTCGGCTGATGTCTCGAGTGCCAGGAGCGACACAATGTCGCCAGTATCTGTGTGAAAGACTTGCTTATTGGTGGTGTAGGCGGGACTACCAATGATACCGCCGTTGGGCCCAGACGACGACGATAGCAACGAGAGATCTTTGACATGAGCCAAAAGCACATCGTCAGGTTGGCCATCAAATTGATAGTCTTGGCGGCCGAGTTGTGGCGCTAGATGAGTTGAGAGTCCCAGATAGATGAGAACATTATCGGGGCGCGTATATTCATCGACACGCAGGCCTCGAATCACGAAGAACCCATGCCCGTTGTGCAACTCGTTAGATAGACGACGGAGTGCAGGGCGAAGACTCGGTAGTAGGAAGTTGTCCGCAGTAAGCTGGCCGAGGGAAACCTCCAGTACTGTGTGGTATTATTTAGTTGGCTGAGTACATGGGCTAAGGAGGGCACAACACGTTGGGTTGTGGTTGAGGCTCACATTTAGAATATTTATGAGAATACATCTTGTCAGGAATCTTTTTTCGTTCAGGAAATGCCCCATTTCTACGCTTTCATGAGAAAAGTTGGCATCGACCTGCTGCCAAGACAATACAGGGAGTCCAAGGGATTCCTTGAACAATGGATGTCGAATATGACCTCAAAAGCTGATAGAGCGACTGACCAAAAACGGAGGATGGATGTTCCATTGAAATTAGCAGCTGAGCCGGTCATTTACGAGGCAACAAAAGCCGCAGTAGAAGCTGATTCTCCACACTTAAGTGAAGAAGCTAGGAAGAAGGTAGTTGCGAGTGAAATGTTTAATCACATTTGTAAGCTTACTTAAGTCTTAAATGACTGATCCGGATCCTCTGAAATTATGCTAACGATGATCAAGCTGCCTCGCGGGAGGTCTTAGGTATGTTAGCGAGAGTAAACATTGATAGTCGCATGCTAACAACTCGTTGGTTGGGATAGGTTTGGTCCTCGGCTATACTTTCTGGTACCTGGCACAGCATCCCCACGCACAAAAATGCATTTGGGCAGAGCTTGAAGAATACGACATTGATATGACGAATCCTGAACAGCTTGATGTGGCCGATCCAGCAAGCAGATCAAGACCAATAGAGCTAGACTCTTTGCCATATATTAGAGCTGTCGTCGACGAGTCATTACGCATGCGTCCAATCAGCATACTTTTACCACGTATTACACCGTCAGACAGAACTGTCTCCGTGGCAGGTGTTGATAACATCCCACCGGTAACGCGCATCAATGCTTTTCAGTGGTTTGTACACCGTGATCCAAATAGATGGGAAAATGCTCAAGAGTGGCAACCGGAGCGTTGGCTAGGACGCCGAGAAACAGACAAGAAATCATCTCGGGAGGATGTGCTGTGGACCTTCCCCAGTGGTCCCAGAATGTGCCTGGGTAATAATTGGACTTACTATGGTATGCTTCTTGGAGAGGACCATATGTGCTTCTATGTCGAGACTCGCTAATAGTGTAAATTAAAGCCATGCAACATGTCCTTGCCACCATTTGTTTAAAGTTTGCTTTTACAGCACTGCCTCGCTTTTCCGATCAATTTTTCTTTGCGAGAATGAAAACCCGGCTGGATTGTAATAAATGTATCTTCTTTCTATTTTCAGGCAAATGTAGATCGGACATTAAAAAGGAAAAACAAAAGTTGTCAACTGAATTCTATACTATAAATTTGACAACGTCTAGTTTTTTTATTTCTTATTATCGAATTGATTGGTTCTCTTCAAACGAGACCAAGGGTTCCACCTAAACAACTCTTTGTTATACTAGATTATCTTACTATTTCCTTAGTTAGTACAAGTACGTATTGATATCTAAGTTATGTTTACTTTTGCTAAAACTTTCCAAAAAAAAACAAGTATCTATTCAAGTATGTTTGTTTGTATGAAAAGAATTAAAGTAAGATTATGAGAAGAAATGTCTAAATACAAAAACTCCTTATACCAATCTAAATATCTCTTATCACTCAAGATGATCTCTTAACTACTTTGCCAACCAAAGGCTTAAAATAACTATATCTTTTCCCAGCAAAGTACTCGAAGGCATTAATGTGAACCCGAGCTATTATACCCCGGATCTGTATAATATTTATCTCAAACTTTCTCGCCCTGTTCTTTTTCAGCATCCACCTCTTTCTCGGGCCTCTTGACAGAATTCCAGTCCATAACTAGCGCGGCAATCATCCCCAAGCAAACGACAGCAACACAGGTCCAAAAGGTTCTCGTGACAGGAAAGTTATAAACACCGATCACTAGTGACCTTTCCGACATGGGCACGGTTGCTAGGAAGTTTGTTGCCCCCTGTTTTACGATTCTGTCCACGTCCAAATCGGGTATCTTGGACAGGCCTTGTCGGAGAAGGTTTATGAAAATGTTTTGCGAGATGGAAATGAAAATCGCAGCACCGGTACTGATGGCGAAGGCAATAGCTGTCATCCCTGCAGGAATATCCTCTACAGCAAGGGCAGTTTGGATAGCCGACCAAGGTTGAGGGATCGCCAGACCCATTCCGATACCATACATTACTTGCCATCCAATCCACGCGGAGCTTCCTGTGTTTGTGGTGAAGCTGGTGAGGAAGCCAAATCCAATTCCCATCATTGTAGACCCAAGTAACATGAGAGGCGTGTAATATCCAATAGCAGAGAGAATGAAACCAGAGCTGATAGCAGCAAAGGAGAGGGAGACAATCGATGGGAGAAGCATCTGTCCAGACTTGGCGGCTGAAACTTCTTTGATTGCTTGGAACCAGAGAGGCAACTGTGAGGCCATTCGTTAGCTGTAGCTGTCAATCACTTACTGCAGTAAATTGACTTACAAAGTAATCTGTGAGGTTAAATGCCGCTGATGCACAGAATGCATATAAAACGCAAAGTCCAACAGTCTTGTTAGTCAAAATAGACCGGGGAATAACGGCTCTTTCTTTTCGTAGCATCTCCAAGGCAACAAAAACTGCAAACGCAACTCCGGAGACCACCAAAAGAGCAATAATTCTGCCGCTACTCCAACTGTCGATGGTACCACCCCTCTCGAGAGCCAGTAATAAACATACGATACCTCCGGAGAAAACAATAAGATGGAGAAAGTTGAGCTGTTTTAGTTTGGAAGCAATGGAACCTTCAGTAATCTTCTGATTCGGCGAGTTTTTGAAGAAGAAAATGAGAACAACAACTGTAAATCCACCAACTGGCAAGTTGAGCCAGAAGCTTTTCAATACCAGATGTTATTAGCATGTAACCATAAAAGAACAAAGGTTGGATTACCTACCACCATCTCCAACTGACGCATGTTGTCAGAGCACCTCCAATCACTGGTCCTACAATTGATGCAATGCATTCTAGAGCTCCAACCGTACTGTTGTAAATTGGTCTTAAGTGAAGTGGAACTGCATGGGCAATTGCGCTGACAGAAATTCACTTTAGAGCGCAACAAAAAAACAATAGATAGAACTTACATAAAAACCCCAGTAACGATTCCCGAAGCGCCACAACCAGAAATGGCCCTTCCAATTATGAAGGCGGTTGAAGCAGGCGCTGCGGCAAACACAATAGATCCAAGTTCAAGTATGGCTACGGCTAAAACCAAAACCCATTTCACACGAAATTGCTCGTAGAGTTTTCCATAGAAGAACTGCGTTGAGCATGTAGTGAGTCGGTCTAAAAGGTCTCATAAGCTGAATTGCCAAGATGGAATTTAGTTGAATTATGTTCACCTACATGCTGAACCGTACCACCCGATATCTGTCAATGCATGGAATTCATTCGAGATGGTGATAGTTGATGTCGCTACGATAGTATTGTCCTGGAGGGTTAGGGTTAGCTTGTGTGAATTCAATGCTGACAGGAAATGCTTGCGAGACCTATGATGAAAATTGCGAGTCCTAATGCTACGGTAATAGGCACTAACTTCCATTTCCCAAGATATTTTGGTTCGTCTCCATCTGCTTGCGTATTTGTCGAAATTGGCTTGGTATCGGTGGTGTTGGTTGTTGTCTCATTGCTTTCCATCATTTCAACCTTGGCGATATCTCGTGTAATATTTGTTGAAGTATCCATTATTGTGATAGAGAGAGATGTCTACAACATAACTTAGGCATGGGTACGATACTCTGAGGAGAGACGAGTAACGAAAACTCGTGGTGAATGGGCAAATGAATGCACCTTCGCCATCCAGCCTAGTTTTTTGGGGACACGGGATAGGTCCCGGAATACTTTCCTGATAAACATATGCGCCGTAATCTGAGGCGTTGCAGTGAGATGACGCAGATACCTGAATTGCAAATAGTGGGGACTTCGACCAAGCTCACGCCAGAGTCTGATTTTTGGGGTGTTGGGATTGTCGACTGAAAAAAAAACATTGCATAATTAATTTTTACTTTCATTATTGACGGCACCAATAATGAAATCGAGACACGAGACATCTTGCTAATTCTTTTAATTAATCATCATTTTTACTAGAAGGGCCTTTTTTTAACCTGGTAAAAATAGTGATGCAAGTGTTGGGTAAATTCGATCAGGATTAGTAGGAAGTGTCTGACTGTGTTTGGTAAAAATGGGTAGGGGAACCCTAGCTTAGTGCTATTTAGATTGGAACGGGTGGAGGTGGACTCAAGAAGCCAGCGTGAAAGCCTTCCATTTGATGCAAGTGGGGTACAGGGGAGGGACGAGGGGTGCACTGAGCATAGCAAATCTGGCGGAGCAACTTCCGGCTACTGTAAGAGTCTCACAAAACACTCGTCTATTAGTAGGCATAGCTATCGCCATGTGTTCACTTAATTGCCATTCATGAGCAAGTCTTAAATGATAGATATTTCCCAAAAGACCCATGTCTTCTCGTGAAGGACTCGATTTGTACAAAGTTAGGTGAAGTAAGAAAAGAAGAATCGCGTAATGAATGCCAGATTTACAACTGATATTTATTTGCTGACAATTCAAATATATCTTTCCATACACGCTTTCTCCGTAAACACAGAGAACCTCATCACAGCGTCTCAACCCAAGAATACAAAGTCTGAAGAGCGATCTCTGGATCCCCCAATGCCTTCTCAAGATCAAAGTTCTTTTTGGTAACCAGATTTGTCAAGGTCTGACCCTCAATGCGGAACATGGTGGAAAAGCGTTTAGGAACATAATTAATCATCACTTGTTGGAAAAGCTCGAGAATGGCCGGAGCACTAATATCGTTGATCCAATCGAGTCCTTGGGATGGTTTTCCACGGTAGTGATTCTTTCATCGAGTCGGTCAAGGTAGCCGTCGTCCATTTGAATCCAATCGCTCTCAGGGACTTTTTGGATGCCTGAAACATATTGGATTAAAATCCTTTTATAGAAGCGAAGATGTCAATACACACCCTAGCAACATGTAGACCAGATTGAAAAGGTCGGTATGGACGGGGAGGCTCTTTCGTTTAGGCAAATTCAGGAAGCACCTCCACTTGATTGTCGGTACCCTGAATATAGCCAATTGTCTTCGGCTGAAAGAGACGTTTACGGTTTCGCTTCCATAGCCTTTGCAGGAGAATGACAACAGTGGCCATGGCTATATGACTTCTTTCTTTTTCAACTTCTCCAAGCCGTTATCTCTACATCGTTTGGAGAACGCGTGTGAAAGGCTGATTGCCCGCCACAGTGTTCTGCGGACCGTCTTTATAAAGCATGACAGAAAGCTGTGCCAGGTTGCTCTGCGCCATCGTCTATCTGACGAACCACGAGTACAAGTCACGGAAAGTAAATTGGATGCGGATATATTCCGTGGGTGTGACGTAGACACAGTACCAGAGACTGGCTTAGGTGGCTATAATAAGCCTCTGGTTTTGTGTGTGCATTTTGTGTATATTGATATTGGCATGGAATAGATGATCAGTTTTTGTTGAGATGTATTATAGTACCCCTTTATTAATTGTTTAATCAATACTATGGGTATATGATTCATTTATTATAAATATAGTATTCACTTACCCAACCAGTATTCTATTTCTCATTTTATACCTCTCTAGAAGTAAAGTAATAGTCTAGATAACCAAAGGTCTATTCCAGCGGTGATTATGGTATAGATAGGAAGTGAGGCTTGAAATTTATACTGACAAGTGGAAGCATTTGACGTTTGATAGGCATGGTATTGCTTAATATGAGGTCTCTTTCATTCAATATTTCCAAGCGCTTATATAATTGAAATATGAAATCAGAGTCAGTGAATACTTGCTGTGTATGAAGCTAAGAAGCAATGGGAAATTGGAAGTGAGCATCAAGCCGTTATTAACAGTCAGGGCAGTCATCGTTAATCTCAGACTGTCATTTTCTGTAGTCTGAGATACTTAGACGATTTGAGGGTAATAATACTGATACCAGAAAAATAGAATTTACACCTAGTCTCATTAGATTGTTCTACAAGTACCTAATCACAACATTTCACGTGACTATTCTCGCTTGAGTCTCTTATGTACAAAGCAATCTCTGAAATCCAAAACAACATTACTTTGTTCCATTGTGAAACCACAAACATTGATAAGATCAGAATACGTAGCAATTGGAGCTTTTTGTTGTCATTGTACTAGTACGTTATGATCTGTCATCTGCTTGTTCCTGCCTGTGGCGTTAAACTGTACTCTTTTGTCTAAGGAAAGCAAAGAGTTTTAGCAAATGAATTATTGAAGATGATCAGAATTGATGTGGTTTGTTGTTTGTAGCAAATTCGTAGCTGGTGGATTCAGGATTTAGTGTCTTTTGTCTTTTAATATTGGTATTTAATGAAGAAATTCTGTCAGATCATTCGACTTTCAAAACAAATTTGTATATCCTAGTTCCGACTCACAATAAGAAGGCACCAAATTAAGTGAATCATAAATGTATTGCAGCTTTTGATGTTATTCAGACTGATATCGTTCCTATCTAAACCGAGCTTTGATATTCGGACATTTTTGGTCTTCGGATATTTTACCACCCCTCGGCCGATACCGCCCGCCCCACTAAAACACCCCGCCATGCGCTGCGGTAATAAAAATGACTTGCTTCAGGTCGTGACCAGTTCTTGAACTTGCTTTCTTTCGCACTCGACTTTGTCGCAGCCACGACAGTTTTACTTTCAAACACCAATTCGGCCCTCCTGCATCTGGATATCGGTTTGCAGTCTGCAGTCTGCTCTTCAGCATTGAGCATTGTTAACATGGGCGCCACAATCGTTCTTGGAGCCCAGTGGGGGGTATGGAGTGAATTGACTGAACTGCGAACTAGAACAATTGCTGACCCATTGGGAACAGGATGAGGGTAAGGGAAAGCTGGTCGATATTCTCACAGAGTCTGCGGATATGGTCGCAAGAGCGCAGGGAGGAAATAATGCTGGTACGTTGAAGAATTCTCAGCTTGTCGCAGGGCTAACAAATTAACTTTGGATTAGGTCATACCATTTCGCACAACGGCAAATCCTATCACTTTCACCTCCTTCCTTCAGGTCTCATGAACCCAAAATGTATCAATCTGATCGGATCGGGCGTTGTTGTACACGTCCCTTCTTTCTTCAAGGAACTCGCCGAGCTGGAAGAGCAGGGCCTCGTGAAACCTCGCGAACGACTCTTCCTCAGCGATCGCGCGCATCTTAGTTTGAAGTCGGTACACTCTGCCCTATAAAATTGGACTTGTAATTGATATGGTTTAGTGTTCATGCGCTGGTTGATGGACTGGAGGAAGTGGAGTTGGGAGGAAATTCTATTGGAACCACCAAGCGCGGCATTGGCCCAACATACAGCACGAAGGCTGCGCGTAGTGGCATCCGAGTTGGCGATATCTTCCACAAGGAGCTTTTCGACAGAAAGATCCGCGAGATCGCACGCGCATACAAGCTTCGATATGGAGATCTACGTAAGAGACCCTTCCTTTTGGCCCTGCGCTTTTGGGTGGCCTTGTTCAATCGCTTCACTGATTTCTGCGTATTCACTTTTCTGCTCCAACTGACCTCATGGTTTAGTTGATTATGACGTTGAGAAAGAGATCGCAAAGTTCGATGTAAGTCTTGCTGCATACTTCGTCACTCTGTATCGATACCTCTCTAACAGAAAAAGAAATATCGCACCGAACTTGCCCCTCATGTTGTTGACGCAGTTCCGTTGATCGCTTCGGCAGAGGCCAGTGAATCTCGACTTCTTGTGGAGGGTGCAAACGCATTGATGCTGGATCTCGATTTTGGAAGTTACCCCTATGTAACTTCGTCGAATACTGGTCTTGGGGTTCGTTCGATAGGGTTTCTCGCTGGGATGATGAAATGCTAATGTTAATAGGGAATCTTTACTGGACTGGCTTTGAATCCAACAAAGATTTCAAAGATTATTGGTGTTGGTTAGTAATTCCCAATTCTGCCCCATTCGTGTCGTCAATTTCGAATATCTCAGTCTTCGGTCACTCCAATATTATTGCTAATTTTTACCTCAGTCAAGGCTTATACCACACGAGTATGCTATAACTGTTTCGAGCTATTTTGTTTCAAACTGCTAATGCAAAAGTAGGTCGGTGGAGGACCTTTCCCTACGGAGGATCTCACAGAGGAAGTTGTAAGTGACAGTCATATCATTACATCATGGTATCTCAGGTGTGAAAGCACACTGACTTTCTCTAGGGAGTTAAACTGCAGGAAATTGGTCGAGAATTCGGCGTTACCACGGGAAGAAGACGTCGATGTGGCTGGTAAGCGCTAGGTCCTGGATTTGGAGTCAATGCTAACTGCCTCAAAGGCAAGATTTGGTAGTTGTGAAGTATAGTACTCAAATCAATCACTGTAAGTTCTACGCCCTTTTGATCGCCATAAATAGAGAAAGAAGTTCTATGTACTAACTACGAGCCAGATACTGAAATCAACCTCACCAAACTCGATGTTTTGGATACCTTCAAGACAATCAAGATTGCGACTCAATATCTGGACGAGAATGGTGAGGATATGGGGTATGTTTTCCATCTGAATCCGAACTTGAAAAAGAAAAATACTTACTCCCATTTCAAGTTGGCCTGCAGATCTCAGCCAATTGGAGAAATGCAAAGTTGTTTACCATGAGATGGAAGGATGGCAGAAACCCACAACTGAAGCAAGAAGTTACTATGATCTACCAAAACAAGCTCGTGAATATGTGGAATACATTGAGGTAAGATATAAGATCATACCTGCAGTTACGTGGAAACAATGCTAACCTAATGTCGCAGACGTTTGTTGGTGTTAGAGTGAGTATTACCTATTTGCTATTCCTGTCACGTGATCAAAATGAAACCGTTCTCAGCCTCCGAGAGATTATACTTTTTTGGAGTCATCCTTCCCATGCAAATCCATAATACTGACTTTTGTATTCTCAGATTGCTTGGATTGGCACAGGACCTAGCAGAGATGCAGTTATTAGGAGATAATCTTTCATGGATTTTCAGCTATTTGCATCACTCGAAAATTGAGGTTCCCTAACATTGTACATAGAAGTTTTCGGATTCTGTTTTAGAAAGAGAACGATCGGACAATATTTCTGTCGGTAATCTTGAACATGTATTCAATAAGTCAATGAGTACTCGAGAAGACAAATGATCTATTATGCGCCTGTGCTATTTCTTCTGTTACACATGTGTCAAATTATAGTAAGTATCCCTTAGCAATGAAGGTAAGGCTTTTTCATTGCCAGGACGTGATGATACGGTGATATGGTCCCGGAGAATAAACTCAACAAAATCCGACTTTGAAATGTTCGTTAGAATGGCGTGTTTCCATAATCGGCTTGCTGATGAATCAGTTGTTACTTGAAGGGTATCCGATATCAGCGCAGGATATCAATCGAAACGAATGTGTTGAAAGTGGATATATAGTTACACATATCACATACAGTAAGTCACAAGAATTAGACAAGCGCGGAGCTTTCAGACGTATTTAAGCTTCCTGGACTTTCTCCATTCATAGGGAGTAGTTGATCTAGAATATATCGAACAACGGAATGAATATCCGGCTTTTATTTGGTTTTTTGTTTCTGATGTAGGGACTTACTTAAGGTCCTGTTATAGATTGCCAGATGGGTAAGATTAAATAGTTACAGGATTTGGACTCGAGAACGGGTAAGATGAAACTAGATGTCTGGATAGCGGGCTCTTGTCTTGGTATACATGAAAGTGACGGAGCTTGCAGTATTTAGACTCGAGAACGCGCGAGTTAACCATCATCACTTTGCTTTGATGGTCTGAGGAATCTATGTTAAGATTTGTTTTGGATTATTGAAGATGTAGGCCCTTGAGGAAGGAAACTTACGGTGTTTAGATAGTTATACGTTCGGTTACTATATATCTCTTTACTTAGGGGAAATTCGTTACTTTATATATATCTCTTTTAGAATAATATTATCCTAGGAGCTTTATATAACGTAGTCCACAAGCGAGTTGGATTCCCAAGCGAAATGGATTTTTTTTCTTGGCATTTTATAAATTCTTAAATATCTCACGACACAATTAATTAAATTAATTACAGTATTCAGAATCGGAATCCTCACATATTTCTTCCCCTTTTTGACAACTTCGTATGTTATGGCCATGTTTCCCACATAGTCCACAGCGCCGGCGAGGTACTAGACTCGGGCTCGTACAATTACTATTTTCTACTAAAACCACTTGTTCTTGCAAATCAACATTACTAAGGACCCCTAAATCTTGCGCATCTTGGAGAGTAAGTGATCCTCCTTCCTGTAATCGGCGCTTTTTC